TCGGGGGGGTGGGCAGGCAGTGGAGGGGCTGCAAGCCCAGGGTGTCAGGAGAACCCAGGAGGGAGCTCCACACTGTGGACAGCCTGGAAGGCAGTCGAAGCCCAGAGGTCGGGGCTGGCGGGGGACCAGCACCCCGTGAGCTCCCGAGTGGACACAGCAGCCCGGGCACCTTGCTGGGCCCAGGAAAGGCGTGAGGCCGGGGGTGTCCGTGTGTCCAGGGGAGTGAGGTGAGGTGCAGCATTGCTCACGACGGCCAGCCAGCCAGGAATAAGCTGGTGAAGGTGGGCGGAGACAGGCGTAATGAGAAACTCAGGAAGATTTAAATAAAAGAGGGGATTAACCACGCTCTGGGCAGACTCAGGCCCGAGAACGGTGTATGGATTTAGTGCAGCGCCAGCCAAGCCCGCGGGATTTTTGGGGGGAATTGTAAAAAAGGTGCTGGCCGATTATGAAATTTATGTATAAGCGCACGCACGTTTACGGGCGAGTAATGCAGCGAACGTCACGTGTACGTGAAGTTGTGGGGAAGCGGCAGCGTATTCTCGGGGAGCAGCAGGGCTCGGCCTCTGGCAGCCGAGGCTCGTGAAGAAGCCGTTGTGATTTCGTGGGTCCCTCTGCCCCCGCCCGCGCCCTTCCTGACCCAGACATGAAGTCTCTGCAGTGGCGCAGCCCCTCCTCCATGGCACAGCCCCCCTCCGTGGCACAACCCTCGTTCCGTGGCACAGCCACCTTCTCCGTGGCACAGCTCCCCTTCCATGGCACAGTTGCCCCCTCTGTGACATAGACGCCCCCTCCGTGGCATAGTCCCCCTTCCGTGGCACAGCCGCCCCCTCCCTGGCACAGCTCCCCGTACCATCTAGCACAAGTGCAAGGCAAATCTCACCCGCGGGGCATGGGGGGTGGGTTCCCCAGCGAGGCCTTGCAGGACGGTGGCCTTTTCTGTCCACCCCAGGACACGGTGTGCACGCACACACACTAATGCGCACACAGAACAAAGCGTGGGGCTCGTGCACAAGAGCTCACACGTGCGTACATACCACACACACTCCACTAGCACTGCTGTGCACACTCTCCCGGCACCTTTCCTGTGGCCAGTGAGTGTCCCCCATGAGTGACCCCTGTGGTTGGAGGCTGGGGGCAGGAGAGGTTGGGCTCCTGCCTGGACCTGGCAGCAGTGTTCAGCCGTCACCCCCTCTCTTCAGCCCCCCAGCCATGCCCCTGTCCCTGCGAGGGCCTGGGGTGCCCCCGGGGGTGAGAGCCCTGCCCCACTGACCGACAGCATGACAAGAACAGAGGCCAGCGGGAGCAGGCGCTGACCATGGCTGGCTCCCCACAAGCCATCTGTGCTTCCTGCCTACAGCACCCCATTCAGGCAGCCCCGCACCCCATTCTCACCTGGACACTCCCGGCATCCCTGTTCTCAAGCTGGACACCCCCACGGTGTGTCCCACACTAATGGCTGTAGCCCCGTCTGTCCCCCACCAGGCTGGGGGGCTTGAGGGCAGCACCATGGCATTCCCTCTCGGCACCCCCAGATCTGGGCCTGGCACCGAGGTGGCTTGTTGAATTAATGACCAACGACAATCAAACTTCTTTGCGCTAGAATTACAGATTAAGATCTTGAGGGAGATTTATTGCACCAGGTAATTTTTAACCGTAAATGAGTTGTGAGCGCAGTCGGCGGGCGATTCCTGCAGAACTTACTCCCTTTTCAGGCTCCTGGGGGCTCCTTGGAGGGAACTCGGGGTGCGTGTGGTGACAGCAGTGACCCCGGCCAGGGCATGTGCGAGGATGTGTGCGTGGGGTGTGTGTACAAGTGCACAGGTGTGAGTGTGTAAGTGCCAGAGCAGGATCGTACCTGGGTGTGTGTGCGGGTGTGTGCGTGAGCAGTGTGTGAGTGAGTGAGGACGTGGCACGGGTGTGCATGCGGTGTGGGGCGTGGGGCGCGCTCTGCCAGAGGACAGGGATGGGACGTGCAGGAGGTGGGAGGAGCAGCGCCTCCCGGGGCCGGTGGCCCGGCTGGGGACGCAGGGACGGGCTGGGGGGGCGTGGGGCGCGTCTCCCAAGCTTCCGTGCAGATGGCGTCCAAGCGGGTGGCTCTGAAAGCCTGAGACGGGGCCGCGGACCAGAGGGGCCCGGGATGGGTCAGCGTCGCGGAAAAGCCCAGCCGGCTCACACAGCAGGGGACGGCGCTGGCCCCGGTCTGCCCTGCCCGGGCGGGGGTGGCCAGGGAGAGGGGCCCGCGGCTCCGGACGCCGACCTCAGCATCTGGGCGCGGGGAGGGAGGCCCGGACGGAGCCAGGGCCAAGCCCGGCGCAGGCGGACACTGCAGGACGCGGCCGTGGGGGGGGCGCGCCAGCACCGCACTCCCCTCGCGGGACTGTGGCACGCTTCCCCGGGCGGGGTGTCCCCCAGGGGGTGCCCCCTCCGTCCCCAGAGCTCCCGGCTAATCACGGAAAGCCGCGCCTTCCCCGGCTAGAGTCAGGCGCGCGCGGCCTCTGGAACTGGACGGTGGGAATTTTCTTAGCAAATATTTGAGCAGAAGAAGCCGTGCTCGCTCCCCGCTCCCCGCGCCGCGGGCCGGCCAGTTCATAGACGTCTGGGCCAATATTTGATCTTTCCGCGGGAAGAAAGTGACTCCGGCCGCGCCCGCGGGGTCGGCCAGGGCCCCGGGAGCGGCAAGAGCAGCTGTCGCCCGCGGTGGGTGGCCGAGGGCGGCTGAGACCCCGCGGTGGGGCCGGGGTGGCCCCAGGCAGCACCCGGGTCCCGCAGGTGAGCGGCGGCGAGGCTCCCTCCCTGCCCCTCCGACTTGGGGCGCACACCCCCGGCTCGGGGCTCCCGTGCGCCGTGTGGTCCTGTGCGAGGAAGCCGGGAAGGGGCTTCAGGGCCCCTGAGCGGGGACACGGGCCCCCAACCCCTCCTTGGGCCCGGCCCCTGGGGGAGGCTGAACCTGCAGCGGGTCCTGCCCCGCGGCCCGCCCACCCCCCTGGGTTTCTGAAGGTCCCGGGGTTCCCTGCCGGGTGCCGCAGCGCGGGACGGTTGGGGTCCGGGCGGCTGCTGCACCTGTGCTCAGGTGTGCTCGCTCCCCGGGGCACCGTGTCTGGGGCTCTCCTCCAGTCCCTTTGTTGTCGCTCTTTGCTCTTAAGTAGCTACAAATTATCGGGGTTAGAACCCTCACAGCTCCCGCTCCTCATTAAGCCTCCGCACATAATAATCACTCTCTCTCCCGGCTCCCGTGCTCCCGGCGCAGGCGCTGCCCCTCTGTGCCCCTCGTCTTGGGGGGGTCGGTCGGGCCCCTCCCTGGGGTGAGAGCAGAGGCCGGGGGCCGGCAGTGGCGCACGCTCTGGGGAGACCCCACCCCATCACGGGTGGGGAAGAGGCTCGGGCATTGCCAGGCCCCGGAGAGGGTGGGCGCGGTGCCCTCGAGACACCTTGATGGGCCTTGGGGACTTGCTGGTGGTGGCCAATGGCCCCCCACTCCTTGCTGAAAGGCTCCCAAGCCCTCCCCGATCAAGAGGAAAGGGACCGCAGGCTCCCCTGGGCGGGTGGCTTTTTAAAAACACAGTCCCCGGCCCCCCGGGGGTGCAGGGGTTGAGTCTCAGCTCTGTGAAGCTGCCCACAGCCTCTGCCGCCCAAGTGCAATCCCCGCCAGGGAGCTACCCCCACGGCGCAGCAGACCTCTCCTGTCCCCAGGGCTCCCTCAGCAGTGGGTTTCAGTGGATCCACTTGTTCTGCTCCCCACTCTGTCTCTGGGGAGTCCTCTCAGCCCTGCACCTCTGGCCTGCCCTCGCGCCCCCACGGCCCTCGCGCCCCCAAAGCCGTCATGCCCCCACAGCCCTTGCGCCCCCACGGCCCTCGCGCCCCCACGGCCCTCGCGCCCAGTCGCGCCCTCTCCCCTCCTGGGCTCCCCCAGCTCTGTGACGCGTGTGTCAGTCCAGACGGCACCGGTCCCCAGCCCCCGTCCGCTCCACAAATCTAAAAGCTCTGAAAGCCCAAGTGAATTTTGGAGAAATTCATTTGGTGGCAAAACTTGCCCCGGGCTCCCGTGAGACGGAGGACACGGGTCCTGCCAGCGTGAGGCTCGTGCGTGTGGCCGCAGGCAGAGTCCGTGTTTGCCGCGGGGCCTGCTGGTGCCTGAGATGGCGAGCGCCGCGGACCTCTGCCACTTCAAAGCATTCCGAATTCCACGACCACCTGGCCCCAAGGGTTTCAGATAAGGGTGGGCCATTTTCACAGCTGCGTAGTATTCCCTCGGGTGAACACACGCACCCCCGCACGCACGCACACGCCCGTCCTGCTTGATTCACCTCGGATCTCCCTGGTGGAGGAGGCTTGGCGCTCCCGGGTGTGCGCTCCCTGGATTTGCTGGCCCGGCTGTGGGAAGGTCCCGCTCCCGGGTAACACCAGGTGTCTGGCGGCCTCCTGTGTTTCTGGGTCCTGGCACATTCGAGGGGCCCTGGAAGGAGGTCAGGGCGCCTGGAGGGGGGCTGCCCCGGCATCCGCGGGAGAGCCCCGACCAGCCCTGGCCTCTCTGACCTGGACTCGGAAGCAGTGGGCACTCAGCCCGCAGCCGGGGCGCAGGGGCCTCGAGTCCACGTGTCCCCTGGCCCCCGCTCTCCGTCAGCTGGGCAGCGGGTGGTGCTCGTCCCCCTGAGCTGGGGCCACCAAGGGCAGGAGGACCAGGTGTGCCCTCCGGCCAGGCCATCCTGGATACTTGGGGTCTGAGCCGGCTGCGGGGAGGGCGGGCCGGGGTCTCCCGGTGGCTGGGGTGGAGGAGGGGGCGCTGGGCCCTCGCTGTGGGAGGGGGGGTCTCTGGGCCAGGGAGCGGGCACGGCGGTGGCCAGATTCCCGCTGACCGTCCAGGGTCCACGGGGACTTGTGAGCAAGACAGAGGTGATGGGAGCTGGGGAGGGGGTAGGAGGGAGAGGAAGGGTGGGGCCGGACAGTGGGGCGGGGCTGGGCTGGGGCCAGCCGGGAGTGACGCCCTCCTGTGCCCACAGACGGCGTCCACAGCGTGGCGGCCCTCTGCACGCTGCGGGTCACCATCATCACGGACGACATGCTGACCAACAGCATCACCGTGCGCCTGGAGAACGTGTCGCAGGAGCAGTTCCTGTCCCCGCTGCTGTCGCTGTTCGTGGAGGGCGTGGCCACGGTGCTGTCCACCACCAAGGAGGACGTGTTCGTCTTCAACGTCCAGAACGACACGGGCGTCAGCGCCAGCATCCTGAACGTGACCTTCTCCGCGCTGCTCCCCGGTGGCGCCCGTGACCGGTTCTTCCCCTCGGAGGACCTGCAGGAGCAGATCTACCTGAACCGGACGCTGCTGACCGCCGTGTCCACCCAGCGCGTGCTGCCCTTCGACGACAACATCTGCCTGCGGGAGCCCTGCGAGAACTACATGAAGTGCGTGTCCGTGCTGCGCTTCGACAGCTCCGCGCCCTTCATCAGCTCGGCCGCCGTGCTCTTCCGGCCCGTCCGCCCCGTCCACGGCCTGCGCTGCCGCTGCCCGCCCGGCTTCACTGGCGACTACTGCGAGACCGAGATCGACCTGTGCTACTCCAGCCCCTGCGGGGCCCACGGGCGCTGCCGCAGCCGCGAGGGCGGCTACTCCTGCGAGTGCCTGGAGGGCTTCACCGGTAGGTGTCCCCGGGGCTGGGGGGGCGTCCCGGGGCCTGGGCTTCCCCTGGGGTGGACGTGGACCATGGGGACCCTGGAGTGGGCACAGGCTGTGGGGGTGCTCAGATGGGCGTGGGCTGTGGGGCTCCCTGAAGTGAGTATGGCTTGCGAAGAGGCTGGGGGGACACGAGCCGCAGGGGGCCCCTAGGGCAGTCAAGGACTGGGGGGCCAGGGTGGGCAAGGTTTGGGGGTCCCACAGGTGGGCACGAGCCACGGGGAGTCCCCGGCCACCTCTGCCCTGCGCGAGGCACCCAGTTCACACCCTAGAGCTCCTGGTGGGGCCTCTGCTCCTCCCCCTCTGCCTCGAGTGGCCCCCAGGGCCAGGCCGGTGTCCGGTGGGCGGGGGTGAGTCCCGGGTACGGTGCATTCGCAGAGGCTCCCGAGCAGCGCAGCGGCTGGGTGCCCGGTCAGCACGCGCGTCTGCCCTGCCCGTTGGGGGTGAGCCGAGGTTGTCCGTGCTGCCGGTCCGTGCTGAGGCTCGTGGGAGCAGGTGGGGCACCCACGCTCTGGTGGCTCCGTCCTGAAGACCGTGGAAGCCAGGAGGACGGCCTGGCCTGGCCTGGAGCCCGTTCTACCTGGAGCGCTGGGGTGGGTCACGCTGGAGACGTCCAGGAGGGAGCTCGGGGCCGCGTGAGCCTCGCGAGGACCCCGCGGGGGAGGGCGCGCTGGCTGGAGGGGCCCCTAAGGTTTGAAAGCTCGTTTTCATCGCGGGAGTCATTTCTAGGAAAGTAATGGCCGGGGGAGGGCGGAGTGTGTCATCGCCCGCGGCCCACTGACCATCTCGATTGGCCTGGGCCTCCCTCGAATGTCTTGGGCTCTGAAATGACCCTGCGCCGAGACAGGGCCATCAGGCGGGCCCCCTGCGGCCGCCCCTCCCCGCTCTGCCTTTGAAGCCTCCTCCCGGGCGGAGGTGATTTTGCTGGCTGATTCCCGACGAAAGGGCCCTGTCGTCGCCCGGGTTTTATTACCTGCTCCCTGGTAAGCCGAGCCCCGGCCGCTCGGGAAGCTGGAACGGGCCCAGGCGGCGGGAAGGCCCTGCTTCCTGCGAGCCGGCCAGGCGGCCCGGGGGGAGGGCGCGTTTCAGGGGAGCAGCCGCCCCGCAGCTCTCGGCGTTTCTCAAACCCACCCTGGCCCTGGAGACGCTCGGGCGGGCTCTCTGGATGGGGAGAAGGCTCTGCCCGGCCGGGGTGGGCGGGGGCCCGCAGCCAGCCCCTCTGAAAGGGACGTTCCGAGGCCGTGATGCCGCCCGGCTCTGCTCCCGCGGCCGAGCCCATCGGGCGGGACAGATGCTGCCCCTTCCTCTCTCTGCGCCCCTCAGGGCCGCTTTGGCACTGGCCCCGCATGGGCAGGTTTGGAAGGTTCCCAGCTCCTGGACAGCGTCTGTGCCGCCTGTCGGAGGGGGCGGCCACAGGCGGAGGCCGTCGGCCATCCTGCGCGCCCTGGCGCAGCCTCTCCCTCGGGGTCCGGTTACTCCCGACTTTGCTCTCGGACCCGGACTCTTGTCTCCGTCCCAGGGTCTCGGCGGCCCTGCGGCCGTCCCCTGCTCCATGCCCAGCTGCCCAGCCCTGCACGGGACGGGGCCCTCGGCCGCGGTGGCCATGGTCACTGCACCCACTTGGGCGGTGTTGGTGACGCCGGCCTGGGCCCGTGCCTGCTCGCCCGGGTGGACGGCGCTGGCTCCGGGAGAAGGGCCTCGTGGGCGCCCCCCATTGGGAGCGCCGTCCAGCCGCGCCGGGTCCGCAGCCCGAGCGCTCATCTCCACTCGGGCGCCGCCTGGCCTGTGGTTAAAGCTCAGAGAAGGCGGACCAGAGCCCTTCCTCAAGGAGCACTCGCTTCAGGTGCTCGGACGCCTCCCGCCTCCCCTGGCCCGACGCTGGCCGCCACCATCCCGGTGTGCAGAGTGTGGCCCCAGGCCCGGCCCGGCCGAGGTGGCGGCTGTGCCCTGAAAGCCGGGGGTCCTGCCTGTCACACCCCTGCCCCCAGCATCCGCCGTGGGGCCTGGGAACCTGCGGCTTCCACTGCAGTGACCGTCCTCCAGGGCCAGTGATCCACACCCTGGCTGGGCTGCGTCCTCCTTGGTGTCACGACGCAAGGACACCGAGCGAGCCTGTGTCGGCGGAGGGCAGACCCCGTGGCCTCCGGGCCTGCAGAGGGCCTGGGCCCATAGGATCCAGCAGCCTCCTGGTTCTGGGGCCTAATCAAGGGTCCACTGCTGTGTTCCTGAGCCTCCCGGCGGGTCTTTCCTGCACTGCTTAATTCTGGTGGCCCCATGTGGCCCTCGACGCCACTTGGCTCAGGGCTGCTTGTACCCCCCCATCACACCGGCCTCTCCCCGGTGTTCCCTGGCCCAGATGCCCCTCTGGCCGCGAGGATGCCTGGCCCAGCCTGCCCTGCCCGGCTCTGTGGAGCATGTGCACAGGTGCGTGGGGCGAGGATGCCAACGCCATGTCCCCAGGCCTGGGCGCAGTGTGACGTCTGAGCGGGTGACCTGGGGGGCCTGGGGAGCCGGGTCTCTGCAACTCCCACTGCGCACCCCCCCAGCCCCTTCCCCGGTGGGGACACACAGGCTCTTGGTGGAGCCCTTGGCCGAGGCCCCACGAGGCGGGTGGTGAAGAAACGGATCCCGGAGCCGGGTGGGCGGTGGGGGAGGCCCCTCTTCCTGGACATCTGCCTGCCCCGGGCCACTCTCCCTCCTCAGCACCAGGCAGGAAGGGGCCTGGAGCCTGCCGTGCGTGCGGGCCCGGAGCCTTCATTCCAGCCGAGCCCGGACACGTTGCCGTTTGAGATTTGGCACTGTCCCCCGCTAGCTGATAAAGTGGGGCACGCCCCTCTGCAGCCTCACACACCCGCCAGGCTTGCCTGCACCCCGGCTGCCTCTGCAGACCCAGCAGGAGCACGCCCACCCCTCGGCGGCCTCCAGCCGCCCTCCTGCGGCCCCCACTGCTGAGGCCCCTGCACTCCCTCCCCCAGGGTGCAGCCAGGCCCCCTCTGTCCCACCTGCCTGTCCTCCCAGAACCAACACCGCGATGTCCCTGCGTCATCCGAGTGAGTCCGCTGGGCCTGGGGGTGCGCCCTGGCCTCAGCTGGCGACCCCTGCCATGACCTCGCCCGAGCCGCCTCTGAGCAGCCTCTCCTCTGGAACGGGCCAGCCTGTTCCCGGGGTCGGCGGAGCCTGGCAGCAGCAGGCTGGGGCGCGGGGCACTCGGGTGCGGAGGCAGCGTGGGCGAAGGTGTCCAGACCCTCCCTCGGCCCCCGCTTCAGGCAGCCAAGATCTGGCGACCCCTGCACCAGCACCTGTTACCTGGGCGACCCCCAGGCCCCCGGCCGCCCCCCCTCCCCCCCCAGCTGCCCACCTGGACACTTCCCAGGCTGGGGACCGGGCGCGCTCTCTCCAGAGGATCCAGGCCCTTTTTCTGGGGTACTGTCCCCAGAAGAAGAGTCCTCCTGACCCGGGTGCCCATAATAAGGGATCCCTTGGGGGCTTAGCACAAGAGGCACCGTCGTGTGGGCAGGGCTGTGCTCCCCGAAGGCCCTGAGGGCCCTTCCTTCCCCCCACCTGGTGCTCCAGGCGTGGGAGAGACCCTGGTGTGACCAGGTAGCAGCGCAGGCCCCTGGCCAGGCTGCAGACACCTTTTTCGGGGCCCCCCCACTGAGCTCACTCCAGGGGCAGTGCCTCAGCCCCCCCTCCCGTGGCTGTGAGGGGAGCCCCAGCTGGGCTGCTCTGGGTTCAGGGGCCGGGGCTGCCAGAACCTTCTCTGCAGCAGAGCCTATTATTCAGGTTAGTCGGGTTTCAGCCCTCAAGGGTATAGGTGGCTCCTAGGGGGGAGAGGGGTGCAGAATCCCTTTTTTGCAGCTGGAATGCCTTTTTCATTAGTATTTCTGAAAATGGGTGTGTCTGAAGTTCTGGGAATTTGCTTCACAGACGTTAATGAAGTCGCCCAGTGAGGGCCCCAGGAGCCCCAGGTCCCCGTGGGCAGGGCCTTCCCGGCAGCTGCGCCCCAGGAGCAGGAGCCTCCTGGGACCGTGTGGAGGGGCTGGGGGCCTGCGAGGCGGTCACGGCGCGGCCACAGTCAAGGTCACAGACACACCTATTTCTCTCCCTCCGCTTGACACCGGCCTGGGGGCTCCAGGCAGACACAGACCCGCCTTGGGGGAGGAGCGGGGGCTCCCGTGGGCACACAGACCCCCTTGGGGGCACCTGCAGCCAGGGACTGAGGCTGCTGGGCCTTCCCTGTGCTGCTGGTTGGTGGGAGGCCAGGGTCGCGTCCGCAGCGGCTGAGCTTTCTCCTCTGAACCCGTGTCCCCCTGGACAAGGCACCCTCTCCGGGCTGGCACGGCCTCCAGAAAGGGGGAGGCCCCCACGTGGGGCCTGCAGGGCCATCCCCCGGGGCTCTGCTGTGCTGGGGGTGGCGGGAGGGCACCCCAGGCGGTGCAGTGAAGGTGCCCTGCGGGGGCAGGAGGAGGGGTGATTTCTGTGCCGACCGTTCCCACCGGCCGCCCCTCTGCCGGTGGCCTGTCCATGCGCCTGCCCCGTGCGCTCCCTGCTGCCGGCGCCCGGGGCCTGGGCTCCTTTCAGGCCTCCTCTGGAGACGCCCGCCCTGCGGAGCTGCAGGCCCAGCTGGGGCCCGGCGCCCGAGGGGCCGTGTCCACTCCCGGTGCGTCCTGTCCTGTCTGCGCAGCCTCGGGTTCCCTGCGGCCCAAGGGTGCCGAGGGTGCAGCCCCGGGAGGCGTGGGGTCTGAGTCCTGCCCGGGTGTTGCCCTCACTGCGGGTGGAAATTCTCGTTTTTCTAGTTCAGCCCCTCCGCTTTCTTAGCCCTCCGCTTTCTTAGGCCTCGAAAGGAATTGTCTCTCTATTTGCTTTAAAACTTAAGATGCCAAACCTTTGCATGCCCTTCCGTCTGTGCTGTCCCACCCCTCCCCATCCGTGCCTCCTCCCCGGGCGGGACACTGACCAGCTGCACCTGACGCTGGCACCGCACCAACCCCCAACCCCCAGCCTCCCTGCTCCCCCCAGCCTCCAGCCTCCCTGCTCCCCCCAGCCTCCAGCCTCCCAGCGCCTCCAGCCTCCGCCTGGGTCCTTTCCGCCTGGGTCCTTTCCGGGACTGAGCGGTGACGTGACTCCACACCTGGGTCGTGCCTGCAAAGCCAGCCTAGGCCCCCCCGCCTGCCGCGGACCAGCAGCACCCCCCCACACTTTTTCTCCCCGTTTCCCTTTCTTTAAAGCGCGTCTGTGTTACGTGCGGGCGACAGGCGTGTGCCGTGTCCCCGTCTGTAAGGGGCTGTGAGGGTCACAATCCGGGTGTCCGAGGGCCACCAGCACTGGCCCGGTGAGGGGCTCGCCGGGCTCCGTGCCGCCCTCCCAGCCCCGCGGGTCACCCCTCCACGGAGGGCCGCTCTGGTCCCGCAGCCAGGTCCCCTCGCCCCAGCCCTGGCCTGGTGAGGGACAGCACGTGGCCAGGCCACCCCTGAGCTCTCTGTGCTGCATGAGGAGCCAGCGGGTTTGTGAGGCAGTGGCAGCTGGCGGGGTGCAGGGCCCGCGGGGTCTCTGTGGCTGTACAGATACGGGGGTGGGGAGCTGATGACTGGGGGCGCTGGGAGATGGTGCAGGGAGGGGGAGGAGCCTGGCTCTGGGCTCTGGGGTCACCTCCCTGGACAGACGGCGGGACCCCCCAGGCTTGGGGGCCTGGAGATAACGAGGGGCGAGTGGCTGGGGGTGGGCGCCCCGGAGTTGCCGCCCTGGCTGCGGCTGCAGGGGCGGGGAGGGGAGGGAAGGTGCCACCAAAATTCGCTCCGATTGTAGTTTTAGGACAGACGGGCGCTGGGGTGTGTGGGGTGTGCTCCCTCGAATTCCACGCCCCTGGGCCGCCCGCTGGGCCTCGCCTGGAGCAGCTCGGACGTGACGGGTGGGCCTGCTGCGGTGTGGCCACGGCGTGCTGGGAGGGGTGGGGGCGGCCGGGCCCCGGGACCTGGGCCCCAGGCTGGGGAGACAAGTGCCAGTCGCTGTGAGCTGCAGCTCCGGGCAGCGCAGACCACGCTCTGCCGGGGCTGAGGAGCAAACGGAAGCTTCGGTTGAAACGAGCAGCGGCTTCCCGGGTCGGGCTGAGCGAGCACCCAACACGGCGAGGCCTCCGAGGCCGGGGCAGGGGCCATGTGTTGCCCAGGCCCCCGCGGGGCGGGGCCGGTCCACTGTGCGTGCTCCAGAGAGCCCCGTGGCCGTGGGGGCACCCCTGCCCGGGCCGCCCCCCGAAGCCGAGTCGCGGGCAGGAGAGCCAGGTGCAGGGTCGGGCCCAGGCGTCCTGGCGTGTGGAGCTGGGGGTGGGGCCGTGGCCAGCGGTGGGGGCGGGGCCTTCGCTTTCATCCCCGCGAGCGTTTGACCAGCTAGCTGGCTTAGAGCTTGGGGGGGCCTCCCCTGCTTGCCGTCACGGTTTGGGGAGCACCCCCACCCTGTGTTCTCACGGCTGCTCCTCCTCGGGAGGGCACCGAGCCGGGCCACGAGCCGGAGGGCGTGCGGAACCCACATCGCGCGGCTGGGAGGGCGCTGGGCGCCCGCTTGGGGCGGTGTTGGAAGCCTCAGCACCGGCCCGGAGCACCCACGAGTGTGTGTGGGTGTGCGGCTGGTGTGGCTGCTTGTGTGTGTGTGGTGTGTACACAGCCCGCCCAGCACGCTGGCTGGGCCCAGAGGCCGTGGCAGGCAGGACCCTGGGCGGGCGAGCCGGGGCGGGGGCTCAGGAGCGCCCGTCTGAGCAGCGTGAAGCCTCTGCTCGCACCGGGGCAGGCGGCCTGGCTTGGAGAGCGGAGTCCGTGGCTGTCACCGCTCCGGCCCTGCGTGGTCCGGACAGGTTCAGAGCGGCGTGGCCTGCGCTTGCCCCCTTGTTCCAGGGCCGGGATCCCTCTGCGTTCCAGCGCGTCCCCTTAACAGCCAGCAGCTGACGGAACACCGGTGGGCAGGGTCCTCATTTGCGGCTCAGTCAGCCACAGGAGGGGGGAGCCGGGCGGGCCTGTGGGCTGGGGGTGGCTGCTGCGGGGGCCACATCAGGACCCAGAGGGGCTGGGTCCTGTGGGCCTCGGTAGAGGTGGCCGGTCAGCTTGGGCTGCCCAGTCGGTGCCCATGAGGAAGCTTCTGGCCCCTCCCATCACTGACGGACTGGGGAGGGCCCTGGAGGGGCCAGTGGGAGACACAGACGGGTTTGGGAGCAGCTTTAGTTGGGGGGGACTGTGAGGAGGCGGCCCTGGGTCCTGGTGCCCAGCGGGCAGCCCCCAGGGCTGTGGAGTGCTGACCGCCCTGCGCGGGCCTCTTGAGCTCACTGAATCCAGGGGACGCTGTAGGAGCCCGGCCGGCCGGGGGGCGCTCAGAGCAGGCTGGGTGCTGAGGTCGTCCCTTGCTTGGGAGTCGGGGGACCCGCAGGCCCACCCGGGGCCGGCTGGTGTGACTGGCTGCCCGGCCCTGCGTTGGGGAGGGGCTTCCCGGTGCCCACGGGTCCCGTCCCCAGCCGAGCGGGCGCCGGGGGGCAGGGCTGCCCCCGCTGCCCCGCGTGACGCGCCTGTGTCCCCAGGAGAGCACTGCGAGGTGAGCGCCCGCTCGGGCCGCTGCGCGCACGGAGTGTGCAGGAACGGGGGCACCTGCGTGAACTTGCTCATCGGCGGCTTCCACTGCCTGTGCCCCCCCGGCGCGTTCGAGAGGCCCTACTGCGAGGTGACCACACGCAGCTTCCCCCCCGGGTCCTTCGTCACCTTCCGGGGCCTGCGGCAGCGCTTCCACTTCACCCTGGCGCTCACGTAAGTCCCCCGCGGCCCTGCCCCCCGACCCCGCCATCTCCCTGTGACCCCCGCCTGCGACCTCACGCCCTGTGACCCCCACCCGTGACCCCCGTGATCCCCGCCCCGTTATCCCCCACCCACGATCCCCTCTCCATGACCCCCGCCCGTTACCCCCCATGACTCCCCCCACAACCCCGCGCGGCCCCTGTCTGCTCTGCCCGCCCGGGCCTCCCCTGTGCGCTGCCCAGACCCCGTCCTGCTGCCCTTTGCGTGGGCCCCGAGCCCGTGCTGTGGGCGGCCGGTGCCTCGGCGCGTGGCTCTGTAGCTCGCGGGTGCCGCATCGCCGCGGAGCGCACACGGGGCGTCCTCAGGCCGGCCGGGGCGGCTGGTCGCGCGGCGTCCCCCCTGGAGCCCAAACGGCCGGTCCGGCCGCTCTGTCCCACCCACGGAGCAGTGGCTGCTCCGTCCACGTCCTCTCCGGCCCTTGGGGGCGTCCCTGCGTCCCACTGCTGTCCAGGCGCACCGTGGCACTGCCGCGCTTCGGCCTGCACTTCCTGGGGACTTTGAGCTGGGTGGGGCCTCTGCGCTGTCGTGGGTTTGGGGCTTCCGCGCCGTCACAGGGTGAGGGAGCCCCTCACCATGCACAGACCAGGCAGAGGCTGCACAGACACCCCCAGAGGCCAGCCCGCGGGAGGGCCCGCTGTGCCCAGGCTCCCTGCGCCTCCGTGTGGCGTCCCCCGCTGGGGCCACTGCTCCCCGGGGCCTGCTGGGTGGGGGCTGCGGGGTTGAGGGGGAGCACCCTGGGCCCTGATTGAGTGACCTGGAGCTGCTGTGGGAACCTGGGAGGCGGCCACACTGCTGCCCACCCGCCCCCTATGGCAGGTTCCGGCCAGCGCTGGGCAGAGTGCCCCCTCGGGTGTTCTGCTTGGGCACTAATGGGCCTGGCGCCACAGAGTGGACCACGCTCGGCTGTGGCAGGACTTGAACTGGCTGGACCAGTCTGACCACTTCCTCCCCATAGACCCCGGCACTGAGTCCCCCCGTCACCCCCCAGAGCGCGTGGGCATTGCACACACAAGTCCCAGCCCACCAGTTGGGCCCCCGGGCAGCAGCTGCCCGTGTCCCAGGCCCTCGCCCGGGGCTGGCTTTCCCCAGGGTTCCACCAACCCTGACATTAGTTTGAGGCTAACCCGGATGAACCGCCCGGCGCCCAGCGGGCACGGTGCCCACCGCTGTCTGGAGCACCGTCCCTGCCCTGGGGCCCATGTCCAGTGGTGTCCCCCCTTGTCAAGGAGCGTGGGGTACATGCACCCCAACTTCTGGGGACCGGTCCTGTGTGGCTGGCGGGTCCCGTGTGCCTGGTGGTGCCCGGAGCCCAGCCCCCGCGGGTCCCGAGGCAGCAGCGTCGCTGCAGCGCCACCAGGGCCTCCCGGAACTCGGGGGCAGCGGCGGCTTTGGGGCCTGGGAGGACCTGGGCTCGTGGCTCCCGAGGGGCGCGCCGCCGTGAGAAAGGTGGGCTGGGCACCCGCGAGCGGCTTCGGTTTCAGGAGTTTCTTTCTCGAGGCTTCTCCTCTTTCCAGTTTCTGTTTGCCAAGCCTCTCCCCCTCGCCAGCCTTTGTCCTCTGCTTCCCGGCCCTCGCAGCCCGGCTTCGGTTTCCAGCCTGCCCCTCGGCACCACCCTTCAGACTCTCCCTTGGGCCAGGACCCCCTCCAGCGCCCCGCTTCCAGCAGCCCCTCCACGCCAACCCCCACGGCCAGGGAGGCCCACGTGGGACCCCAGACTCGGCGCCGGCCCGCTGGGCCCCCAGTCCCTTCCGCGCTCGCTGCAGCCCCGGCCTCCGCTTTCCCGCAGCTCCTCCTCGTCGCCTCCCCGCGGCCCGCAGGCGCCCGCGTGCTCTGGAGCTCACGGAGCGGGGCCGGGGCCTGAGTCCAGTTCACAGCTGCCCGCGGCGGGGCCACAGCCGGGCATTTGCCCCCTTGGCCAATGATGACAGAGACGTCGGCCGGCGCTGCCTGAGCCCCAGCCCCAGGGAGCCGGCGGCCTCTGGTTCAGGGCGGCTGTCGGGGAGCCGGCGACTTGGGGTGTCTGCAGACCCCGTCCTCCCGGGGCCCTCGGGGTGAGGGGCCAGCTTCCTTCGGACGGTGGGGTGGACAGGCCCTGTTAGGGCTCCAGAGAGCAAGTGCCACGACCCTCCCCGGGATCCACGCTCGTGTGGATTTACTGTTTTATTTTCTCCCCCCACCTCTTACGCCCCTCTGACCCCCTCACCGCGCCCCCCCGTCCTGCAGCCTCACTGTGTCGTAGAATTGACGAGTCACAGCGGCCTCTGCTTTCCCACGTCGCTGCCGCGCCCATGTCCAGCTCCCGGCCTGCTCTCTGCCCTGGCCCACGGGCGCCTCTGCTTGGCTGCTGGACACGGCCGAGCAGTGTCCATCGTGTGGACAGACCACGTCTCCCGGGCCCGGCTCAACAGTGGGCCCTCGGGTGCTTCCGTGTCTTCACTGCACGTTCTTAGAGACGGATACCGCGGCTGGACCGACGGGGTGACGGGGTGGGAGCACGGCTGGAAAAGTGGGTTCGGGAAGCTCAGAGCCGTGAGCCCTGCAAGCGACGGGGAGGGAGACGGTCCTGGCAGAGGCAGCGGTGGAGCAAAGGCCCTGGGGCAGCAGAGCGCTTGGCGCCCCGAGGTGGCCGCTGCGTCCCGGGTGTGTAGCCAGGTCTGGTCCTGGACAGAGGCCCTGCATATGCCCCCTGCACAGACAGCTCTGGCCAGGCGGCCGCTGCGCCGTCCCCTGGGACCCATGCAGGTGACCCTCACCTCCCACAGGCCGTCGCCCATGGAGCCTGGGCTGCGGCTTCCAGACAGCCGCACTCGCCCGGGTCTGGGTTGTCAGGTCCTGACGTGAGAAATCTGCAGGGCCCAGCGTCTGCCCGCCAGGCGCGTCCACCCACTGCCTGTGCGTCCACCGCAGACCCTCGTTGCGGCGGGTGTGACGCAACCCCTTGGCCCCGCAGGTTCGCCACGCGGGAGAGGAACGCCCTGCTGCTCTACAACGGCCGCTTCAACGAGAAGCACGACTTCATCGCCCTGGAGGTGGTGGACGAGCAGGTGCAGCTCACCTTCTCGGCAGGTAGGGCCTCCCTGCAGGCGGGCCTCGGGGCGCTCCCGGGCCCTTGTGGTTAACCCCGCCATCGGTCCCGCACCATTGAGGGTGCTGACCCTCTGATGCCCCCTCCCCGCCTGGGAACTGCCCTGGGAGGGGGCCCAGAACACACGCAGGCGTCCTGGGCGTTACTCACAGGCCGGGGGGCGGGGGTGGGGCCCGGGTGGAGGCGCGTCTGGAGCCTTTTGGGGACGGTCAGAGGGACGTCTGGCCTTAGCGGCTGCCTGACCCCTACCTCTCTCTGGCCCGGCGCAGGCGAGACCACCACCACCGTGGCGCCGCAGGTCCCGGGGGGCGTGAGCGACGGGCGCTGGCACGCGGTGCAGGTGCAGTACTACAACAAGGTAGGGCGCCCCAGCTGCGCAGCCAGTCCCTCTGCCCTGGGGTGTTTACGCCACACAGCTGCTGGCCGGGGGCGCGACGTGGAAGGGAGCGTTTGCTGGAGGGGTGGGTGATATCCCCGTGCTCCGTGTCGGGGTGGGTGTGCCCCCGAGAACGCCGGGCGGGCACCCAGGGACCGCAGGTCACCTGCCCCGGGGGAGGGCGCAGAAAGAGCTACTCACACAACGCCTGGCCGGGCCCTTCCTGCGGCCGAGGTTCCAGGCCATTCAGGCTCGGCCCGAGCGTGGCTGCCCGCTCCCGCCGGACGTAACCCGAGTGCCGGGGTTCCTGGGAGGACGTGTGCCCGCCGGGCGTCTCTGGTGTCACTCATTCTGCCCCTTTCTGGCTAAGGGAACTGTTGTCGCTCTTGTGTCAAAATGCCCGGCTTCCTTGCCTGGTTTCGCAGGCCGCGCGGCTCCTTCCCGGGGCTCCGAGGGCCGCCCGCGCGGGCAGGAGCTCCCCATGGCCGGCCGCCTGCCCTCCGGCCTCCGCTCGCCTGGCCTGCTCAGGGGGCCGAGACGCCGGGCGCCGTGGCCCCAGGGGGGGTGGGGGCTGCAGCGTGCAGGCCGGTGTGGGCGGTGGGGTCCCTCGCCCAGACTCCATGCTGGGGCCGCACCTTCCTTCCTGCCCGCGAGGGCCACTTCTGGGCGGCCCGAGGGCCGGGCTGTGGGAAGTGGTCAGCCGGGGTTTCTTGCCGCCTTGGTGGCTCTGTGGGCCGGAGCCCGGCTTGGCCTCCCCACGTCCCCACTGCCCCTCCCTGCACACGCGCTCCAGCCTCGGCAGCCGCCCACCGGGAAGCGAGCCTGGGGAGCACCCGAGGAAGGAGGGGCCCCTCGAGGGGGCAGTAGGTGCGGGTGGATCCCTGCCCTCCCGCTCCTGGCTCCAGGCCGCTCAGCGGGATTAGGCCTTTCCGGGAGCTCAGCTGCTTCCTCTCTCGCCCGAGGCCGGAAACCCAGCGCCCTGGCTTCTCCCACCGCCGGGAGATTGTGCCCCCCTCCTTCTCCAAGGCCGGACCCTCTCTGCTGCCCGGGCCGGGCCACAGGCCTGCTGGGAAGAGCAGCCCGGGCCGGTGGAGGCCTGAGCGGAGCAGGCAGCTCTGAAATGGCCAGTAAGGGCCAGTCGTTCTGTCCCCTGACGGGGCATCTAAGGGGTATCGGGGCCAGCAAGGAACCTGGAAAGGGGAGGAGGAAGCCACTGACTTGGGGCAGACCTCAGTGCCAGCCCGAGGCCCCGGGCCCCCCTGGTCGCCTTGGGCTCCCAGTGGCCAGGCCGGCCAGCAGCCAGAGGACGGGGGTCCCCGTAAGGTCTCCACAGGGAGGGGCAACCGCCGACTGCCTCTGCCTGGTGACCTTGGAGGAGGCCCGTGGTGTCATCGCCAGTGGAGAGGCTGAGGGGTGGGCCCTGGAGCTGGCGTCTCCCCGGTCAGGGAGTCTCACAGGCAGGCATTTCGCACCCCGTGTGGAGGAGCCCCCCACCCCCTGGGGTTTGGCCAACACCACCTCCAGGCGATGTCCCCCCACACCAGGCGATTGCTGCTGGGAAGGCCTCCCGGGGGCTCTGGGCTGGTGCCCGGGTGGCTTCTCCCCAGAGCCCCGGTTTGTCCTGCTCAGGGGCCTTTAGGCTCTTTGGGGCCCAGGAGCAGGTGGGGGGAGCTGTGCTCCCGGGGGGCTCTGACGGCACCCCTTGGCTCTCAGGGGTGCTGTTTGAAAGGACGGCCCTGCTCTTGGCGGGAGCATGACCGTGTGCCTGGCGCTGTGGGGCGCCTGTCCGGATCACGCGGGGCCCTCCGCGGCCTCAGGAGCGTTGGGGGGGGCGCAGACGTGTGGCGAGGAGTTTAACAAGACCCCAGCTGTGCCGCCGCCTCGGGATCTCCCAGCCAGCCATGCCCTCCTGCCCGCCGGTGTCCATGGTGCCCTCCTGCCGGCTGGGGAAGGCGTGGACGTGCGGTCAAGGGCTCAGGACGTGCCTAATCTAGACGCCAGGTCTCGGGCCTGCTCAGGGTGTGGGCCTCGGCAGGGCCAGGGCTGGGGTTCTGGGGCTCGTGAAGAGTGAACCCAGGAGGGGGGGGGGTGGTGTCCGCGCCCCTCAGCGCCCCATTAGCCGTGGCCATATGTTTTGCTTTTTTCATTCCTTTTTCTTTCGAAAACTTGAAGCGAGCTCTCTCCTTTCTTCTGAGACGACTGGCGCAGCCAGCTCTCCGCCAGGGCCTGGAGCTCCCGGCACCCGCTGCAGCCGTGGCGGAGTCGGGTGAGCGAGGAGGGTGGCAGGAGGCGGGGCCTGGCGGGGCTCCAGCTTATTTACAGGCGGATGGATGGAGGCTCCGCAGGGGCAGAGCCGCAGGTGCTGGGGGCTGGAGCGGCCCCCGGCTTCCAGCGAGCGGAGAGGGCTGGAGAGAGCGAGAAGAACACGCGTCTCGGGGCGGGCCCCGTCCTCTGTCTGGACGCGGACGGCCAGGGCCTGATGCACCCTCCAGGCGAGTCCTGGAGAGTCCAGCGCCCGGGAGGGGAGGGCGCCCCACCGTGGGGACCCCGGGGCTGCAGCGGGGCGCCTGCTTCCTTTCCAAAACAGCCCGTGGGAGCCTAGAAAAGTCACCTGCTCGGGGAAACAGCCATTTCCGGGACGAGGCGGCCCCGCCCGGCCTTTGTGTCCCTCGCTGGCTTCGGAAAGTTGCCGCGGGCTGGGCCGCTACTGGGGGGGGGGCCCTCCACCTGCCCAGCCTCCCAGTCCACCCCGGCACCTCCCCCAGCCTGCAGCCCCTGCCCCCACCCCGGGACCGAGGAGTGACTGGGCTCTCAGGCCCACCCACAGGAGCGGGAAACCGAGGCACAGCAGGTGGGGGGTGGGACCCCAGGGCTGCCCCCCGCCCCCCCACCGCCTTCCCAGCCCCACTGCGCTCTGTCCCAACCAGTTCCGCGCCCACTGGCACTTCACCTCTGGGGGTGCCGGCGCCTCACCCTCGGCGCCTGCGGGGGACGGGGTGGGGTGGGGGGTCAGGGCCTGGAGAAGACAAAAGGTCCAGACTCGGGGGACAGAGAGGCGCCTGTTGGGGCCCCAGCCCCGGCCTTTCAAGAATGCGGCGTGAGTGTGCGAGCGGGTGTGGGCTGGCGCGTGTGCACGTCTCGGGAGCCTTTCTCTTTCTTCCCCGAGGCTGTTAAACGGGAAGCAAAGTCTCCAGGAGAGTCAGACAAAGGGTTTATGGGATAACCCGAGCGAGGCTTGGAGCCCCGGGAAGCCGCGCGGCTTCCTCTGTGAGAACCGCTCCAGTCCACACAAGTTTGGGCTGAGTTTACATAGGCCGGAGCGTGAGTCACGGGCATTAGGGACGCAATTACTCCCCCGGGAGCGTTTGGGCCTAAAGCTTCGTGGTCGCCGCCTTCGCGCGGCGGGTGCTGGGGGCCGATCTCTTCTGTTTGAAGACGGCTGTGGAGGCGCCGAGGCTTCCTGCCCCGCCCGGGGTGGCCCAGGGGGCCGCATCACCGTAGGCAGCGACCCTGCAGGGCGCGTGCTCCTGCCGGCCGGAGCCCGTTGCAGTCCGTTCTCGGGCTCTGTGGAAAGGTGACCCGTCCATCCCGCAGCCCAGCGAGGTTGTCATTGCCGAAGGCGTCTGTCCTTTCTCTCCTGGGACAGTGAGGGCGGAGCCCAAAGCCCCTCTCTGGCCCCAGAATTCGCCCCTGGTGTCCCGGCTTGTGCCTCTGCAGGAACCCCCATGCCTCTGGGGGGACCTTGGTGCCTCCGGAGAACCCCACTAGGCTCACAGATTCCCCTTCCCTCATCCAACTGGAAATAGCCAGAGGTGGGGCGTGAGCGTCGTGTGGGTGCCTGAGCAGCTGCCCACAGAGGTCCTGTGTGGACGGAGGGCCCTGTTCTGTGTCCTTCGTGGCTGGAGAAAGACCCCCAAGCAAGGCCACACAACCGCCTCTTCCCAGGGGACGGGGTGGGGGGCGGGGGCTGTGCAGGGCCGGTCAGGAGGGTCCCGCTGGGCCCCAGTTCCCTCCCGTGCGCCCAGAATCTTCTGTGTGGCGATGGGCCTGGCCCGAGAGGGGCCGCCGTGGCAGACAGGGTTTTCCAGAACAAAGTCACCCCACAGAGAGCCCCGGTCGCCCATTCCCGTCCCGCACACGGCCCGCCTTTTCCTGAGTGGGCCCCACTCCGGCGGCCGGCACCGCCACTGCCGTCTGAAGAGCCCGTGTCCCCCCGCCTGCCCCGAGGCCTGGTGGCCGCTTTTGCTGAAGGTTCTGCTTCCCGCGCGGGGCGGCTCTGTCCGCAGGGCTGGGGCTCGTGCAAGCTCCCCGGGCGTAAGTGCTGTTTACCCTCTCCTCGGCGCGCCTCACCCGGCCCCAGAAATGTAAATTACAAGTTGCAGAGGTAACAGGCGGCGCGGCGGGCGCTTCCCCGGGAGGCGCTGGCGTGCGGGCGTCGTGACAGCCCCCGCGGCCGCGTGAGCGCGAGCCCGCGCGTTTCCTCCGCTCGTCCGACGCGCCCGGCCTTAGGGACGTCCTTGAGGACGTAGCCGAGCCGGCCGGGGCTCCCCTGGCAGAGGCCGAGAGCGGGCGGCTGCCTGACGAGGTCCCGGTGGTGCCAGGAGCGCCGCGACCTCTCACGCGCCGTGACTCCCTGGCGGGTGCAGCACCCCTGTCTCGCCGTGGCCCCCGCCCGCAGCCCCGGCGAGCCCACTGGGGCCCGGGAAGGATGCCGTGGCGGGGTGCCTGCTGGGGTAGGGGGCTGGCGGGGCGAGGCTGCCACGGGCTTCCTCGGCTCTGTCCACGTGCCCCGACCTCCATCCTGGGCAGGGGCACTCGGGGCTGGCGTCTGCCCGGGCCGGGCCGGCGGGACACACTGACGTCGCCTGCGCTTCTGCTCGACAGCCCAACATCGGCCGCCTGGGCCTGCCCCACGGCCCTTCCGGGGAGAAGGTGGCCGTGGTGACCGTGGACGACTGTGACACCGCCGTGGCCGTGCGCTTCGGCAGCTTCGTGGGCAACTACAGCTGCGCCGCCCGCGGCACCCAGAGCGGCTCCAAGAAGTGAGCACCCAGCCCGGCGCCTACCCACCCCTGCCGTGAGACCCACGGGCGGCCCTGGCGCCCACCCGCCCCTGCGTCCACCCCACCCCTGCTGCGAGACCCCCTCCAGGCGGCCCCGGCGCCCACCCGCCCCTGCTGTGAGACCCCCGGATGGCCCCGTGGTCTGGGCTGCACTCGGCATCCTCCCCGTGGCACTGCACCCTCAGCCACTGCCCGCCCCACCCTGAGGTGGGGGGCAGAGGTTGCCGTGACCTTCGGCCATGTGGGGTCCCTGCGCCGGCCGGAGCTGACGGGCCTCTGCACCCAGGTCCCTGGATCTGACCGGCCCCCTGCTGCTGGGGGGCGTCCCCAACCTGCCCGAGGACTTCCCGGTGCACAACCGGCAGTTCGTGGGCTGCATGCGGAACCTGTCGGTGGACGGCCGGAACGTGGACATGGCCAGCTTCATCGCCAACAACGGCACCATGGCGGGTACGGTGGGGTAGGCGCCACACGGGTGGGCAGGCGCCGCCCTGTCAGGAGACGTCCCGGGCCCAAGCTGGGCGCCCCCATGGCTGTACTTGGGGACTGGGCTCCTGCCGGCCAGCACGGCCCCTCCAGCCCAGCTCCTCGGGCTCACCGCCAGGGGCCAGGGCCGGGGTGGGTCCAGCTCTGCCATCCCAGCCCTCTGGCTGCGGCCGCGCTTGCCGGCTCTCCCTGGGTGCCGCGCAGTGTGGGGGTCGGCACAGCCCATGGTGGCGGGAGATGTTGTGCTCCCCCCGAGACCCTCCACCCCCTGTGCCCAGGCTGCGCCGCTCAGAGGAACTTCTGCGAGGGAACCTGGTGTCAGAACGGGGGCACCTGTGTCAGCAGGTGGAACACCTACTTCTGCGAGTGCCCGCTGCGCTTCGGCGGCAAGAATTGCGAGCACGGTGAGTGCCGGGCGCCCTCCGTCGCCCCAGAGGCCTGCGCCCCCAGGTGAGGGCCCGCGGGGGCACGCGTCAGGCTGGGCTGGGGCTCTGGACCCCGTCTGAGCCGGTGCCATGTAGTGGGAGTCTGTGCAGCTGGAGGAGCCGGGCGGGGTGGGGTCCTGCCCTCGGGCACGCTGGTTCCCAGACCCAGCACCCCCAGGCCTCCTGGCCGCCCGCCCGTTGGGCTGTGTTGGGCATCAAGGGCATCAGCAGGTCAGAGCCTGCACTGGGGCTGCCCGCCCGCCCCTCACCACAGCGATGGGGCTTCTCGGGGGCCCAGCTGGCCTATGGTGCGTCCTCCCTGAGGCCTCGGCGCTCCAGCCTATGCCCTGCGGGCCAGCTGCGGGTCCACACCCAACTGCTTAGGGGAGGCTGGTGCTTGATCCTGCTCAGAGCCTCGAAGGGGTCAATGAGGCAGAAGCAGGAGGGCGCTGACCCCACCTGGCGTCGAGGCAGGTGACTGGAAGGCGGACACCGCTCTGCCCTGGTCGGACTGGCCAGTTACTCCCTGTGTGGTGGAGAGCAGCCCGGCCCTTCCAGGCCCCGAGCGGCCGAGGTGGCCAGCTCTGTCCAAGGCCTCTGGACAGGTCACAGCCCCCCCTGCTGCTGTGGTGGGCAGGAAACTGGTCGGTGGGGCCACGGTGCCAGGATGCCACGCCTGCAGTTCCTGTTATGGAGGTCACGCGCCCGCCCGCCATGCCAGGGAAAACAGCTGTCAGCAGGGTCACAGGGGCGGGAGACAGATGTCCGGTGCTCAGGGGCTGGGTCCCCCCACGGGCAGCCCCAGGGGAGCCTGGCTGTGGCCAGCGGGTGCTGCCCGTGAGACCCGCAGTGACTGGCCCGCCCCCTAGCAAGAATTGGGGTGCACCTCCAGCGCCCATGCGTCCCCAGGAGTCGGGCTGGCAAGAGAAGGGGGGCTTGTGGGGACTGTCCAGTCCTGCACTGCCCGGCACCCACCGCTTTTTCACGTGTCACAGACAGGGTGAGGCAGTAGGCCCCCCAGAATATCTGACTGTCCTCACTAGACAGCACTGTCCCAGCTCGGAGCCCACCCCAGGGCCCCAGGGCAGGCGTGTGAGCTGGGCGTGATCCCCACCAGTCTCCTTCTGAGCAGGTCAGTTACGGGGTCGAGGGGCTTACACTGTCCGCCAGGCGGCCAGCCTCCGTGCAGCCCCCGCCACACAGCTCCCCCGTGGCGGTGGAGGGTGGGCAGGCAGGCGGTCCGCAGGCCCCAGCCCGCTCCTGCCACTGAGCTGGGCCGTCCCAATCCTCTGAGAGGCCCTCGCTGTGCCCGTGAGCCCCCAGACAGACCCTGGCCTCACTCCCCAGGAAGGTCACGTGCTTCCTGGGGCCCCTGGATGCAGGGGGGCGGGTGCCGGGGAGCCAAAGTCCCTGAGACCAGCCTTGGCGTTAAAGGGCGAGAGGCGGCTCTCCCCACTGCCCGGCCAGTCCCCGGGCCCCGCTGACTTCAGGCCCGTGTGTCCACAGCCATGCCTCACCCGCAGCGCTTCAGCGGGGAGAGCGTCGTGTCCTGGAGCGACCTGGACATCACCATCTCCGTGCCCTGGTACCTGGGCCTCATGTTCCGCACGCGCAAGGCGGACGGCGTGCTGATGGCGGCCGTGGCCGGCTCGTCCTCCCGGCTCCACCTGCAGGTGAGCCCGACCCCTGCAGCCGCGTGCACAGGAGGTGTCTCCAGCCCCCGAGGACCCGGGTGCTCATGGAGTGCGTGGGCGAGCTTTTCCAGGGGCCTCCAGGCGCCTGTCAGCGCCGCGCCCTCACCCCGGTTCACCTCCCGACACGACGGCGCCTGGGGCACGCCTGAGCTGTGCCGGGTCTGGGGGAGTCCGCGCCAGCTTGTTGATTCCTCTTCCCTGTGCACTTTCCTTCCTTGTGTGTCCGTGTGTGTGCAAGCGTGTCCACGTGTCTCTGGGTCTAGCTGTGCGCGTGTGTTATGGGTCTGTACGCAGGCCTGCATGCACGCCCATGGCTCTCCGTGTGCACTGTGATGGGCCCGTGTGCACATGTGTCTGTGACCCTGCACCACATACGTGCCTGACACGATTCTCCTGTGTGCACGTTTGTGCTGAGCCCCGCCACACGTGCCTTGTGTGTGATGTTCCTGTGTGTACGCTTCTCTGATAGATATGTGTGCACATGTGTCACCGTGTTTGCCATGGTCCTGTGTGCACACGTCTCTGATAGATGTGCGTGCACACATGTCATGGTGTCTGTGACATGGTCTGGCGCACATACGTGTCTGTGCTGTGTTCAGCATGTACGCCCTGTTCCTGTGTGCACGCGTGTCTGTGGTATATGCGTGTGCACGCGTGTCTCTCTGTGTGTGACGGGCTTCTCGCTCTGGGCCAGTGGACCGTGGACGTAACTGCAGACGGGACAGCTGTGTTGGGTCAGAGACACCAGAGGGGAGAGGACCCGCTGGGCCTGTCTTAGCTCAGCTACTTGGGGGGTCCCCCCCCGGCTGCTCACCCTTGTCCTGCAACGTTCCTGGGCCTCTGCCGCCGGGCTGTCCACCTGGAAGCGCGGTGTGCCCAGCGCCCCTTGCACTCCTAGCTGGAGGTCGGCGGGGAGGCTGCCCCAGGGCTCCGGCAGGCCCCGGCCCCGTCAGGACAGGTCCCAGGAGGCTGCCTGGAGGTGTGTGGGCTCGGGCCCCCGCTGTCAGCCCAGACCGCAGGTGGCGAGGGCGGCCGGGCACGGGCGACGTGTCCTGTCCTCCTGCTCTGCCAGCCGGAGCGTGCCGGCGGCCGGGAGCAGGCGTGGCCGGCGCGGTTCTGCCCGGGGATGGGATTTTTCTCTAGTGGGTTCATTGTTGGAACAAATTAAATTGGCTGTTTCGGTTCAGGCGATGAATCGGACCTTGTCCTTTGGCAGAGGGTCTCTGTCGGAAAAAAGTACGCCTGCGTGGAGCCTCGCTGACGCCGCGGGCGCCCTTGTTTGAGTGATGACGTGTGGGGGAGCTAATCCGAAATGGAAGGTTTTTTTTTTCTATTTTGCCAGGGGCTGCAGCCGGCCCCTCGCCGGAGAAGTCTGGGAGGTGAGGGTGGATGTAACTGCAGTTGGGGCAGCTGGGGTGGGAGGCCCTCCGACCCAGCAGCCACCCGGACGGCTGCCCAGGGCCATCGCCAAAGGTCACACAGATGTCGCGGGAACATCCCGCGTGGGGGCGCAGGCCCCTGCAGGCCCCGTGGGCTCCGGGGACGACAGCGTGTGCTCCTGAAAGGTCCTCTCCACGGCAGCTCAGACAAGCCCCAGCCCCGTAGGCACCCAACAGCCCAAGCAATTTGTGTAATTGCTCCCAGGCGCCCTGAGCCGCCTGCATTGTCAGTGGGAAAGCTTGGCGGCTGTTCACGCTCTCTTGTAAATCCCCTGGCAGGGCTGAGGTGGCAGGCCGTCACCCCGGTCCTGGCTTCATTCAACAAGTATCGCTTTTGTTTGGAGACAGATGTCACTGTTCTTGCTCTGCTGGCCTTGGGGTTCTGGGAGGGGATGGGGGAAAGAATGGCAGGGGGCACCGGCCTGCGACTTAAACCTGTGGAGCAAAAGGAAAAAGGTGTGAAGAGGCAAAAGGTTATCTTCTTCGGTGGACTGTCAGCTGAGACGAAAGATCCAAGTACATTTTAGTTGCGTTATCTTTACACTCAGCTGGACGCGGTTCTGCTGCCCGTGGCGCTTTAGAAGTGGATGTCTGAGGTAGGAGCGGGTGGTGTCTTGTAGCAGGTCGTTCTGTTGCGTTTGCATAATTGCAGGTCAGAGGATGCAGGGCCGTGATTCCAGCCCTCGGAGATGTGCTGAGGCTTGCTTCCCAGCCCGGCATTGAGCCGTGTGTGTGTGTGTGTGTGTGTGTGTGTGTGTGTGTGTGTGAGAAGCCTGCCCATGCCGGGAAGGGGTGCGGGCTGTATGTTCTCCCTGTGTCAAGAAGCCAAAGTGTGTTAATTACGGTGTTCAGATCTGTGGGATTAACTTTATTTCTGGGACGTATTCTCGGGATGCAGAGAGATGAGATTGTGGATTTGTTGCTTACTCTTTTTTTTAATTCTGTCAAGTTTTGCTTTATGGATTTTGAGGCTGTGTTATTAAGCGCCTACAAATGCAGAAATGTGTTCTGGAAAATCAACTTTTCGTTACAGAAATCCTCTTTGTTCTCTTTATTTTTAAAGTTGACTTTGTCTCTTATCCGTGTGGTTACACCCGCTTTCTTTTGGTGGGTGTTCGCACGTGCTGTGTCTTTTTCTGTCTTCTTAGCCTCCACCTTTCTACAGCCTTAGGTTTCACGTGTCTCTTTTAAACAGTGCCTCACCACGAGTTGGGTTTTAGGGTTTTTTTTGGGTCAACTCTAGCCTTTAGTTGAAGTTCTCTTTGAGCAGGGGTACCTTAAGCTAGTGACATGCTGTTCTCTGGTCTTCCTTACACTGGGGCTGGACTCTTAGCTCAGGAAATACCACGGTGATGACCTTGGTCACGCGAATGTGCTTCCCGGGCCCTTCTGTGGGAGCCCTGGCTCTTTGTCCGAGGTCTCCATCTAATAATCTTCCTCTCCGGCTTCCCTGCGGGGCTGTTTCCTCTGCTGCTTGCTTCTTGGCTTTCAGGCTGTCTGGCCCCGCAGGTACTTGGGACACTGGCAGCACCTGGAAAAACTGCAGACAGTTAGAGACTAGGATGATGGTCACCAGCCCTGATGTTGCTCCTGGCTGGCAGCCTCTGCCCCAGGCAGCCTGAATCCGGGTTTTACCCTCCAGCGCTGCCGCCTAGAAAACTGCGTCCAGCGAATATTCCCACCTCTTCAGAACCAGTGGCAGCCCCAGGGGAAAGCAGACGCCAAGCCCTTGGGCCGGCCCTCAGTCGGGGAGGCGAGAGCTCTGTGCTGCTCCTGGGCACACGTTCTTACAGCACCAACATCTTAGGCCAGCGCCAAGCCGATTTCGGTTTTTTGATCCATACACTGAGACATGGTGGTCTGAATCTTGTCTCATGAAGCCTTATTTTGTGTACCCCAAAATAAGAGCACGATTGTCTCGGGGGGGGGGTGTCCCAGTGTCCAGGTCCAATGGGCCTTGTGTTAACCGGGCGGAGCTGGCACTTTTCCCGGCCCCGGGGTGTGTAGTGAGCACGAGAAGCGAGACTCCGCCTGGTTTGAGGCTCCTCCTCCAGCAGCGCGGGGAGGGCCTGCCTGCGAGCGACCCGTCAGTCCGTGCGCGTGGCCCCCGTCCTGCAGATCCTGAACAGCTACGTCCAGTTCGAGGTGTCCCACGGCCCCTCAGAGGTGGTGTCCATGAGGCTGTCCAGAGCACGCGTGACCGACGGGGAGTGGCACCACCTGCTGATCGAGCTGAAGAGCGCCAAGGAGGGCAAGGACATCAAGTACCTGGCGGTCATGACCCTGGACTACGGGGTGGACCAGGTGGGTCATCAGGCCCGTGGGAACAGAGGGGCCCTTCGTGAGCCAGGGCCCGCCAGAGCCCTTGTGGATGGGGAGGTGCGTCCGGCCCCGGCTGGGGCTCACCTCCCCCCTGTGCTGGGGTCACCGGCGTGTGTACCTCATCCCCGTCTAGATGGCCGGGAGCCGGCCCGCTCCCATCTGCGTGTCCCTCGTGGCTGGCAAGTCCAGAAACCCTTTGTTTTATCAACGCTGTCTTGAGTGACAGCTGTGCACTCAGCACCGGGTACCCCAGCCTCAGAGCGGGCGGGCATGAGGGTGGGTGACCAGGGGCTGGCGCTGGTGGCCGCTGGTGTCGCCAGGTGGCCTTACGAGGCACCCAGACACTTTGGGACCCCACGCGGTTCCTGGGCGCTCTCCTGTCTGGGCTCAAGGCCTCCCAGTTCCGACCACTAAGGGTTCGCCCCGCGGGCACGCTGCCTGGGCTGTGGGCCGGGCCAAGCCCTTCTTAGGTTGCCGCCATGTCCCCTTGGCCTGCTGGGCGCCCACAGGGGCTCCTGGGTGGCAAGCTGGAAGGCGTCGGTGCCCCCCATGGCCCCCTTGGTCGGGCTGGGGTGAGCAGACGCTGTGGCCCGCTCGAGGCCGCGGGTCCGCTCGGGAGCTCGCGGGCCACCGGGAGGCGCGCCCGGTGGTGGACGCGCGGCTCCGTGTGCAGGACGCCATGCAGATCGGGAACCGGCTGCCGGGGCTGAAGATGAGGAGCGTCGTGGTCGGGGGCGTGTCCGAGGACAAGGTGTCCGTGCGCCGCGGCTTCCGGGGCTGCATGCAGGTAGGCGGGGGCCAGCCCGTCTGTCTCCTCAAACCAGTAACCGGCGCGGCAGCCGACCCGGCCTAAACCCTGTCCCCCGCCCGTCCTGCCCATCGCTCCCTCGTGCCGTGCCCCGCCCCACCCCAAGCCACCTGGGCCCCTGCGGCTCCGCCTGGTGTCCTGACCCCGCGCGCACCTGTGCACGGCCACCCGGGCCCCCAGGGCGTCCAGCTGCAGCCCCCGAAGCCCCCCGCCTCCGCCTCGCCTGCAGGGAATTTGCCCCTCACCTGCCCCCACCCGTGGTCCTGTCTCCCCACCTGGAACCAAGCCCGCGTGTGGCGGAGTCCCCGTTCCGCCGGCTCCCGCCCCTCTGCCCGTCCCTGTCGCAGCCCTGCAGGCCGGGGAGGCCTTGCTGTGGACACGAGCCCTGGAGCAGGGGCCTCTCATCCCAGGCCTTCGGGGCCTCCAGCCCCAGGGCCGGGTCTGACGCTGTCCCCACGCAGGGAGTGAGGATGGGGGAGACGCCCACCAACGTGGCCACGCTGAGCATGAAGGACGCTCTCAAGGTCAGGGTGAAGGACGGCTGTGACCTGGAGGACCCCTGCACCTCCAGCCCCTGCCCCCGGCACAGCCGCTGCCGGGACGCCTGGGACGCCTTCGCCTGCGTCTGTGACAAAGGTGGGAGCCGGCCGCGCCCCAGGCCCCTCAGCGCAGGACGGTGCCGCTGGCTTCTGAAATACAGAGCCGAAGCGGGGGTCGGCGCCCCCGTCAGCTTTCCGTGGGCCTGCAGCGTCGGCCCCTCTTAAAACGCCCGTGTGTGCCCGCTGACGGGGCCCGCGGCCGCCGAGCCGCACCCTTGTGGCACCGGCCCGGGGAGGGTGGAGGGCAGAACGCGCACACTTACAGTCGCTGCCTCGGGGCGCCCCCACAGCTCCCGTCCCCCGGGTGCCCCGCCACGTGGGTGTCCAGCCTCTGCGCGGGCAGTGCCGGCTGGGCGTGCCCTGGGTGACGCCGGTCTGCCCTGCAGGGTACTTCGGGCATAGGTGCGTGGACGTGTGTCGCCTGAACCCCTGCGAGCAGGTGTCGGCCTGCGTGCTCAGCCCCGGCTCCCCGCGGGGCTACGAGTGCCAGTGCGCGGCCGGCCGCTATGGGCCGTACTGCGAGAACAAGTAAGAGCCCCCGGCCGCGCCCTGCCCGCGCCCCCCACCCACACTGCCCCGCCCTGCCCGCGCCCCCCACCCACACTGCCACGCCCTGCCCGCGCCCCCCACCCACACTGCCCCGCCCTGCCCGCGCCCCCCCCCCCACGCTCCCCAGCCCCGCGGCACGTGGTCACGGTGGCATTCGCAACGTGGCGCCAGAGAAGTGAGACCCCAGCTGGGTGCCCTGGTGCGCCGCGTGGGCATGTTCCCAGAAGCACGCGTGCGCAGGCAGGCGGACCCGCTGGAGACACATGGTCGTAAGCGCCACCCCCCAGCCGGGGCCGGTGCCCCCGTGCGCACCCCAGGGACGGGGTGCTTGGCCCTTCACATGCTGAGCACTTGGGGGGCTGCCTCGGGGCCAGCGGTCCCTGGCCAGTGCTGCCCAGCCCGGTGTGGGGCCTCGGTCCAGTGGCACCAGAGCACACGCCGGGACCCCACCCTTGAGCAAGCGCGGCGGGAGTGCGGGCAGTGGCCCGCGGTGACGGTGGTCCGGGAGCACAGGGCCGGGGAAGGAGCTGTCCCGCGGGGCTGCGCTGGGAGGCAGGGAGGCCTGCTGGCTTGTGGCCTTGGGGCCGGCCTGGGTCCCGGGAGTTCCCGCGGGGCGCCCAGGGGGCAGGGGCCAGCTGGAGGTCAATGCAGGGTCCCTAGTCCTGGCCAGGATCTCCGCCCGTCATTTGTACACCCTTTCTGCTGGTGGTGGTGTGGAGGACCCAGCGCTTCACGCGGGGCCACTGGCAGGCGCAGCGATGGCTCGGGGGATGCCAGGTGGAGCCTGGGAGGCCTTCGTGCTGTTGCTGGCGCCTGGGCTCTCCGCCAGGGCTGGGCGAGGCAGGACTGGGCCTGCCGTCCAGCCGTGGCTTCCAGGAGCTGACGGGGGCATGTGGGACAGAGGCTGCTTAGAGTGTGCATGGGGACGCGGTGACGGTTCAGTCGGGACCGGGGGGCGCACGGTGCTGTGGCCCCTGGTCCAGGAGCCACTGGCAGGCACCCCGTGCCACAGACGCCCTGAGTTGGGAGGGTCGCCGGCGGGGTGCAGTCTGCTGTGTGGATGGGGGTCCTGCCCGGGGCAGCGCACATGGGGTTGGTTCCAGTGAGTGCCCGCGGGCCGGGCATTATTGCGGGCAGCGGGCAGTGACCTCAGTTGGACGCCCCGCCCCGCGCTGGGTGGGGGACCCCCTCCAGAGAAGGAACGAGTGAGCAAACTGGTTAATTAAAAAAATAAAGTTCTGTGGTCTCTGATTTGCTCCGCAGTTTGGTACCCCAAAAAAACCCCAAACCAGCAATTTCATAGATAGAACTGCCCCAGACGGGGCCCCTGGAGCTGGGAATGCACCCAGGAGTTCTGAGCGTCCTGGCAGTGGCCCCGCAGAGGGGCAGCCGAGGCCACGGGGGAGGGAGGGACTGGAACCTGAGAAGCAAGGCCCAGGCCCCAGAAGGCTCCTCTGGCCCCACGAAGAGCCCCGGGTACACTCTCCTCCTCGGGCATCTCCCTGCAGGATCGACCTTCCTTGCCCCAAAGGCTGGTGGGGGAACCCTGTGTGCGGACCTTGCCACTGTGCCGTCAGCAAAGGCTTTGACCCCGACTGTAACAAGACCAACGGGCAGTGCCAATGCAAGGTGAGGCGGTGGGGAGGGAGGGGGGCGCGTCCACACGGCACGTCCCGCACAGCCAGAGCCTGGCACGCGCACACATGAGCACACACAGCCCGGAGCCCAGCGCACACGCGCGTGAGCACACCAGGCCCAGAGCCTGGCATCCCCGCACACGTCGGTCGCCACTCGACTCTGGTCCTTCTGGGGACCAACACGGAGGAGGCCTGTGAGCGTCGGCGTCTGCACGCGCAGCCCCCACAGCCGCGGCCGCCCTGGGGATGGGGTGCGGGGCGGCCGGGGGGCCCAGTGCCCGCTGAGCCTGAGCTGCTCGGACCTGGCCTGGAGCCGCCCTGACCCGGCGCCTCTGCTGCCACAGGAGAACCACTACCGGCCCCCGGAGCAGGACGCCTGCCTGCCGTGCGACTGCTTCCCGCAGGGCTCCCGCAGCCGGGCCTGCGACGTGGACACCGGGCAGTGTGCCTGCAAGCCCGGCGTCGTCGGCCGCCAGTGCAACCGCTGCGACAACCCCTTCGCCGAGGTCACCGCGCTGGGCTGCGAAGGTCTGAGCCGGCCGGGGCACCCGGCTGCGTCCGGGACGGGCTGCTGTGTGGCATGCGCGTGCCCGAATGCCCCCGGGCTCGGGGGGTGCTGGGCAACCCCGGGGCTGCCTCTGGGGCCCTCCGGAGGGTGGGTCACGCCGGGGTCACTGCCGCGGGCAGGGGAGTGCGGGGGTCTGCCTCGGGCAGGTCTCTGGCAGGCAGAGCCCTGCTGCACTGAGCCGCCTCCTGTCCGGCCCCCAGTGATCTACAGCGGATGTCCCAGAGCCTTCGAGGCGGGAATCTGGTGGCCCCAGACCAAGTTCGGACAGCCGGCCGCGGTGCCCTGCCCCAAGGGGTCTGTGGGTGAGTGGGGAGCTGCGGGGCAGGTGGCGGAGGCTTGGGCTTGGAGCCCTCACCTGGGGCAAGAGGCCTTTAGCCAAAGGCTTGGGCAGAGCCGAGGGCCGTGCAGACCCGCAAGGAGGGTCTTCGCTGCGCATGCGTCGGGGTCTCTGGGGGTGGCAGCCAGGGGTGCACCCTATAGGGGGCAGCCGAGAGATGACCCCTGGGGCCGTGGCTCCCACCTGTGCCAGGTGCCCGTTGCCACATCTCGCTGCCCAGACGTGCCCGACGCTGCCCGACCAGCTTCCCCTGGAGCCCGCACTAGCCCAGACGTGGCTCCGTGCCCCACCCCCCACCCTGTCCACCCGTGGGTGCCTCACCATGGACGGCCCCGGGGACCCCGGAACCTGTTTGTGAGCTGAGGGCCGAACTCGCTGGGCGTCGGCTCACTGGGACCGTGTTGCCTGGCGCTCACGCCTCCGCCTGTCCCTCCGCCCCCAGGGAACGCCGTCCGGCACTGCAGCGGGGAGAAGGGCTGGCTGCCCCCCGAGCTCTTCAACTGCACCAGCTCTTCCTTCGTGGAGCTCAAAGCCCTGGTAGGCGGCCAGGGCTGGCAGGTGGGGTCTGTCGGGGCCCCGGGGACCCCGGAACCTGTTTGTGAGCTGAGGGCCTGCCCCGGCCGTTGGCCTCGCCCCCTCCTTCCCCTCGGGGCGTCTTCCGAGACTGTTTGGTGGCGTGGACGCGCCGTGGTCTGCTGCCCTCCCCAGCCAGGGGCGCCCTGAGGTTTGGGGATGCTCAGTTTCCGGGTAGCTGGAAGGCCTGCAGCCGCCGGGCGCAGCGCTCACGGCCCGGCCCTTGCAGAACGAGAGGCTGAGCCGGAACGAGACGCGCATGGACAGCGACACGTCCCTGCGGCTGGCCAAGGCCCTGCGCGGCGCCACCCAGCGCTCGGGCGCGCTCTTCGGCAATGACGTGCGGACGGCCTACCAGCTGCTGTCGCGCGTCCTGCGGCACGAGAGCCAGCAGCAGGGCTTCGAGCTGGCGGCCACGCGGGACGCCGACTTCCATGAGGTGGGGCCGGGCTCTCGGGTCCTCTCCCCGCCACGCAGAGCCCCGGGGCCCCCCGCCCCGCAGAGCACCAGGCACGCCCCAGGCTCCCCACCGGGCTTAACTGCTGGGTTGGGTCGGGGCACACAGAAAGCCCCCCGCAGGGCTTCTCCTTGACGCGGGGCCTCCTGCCTTGGCGATTAAACACCAGCTCCGCTCCCCGCTGCCACCCCGGGGTCCCGGCCCTGGAGCCTTTCTCGAATGCGGGCAGCCAGGCTCTGGGCAGCCCCCTCGCGGACTGAGCGCCGTCTGTCTGTCTGGCCAGGACATCGTCCACGCCGGCAGCGCCCTCCTGGCCCCGGGCACGCGGGCCGCGTGGGAGCAGATCCACCGGAGCGAGGGCGGCGCCGCGCAGCTCCTGCGGCACTTCGAGGCCTACTTCAGCACCGTGGCCCGCAACGTGCGGAGGACCTACCTGCGGCCCTTCGTCGTGGTCACCGCCAACATGGGTGCGGGCGTGCCCCGGGGCTCGGGGGGCTAGGGCCGCGCCGGGGTGGCCGGAGACGGCCCGCAGCTCTGGCCGTGTCCTTGTCCGCGTGGGTCGCGCCGGCCCTACCCCGTCCCGCCCTGCATGTCAGTCTGTCCGTCCTGTGGGTCTGAGGCGGCGGCGCAGGCTCAATTCTGTCCTGGAGGACCCGGTCTGGCCAGGCGGGCGGGAGCGTCGGGGGTCCTGGAGGCGCTGGGGCGCGTGCAGTGTGCTGACGCCGCCCGTCCCCCAGTCCTCGCCGTCGACGTCTTTGACAAGCTCAACTTCACGGGAGCCAGGGTCCCGCGGCTCCGGGACGCGGGAGAGGAGGTCCCCAGGGAGCTGGCGTCCTCCGTCGTCTTCTCCGCCGACTTCTTCAGACCACGTGAGAAGAAAGGTGAGACCTGGCGCCGCCCCGGCCCCGGCCACGAGGACAGCCGTGCCGGGCGAGGGCCTCAGCCTGCGGGTGGCTGGGACCGGGCTCCTGAGGGCCTGTGGGCTGGGCGTGGCCGGTCTCCCTGGGTGGGCGACTGCGGAGGTGTGGACGCGGGAGAGGGCACAGGCGGCCAGGAAGGGTCAGCTGGAAAGTTTCAGGGCGTCTGTGTTGCCAGCCCCGGAGTGGCCCGTGTGCCCCCTCCGTGGCCAAGGGGGAGCCGAGCGGCGTGCTCCCCCAGCAGGCAGGGTGGCGGGTGGCGGAGTGGGGCCCCTAACGGAGGCCCTGGCACATGCGGGGATCCCTGCCCTGTCCCCAAGGACAGGCCACGCCCACAGCCGTGCAGCACCTTGGGGCCGCCTTGCGGCCTCGGCAGGTTTGCCTGTGCGGTGGCCGGCTCGGCGGCGTGGGGTTGACTACCCTGACTCGGCGAATGGTGGGGTTGGCCAGGTCCCTCCTTGCGGGGCTGACCAGGCTCCCGGGCTCCCCTCTGGGCAGCTGTGAACGTCTGCTGGCCGCAGGGCTGTCTGGGAGTCTTGTTCTCTGGCCTCTTGGGCGCCCCTGAGGAGTGGACGGCTGGGCCTGGGTGGGTCCTGGCTGAGCCTTGGGAAGTGCCGCCTGCTGTGTCCGCAGCCCTCGCCGGCTCAGGAAGCCCTGGCTGAGCGGACAGCGGTTTGCTGGGGGCGCGGTGTCCATCCTCAGGCCATGCTCCTGTTGCAGAGGGCCCCACGGTGAGGCCGGCCGGCAGGAGGGCCGCCCCGCAGCAGACGGCGTGGCCAGGGTCCGGGGCCCAGGGGGAGGCCCCGTTCCAGAGGCGCAAGCGGCACCCTGACGAGCCGGGCCAGTTTGCCGTCGCCCTGGTCATCATCTACCGGAACCTGGGGCAGCTCCTGCCCGAGCACTACGACCCTGACCACCGCAGCCTGCGGTAAGGCCCGGGGGGAAGGGTGTTTCCAGAAGCTTCTGAGGCTTACACAAGTCAGACCCCCGGCCGCTGGAACGGGTGGAGGGGGGTGCTGCGCCCACAGCCAGCTGCCGAGGCCCCCAGCCCTAGGGCCGCACAGACATGCTGGCTGGGAAAGCTTCGTAGCCCCATGGAGATGGACACACCCAAGGCCTCACTTCTCCCTCAGCCCCTCCTCCAGACCCTTCCAGGGCCTGTGCTGGTCCTGGTGGCTGGTGGAGACCCTCACATGGGCGGTCACTGCTCAGCCCCTGGCCCAGCCACTCCTGCGCCTGTGGTCACATGTGCCCTGGGCCCCTGTCCCCCCGTGGCCCCCCCTTGCTGTTTCTAAACCTGCAAAGCCCGCCTGAGGCCCGGCCACGCATGGACACCATGGTGATGGGGCAGCCTGTCCTGCGAGCGCGGGCCCGAGGCCCACGGCGGTCCCTCCCAGACACGCTGTCCCTGCGCCCTGCCCCGCGCAGGCTGCCGGCCCGGCCGGTCATCAACACGCCGGTGGTGAGCGCCGTGGTGTACAGCGAGGGGGGCGCGCCGCTGCCGGGGCCCCCGGAGCCGCCCGTGCTGGTGGAGTTCACCCTGCTGGAGACGGAGGAGCGCAGCAAGCCGGTCTGCGTGGTCTGGAACCACTCCCTCAGGTGCGGGGGGGGAAACGTGGGTGGGGGGCAGGGCCTCAGCTGGGGCGGCATGGGGCGGGGCCTCCGTCAGGTGGGCGGTGGGGGCGGGGCCTCCGTCAGGTGGGCGGTGAGGGCGGGGCCTCCGTCAGGGGAGAGTGATGTGTAGGAGTGGGGGAGAGGGTGGCCCCCTCCGCCCACAATGCGGCGGCCCTGCTAAGCCCTGTGGGAGCCCCCAGGGCCCCCCAGGCTGTGCGGCCGGCACCGGCATGCAGTGTTCCCGTGCCCACCCCCCACGCTGGACGCTGGGCTGGCCTGTCCTTTGCAGAGTCCATTCCCGTGGGACATACATGCCCCGCCCCCCGCCCCATGCCCCTGCGTCCCGCATCCGGGGTCCTCGGGGCTGTGCCGGCATCGAGTGTGTGGCTCGGCGGAGACGCCAGGCCCGTCCCTGCTGTGTCCCACACTGGCAGCGGGCAGCCCGGGCCTGGGTGCAGAGGGGGAGCCACCTGGGAGCGGCTGCCAAAGTCTGCCGGCAGGCGTCAGTGGGGCGGCTGCGGGGCTGAGTGAGGGGGGCAGTTTCTGCCCCTTGATCATCCCTTGCTTGGGGGGCTGACCCCCGGGGCTGCGGTGCTGGCAGGCGCGTGTCCCCCTCCCTACTCCACAGCCGGGTTTGCGGAGGCTCGAGGTGCAGCTCTCCCAAGCCGCGCAGCGGGCTCTGCACAGGCCCCGGGGAGCATGGGGTGACCGTGGGGCCCCATGTGCAGGCAGCCCCGGAGCCCCGTGCAGTCGGAGGGTGGTGGTGCGGGGTGAGCGAGGCGAGGTTTCCTCGCTCCTCCGGCCGTGCCAGGAGCCCGAGTACCAAGCGACTGTTTTAACAGCCAAGCTTTCGACAGGAGGGCAGGAGGGACAGGAGGTGTGGCCTCGGGGGCAGGAGAGGGCCCCCTCCGGCCACTGCGGGATGGTCCTCGGGGTGACCGGGCCCTGGAATGGGCGGCCGCCTGCTCACCGCCCCTTGTCTCCGCAGCGTGGCTGGGTGGTCGGCCAAAGGCTGCGAGCTGCTGTCCCGGAACCGGACCCACGTTGCCTGCCAGTGCGGCCAGGCCTCCAGCTCGGCGGTGCTCATGGACGTCTCCCGACGCGAGGTGGGTGCCTGCCCGCGGGCCCCGCCCCCTGGCCGGCTCTGGGATCCGTCCTCGGACACGCAGGCCGCCCTGGCCCCCGGCCCCAGCCTCTGCTCCTCCCGGTGCTGCGCACTGAATGACCAGGCCGGCAGGAGTCGTGGCTAGAATTTCCATAACAAAACCGCCTGAGAAGGGTTTGCAGACAGGCCAGGCTGTAAATTAAAAAGCTGTGATGGCAGCCCCAGCCCACCCTGAATGGGAGCTCCTGGGACACACACCCCACTTCAAAGCAGGGTGCGCAGCGGGCTGCCAGGCGATACCTCTGCCGGGAGGGAGAGAACTGCTGGCAGGAACAAAGGCAGCGCGGCCTCGGCACACAGGCGGCCCCAGCACAAAGGAGGTTCCTCAGGTGTCCCCAGGAGGGCCCGACTCACTGGACCTGTGGACGGGCCCGCAGTGGGGCCAGCAGGGGGAGTTGGGCCCCTGGGGTGTAGGAATCAGGACAAAGATCTGGAGTGACCTCGCCCGCCCCTCCTTTGCTGGAGGCCAGACTAGTAGCCTGCCCAGGCTCTCTGGTCAGCAGCCCGATCCCTGTCCACACTCGCGAGAGGACGGGTCAGCCAGTGGCTGCTGACGGGTACGGGGCGCCCCTGACCAGAGCTCCCTGGCAGGGGGCTCTTCCCTGCAGGTCGCCCGGTCCCAGCCCCCATTGTTAGTGGTCTGTGTCCAAGGAGAGGCGTGTTTGGGGGCGCCCTGGTGGCCAGGAAGCCGGGCAGCGCCAGGCTGACTCCCAGGCAGAGGACGCTGACGTTCTGGCGGATGAACAAGCAGAGGAGGACTCGGGTTCCCCACTCCTCAGGGCGCCTAGGAACCAGTGTCCAGCCCTGCTGTCGGCGGTGCGCCCCCAGGGCTCCCTGTGGGCCTGGTCTGGAAGGAGCTGCAGAGGCCCGAGCCTCTCAGGTCTCCATCCCGCCCAGTGCCGGCTGCCAGGTGCCCCGAGCTGCCCGCCCGCACTCACAGCGCCCCGCAGCCCGCTGCCCCCGTGGTTCCGGACGCCCTGCTCTTCCCAGGCCCTGGGCCGAGGCTCACTTTGCAGAAGCTGGGGAGGCGGCCGCGGCCCTTGCCGCCGGACACTCGCCTTTGCGAAAACGGACAGTCCATTGGGCAGTCTCCCAGCTCAGGTTTTGGGGGGGCAGGCCCAGCGTCCCGTGGACACCAGGAGTTCTGGGAGATGATCTTTTCCCCAATTGTGTTGTTTTTCTTTGTGGCAAAATGCACGTGACGTGACTTCCACCCTCACCCATGCAGCGGTCGCCCCCCCCTCCAGAGCTCCCGGCGCCCAGACTGCCCGTCTGGACTCGCCCCGGGTGGGCGCCCGGTCAGCGGCCGCCTGGTGCTGCTGCGCCCACCCCTCGCGCACGGCCTAGGGGGGCAGTGTCCCCACCGCCGGAGCCACGCTCACTCTCTGCCCGCTGCCCGCAGCACGGGGAGGTCCTGCCGCTGAAGATCGTCACCTACGTCGCGGTGGGCCTGGCCCTGGCCGCCCTGCTGCTGGCCTTCGTGCTCCTGGCACTGGCGCGGGCGCTGCGCTCCAACCTGCACAGCATCCACCGGAACCTCGTGGCCGCCCTCTTCCTCTCGCAGCTGGTCTTCGTGGCCGGGATCGCGCAGACCGACAGCCCGGTGAGGCCCGCGCCCGCCCTGGGCCGCCTGGCGTGTGCACCCCTGCCCCGGGCCCCGGGCGGGGGTGTCCGCTGTGCTTCAGCAGGGGGTCGGCCGCTCATCTCCCACCCAGTCAGGGGCCTTGTCCTGCCCCCGGGGGTCACGTCTAGCGGGCGGGGGGGCGCCACACGCCACCTGGCACTTTCCCGGCGTGGACCTGAGTGACTTCCTGGGGAAAGTCCTGCTGCTGTAACTGGAGCCTGGAGGCCCGACATGAGACGCGCACGTCCGTGGGTGTCTGCTTGGAGTCGCGCTCTGCGCTCTCGGAAAACCTCCGCCCGCCTGCTCGTGGGGGAGGCGGGCGCGACGCCTAGGCCAGCACCTAGCTGGCCTCACGACCCTGCGCGTCGTCCCGTTGAGCGTGGCTGGTCTCCGTCGAGGCTGGAGCCTCCCAAGGGGGAGGACCTAACCTGGGGGCTGGGTGGTCCCTTCCGCCCCGGGGCGGTGCTGGCGGGCGCTTTCGGGGGTGGGGGCTGTATGCCCCCCAGCAGCCCCAGAAGCAGCCCCGGGAGCAAGCCAGCACCGGCTCCATCTGCACCTCCCAGACGCCCCAGGACCTCGCCCCAGGTCCGAGGCCCCGGACGGGGACATGGGGCTCCAGCCCCACTTTGCCTCTCCCCAAAAGATGGCACGTTCCCTGCAAAGTTGCGTTTGGGGGTCACCCCAACTCCACTGCCGGGTTAACGTGGAAACTTCGGAGTCTGTAGCTGTTGATCTAAAAAACTGCCAGTTTCTTTACTAGCAAAACTGGCCGATTCCGGAAGAGCAGGGGACCTCGGGATGCAGGCAGCGGCAGGACGTAGGCCGGGCCCCGGAGCCAAGAGGGGACCCTGCTTTCATAGCGGGAACGGGGCAGCCGGAGCCGGGGAGGAGAGCGAGGCCCAGAGTGGCGGCTTCTCGTCGGCCGGGCTGTAGCCTGTTTGGTGGAGTCGCTGGCGGCCGGGCGGGGTGAATCTTTCCTGCTTCAAAGTGTTGGGGTCTCCTTCCTGTTGGGGCGCGCGCATGGCGGGGAGCCAAGCGCCGAGGGCTTCCTCTACAGGCCCGCCCTGTTCTGATTTGAGTTGAGGTTTTCTTCATTAGCTCTCCTGTAGCCCGTTAGCCGAAGTCGCTGGTCACAAACCCGAAAGGAGCGCGTTGAGCGAGCCCCTGCTGCGCGCTCGCGGGGGGGGGGGGACGGGGGGGGACGGGGGGGACGACAGGGACGGGCGTGGCCCTCGTGGGCCCACAGAGCCGACTGACTGTGCCTCTCCGGGGGCTTGTCCCGCCCGGGGGAGCTTGTCCCGCCCGGGGTGTGCTGCGGTGGCCCTGCCCAGCGGGGAAGTGGGTGGAGACTGGCCAGGCAGCGCTTTCGGGGCTTGCGCGGGGCAGAGCAGACGCTGGGAACCGCCGGCAGGACTCAGGACAGGGCTGGCCGGCGGCGGGTCCCCCTGGCAAGTTCTGCCTGTTTTCATGTGTTTCGAACTCTGGTCTCTGACAAAGATAATTGACTGACTCGCCAGTTAAAGAAAGACAGGGCTTGTCCGCGTGGACACCGTCGGCGGCTGTCGGAGAGGGTCGGACAGGTGACAGCAGCGGGAGGAGCCGTCGAGGAAGACGGGTTCCCAGACAGGCGCCGCCGACAGGGACAGAGGCTGCTGCGGCGTGTTTTTGTTTTGTTTTTTTTGTTTGTTTATTTATTCACACGTGAGCTGGGGTGCAGGCCAGAGGTGGGGGGGTGAGAGGACTCCCCAGAGACAGTGGGAGCAGAACAGGCGGATCCACTGAGACACACGGCTGCGGGGAGCAGCTGGCGACAGGCGAGGTCTGCTGCGCCCAGTGGGTCACCTCCCTGGCCGGGGATCGAACCCGTGCTGCAGAGGCCGCGGATGCTTCACGGTGCTCTGCCTACCCCCTTGCGCCACCAGGGAGGCCCCGCGTCGTGGTTTCTAAAGGAAGGTCCGTTGACTGGAGAGACGCGGGTTCTGCACGCGCGTCCCTCGTCAGGCGACTTCCCCACACACCCAAGAGACAACACGGCGGGTCTTGACATTTTAAGGTTAAATGAGTCGCAACGAGAAATTGTTCATGGCGACGTTGCGTGTCGGGGCGCGCAGGGCTCCCTCGGGCAGCCTGGAGGGTTCATAGTCCGGGTGCCGCGGCAGGAGAGGGCGGGCAGGCGGTGACGACCGCGTGGTCTAGCGTGAGCTCGGTCAGAGGACACGGCCGGGAGGCCGCGGGGAGCCAGGGCGCCGGCGAGCCAGGACCGGGCGGGGGACAGGCGGGGGCACAACGGGCCGAGGAGCAGCCGCGGGACCCACCGGGTGCGAACGCAGTTGGCAGCGAAGCAGCCAAGACGCACCACGGCGACGTCACGTCATGTCACGTCACAGAAATAGGCGCAGCCACGCCCCTGCGCGTGCGGGGAAACCTGATTGTTTCGGTGAATCCAGGGAACTCCCTGGATAAAGTCACATCCATTCACGGTCGGGAGGGAGCGGCGAGGGAGGGGCGGGCAGGAGGAAGAGCCTTTCGACGAACCCAGAGCGGGAGGGGCTCTGGCCGCGCGACGTCCCCGGCGGGAATGGGCCGGGGGTGCTGGGGACGGGCCCTCCGAGGCCAGGGTGCGGTGAGGACGCCCCGGCCGCCACAGCGGGCACGCGAGTGAAGGGCGCGGGCGCCACGGGGAGGATGTGTGTGCTGCCCCCTGACCAGGCCCTCCAGGGGCGAGCTGAGCGGGCAGCGAGGCCGCCGCTGTCCCCGGGGAAGGGCACAGCCGCCTGCGTGGCAGCCCCAAGCCCCGTCCCGGCCCGGGCCTGGAGGGAGGCGGCTCAGGTGCAGGACGGCTCCGTCGGCGGCTGTTGGGGCAAGCACAGCCTCCTTGCTGGCGCCAGCAGGGCAGCCGGGCCCTCAGGGCGGTGGGCAGCCCGGGGGGCTCCGCGGAGGACCTCAGGGGTGCCCCAGTGTGGCCCTCGGAGCGCAGACCCAGCAGGCCCTTCAGCGCGGTCTGATGGGGCCCTCGCGGCTGCCTGCAGTGCCCCCCGCTGCTGCTGGCCTGGGCACCTGCGCCCGTGGGCCCGCTGGGTGTTCCCCGTGCGTGGCCTGGAGGGGCCGGGAAGCGGGTGGGGGCCTCACCTGATGCCCCCCCCCCCGCCAGGTGCAGAGGCAGCACCTCCCCGGCCCTGTCACTGACTCGGCTCCGGGGAGGAGCGCGGTCCCCCCGGCCTCTCTGGGTCTCCAGAGCCCGCAGGCCGCGCGGTGGCGCGTTGGCGTCTGTCTGCGCGGGGCGGCACCTCGGCCTTAGGGGTTTGGACGCCGCGTTTCTGACGCTTCGCTGCTGCTTTCTCCAGGCGTGGTTTTGAGGGTTTCCCTCTCACCTGCTTCGTCGTGTGCCCCGTCTCCTCCCCTGCGAGCCGCGGGGGGCTGGGCTGTCTGGTGAGGGGCTCGCCCCCCGCCCCCGCCCCCCAGTGCCGCCCGCCCAGCGTCCGGCAGGGCCGGCTCGGTCACGGGGTCCCGGCTGGGCTGATGCCAGTGCCCAGGGCCCCCCGGTCTCGGGTTGGCTTCTGGGGAGGACGTGCCCTGGCGCTGGTGTTCCCCCCGCCTGTGCTCCGCTCGGCCCCGGACACGGGCCAGGCCAGCTTCCCGGGACCCACAGGCGCCTGCCCACCCTCCCCGCCGGGCGCCCCAGCCCGCAGTCCTCCCGGACGGACCCGGGGGAGGCTGCTCTGGGCCGGGGCTCGGAGCGCAGACAGGCTTCCCCAGGCCTCCGGGGCTGGACTGCCCGCCCAGGTGACCGGCTCCTCCTGCCGCTCCTTCCTCCCGCCCCGCCCCCAGGCCCACAGCTGGCTCGTGGCCCCGGGCCCTGGGTTTGACTCTCCGTCCCTGGCACCTGGCCATGGGCCGCGCTCCCCGCCCGGCGAGGCAGGAGCGGAGCAGCCGCCGTCACCCTGCCCTTCCGTGGAAAGTCCGCGGCGGGGCCGGTTCCTGTTGGTTGGGGTCAGGAAGCCTGAGGCTCCTCCCTTCCTCCCCCGGTGACCGCTGCCGGCGCCCCCCGAGGGTCAGGCGGCGATGGGCCGCCCGCGGTATCCTGTGTAACTTTCCCTGCCGGCACCTCAGAGTCCGGGCCCGCCACGTGGAAATGCCACTTCCGGCGAATCTCGGAAGCCCGAGGCGCTGCTGCCTCCTCGCGGTGCCCGCGCCCCCAGCCCCCCGCCGGCCGGGCCACGGGCGCCTCTGTTCCGCGCGGGGCGCCTGGGCTGCGTGCTGTCCCCACCCACCGGCCCGCGGGTCAGATGGGGAAACCGACTGACCTGATTCCTCGTTGGGGCCCGCGGGCCCGGCAGTGGCGGCGCATCCCCCCCACCGCGGGTGTCCCCCTCGGGCCGGCGGGCTGACGGGTCTGTCCCGCAGTTCCTGTGCACGGTCATCGCCATCCTGCTGCACTACGTGTACATGAGCACCTTCGCCTGGGCCTTCGTGGAGAGCCTGCACGTGTACCGCGTGCTGACCGAGGCCCGCAACATCGACGCGGGGCCCATGAGGTTCTACTACGTCGTGGGCTGGGGCATCCCGGCCATTGTCACAGGTGAGGGCCCGGCAGCCGGCCGCTGCCCCCTCCCTGCTGGCCAGCTCCCCTGGCGTCCCTCTTGCACACACACGGGACGGCCCCACCTGCTGCGGGCTCCTGGGGGGCTGGCCGGGCCTGCGGGGTCCGCCTGGGGTGGAGATGGTCGGACGCCGCCTGTGGCGCAGGGCGGGTGGGCCGGAGGGACCCGAGGTCCGAGGGTGCCTCGCCCGGGCGTGGCTCTCACTGTCCCGCCCCGTGTCCAGGACTGGCCGTGGGCCTGGACCCCCAGGGCTATGGGAACCCCGACTTCTGCTGGCTGTCCCTCCGAGACACCCTGATCTGGAGCTTTGTGGGCCCCGTCGGCGTGGTCCTGGTGGTGAGTGCCGGGCTCGGTCTGGCTCGGGACGTGGCCCTGGAGGGTGGTGGCGTCCAGGCGGGCTGGTGCCTCGGGCTGGCCCTGGGCTCCGGCTCTGGTCCAGGTCCATGTGACCGCGAGGGGCTTGGCGTCGGCCCGGGTCGGAGGGTCTCGGGGGCCGGTTCCCATCCCTGTCCCCCAACCTGGGTGGGACCGAGACCCTCAGGAGCCTTGGGCTGCGACCCCCGCACCGTGTGCTCCTCAGTTGCCATTTTGTTTTTCTGCAGGTCAACACGGTCATTTTTGTCCTGTCCGCGAAGGTTTCCTGCCAGAGAAAGCACCACTACTATGACAGGAAGGGGGTCGTGTAAGTCCGCGCGGCCCGGCGGCCCCACCGGCCCGGCCTCCACCGGGAGGGCACAGCAGCGCCAGGGACGCCTGGCCGCGGGAGTGGAGGCCGATGGCCGCCGTTGGACAGGGTTGGACAGCGGGGGCGGGGGCTGGACGCTGTCTGCGTTGTGCCAAGTGTGCGTCCGAGCAGCATGTGCACATGGTGGGGGGCGGAGGGGGCCGGCCACGGCAGGCGCCCCCCAGGGCGTTCGGGGTCTCCGAGGACGCAGCCTGACCCCCTGCCAGGCCCTGTTCCCTGTGGCCGGCGGTTGCCTCCCAGTGCTGTCCCGCCAGTGGACGCTCCGTCTGTCTGTCTGTCTGCTCCCCCGTGTGAGCTTAGCGAGGGTTTTGAAAGGAACGGGGTGGGCAGTTGGGGGGCGGGGGAACAGGTGGCGGGGGTGGGCGGCGCCGGGTGGACAGAGGCGCCGGGGGGCGGGCGCCGGGCGAGGTGCTCACGGCCGCTCCCCGCAGCGCCCTGCTGAGAACCGCCTTCCTGCTGCTGCTGCTGGTCAGCGCCACCTGGCTGCTGGGGCTGCTGGCCGTCAACAGCGACGCGCTGGCCTTCCACTACCTCTTCGCCGTCTGCAGCTGCTCGCAGGTGGGCCTGGCCCCGGCTCTGCTCGGCCCGCGCCGCAGGGCGCTGCTGCCTGGGCCGTCCCCCTGGGTCCTGGCGCTGTGTGGCCAGCCGGGCCCCGGAGGCCCACAACTTGGGGTCCAGGCTGCATCCTTGGGTGTGGGCGAATGGGGTCACCCCAGGATTGTGACTCGAGCTTAACAGCAGGGGTGAGGGGTCCCCCCACTGAAAAAGAGGCTGTTACCCCCAACTCGGCCCTGCAGAGCTCGCCCGGGGACTGCACCCCTTGACCTCCTGTGCCTGTCAGGCCACCAGCCGTGGACCCCTCCCCCGGCAGCGTCCCCAGAGATGGTGACGGTAGCCACAGGTCACCCCAAGGGTCTGTGGCGGCCCTGGCTGCGTCCTAGGTGGCCCCTGCGGGATGGCCCCTGCCCCTGTCCCGGGTGGAGAGGCCTCTGGGATCTCGGCTCCATGGGGACGCCGTCCTCAGGCAGGTGCCCATGTGGCAGCCGAGGCAGCACTGACCACCCCTCCTTCCAGGGCCTCTTCGTCCTGCTGTCCCACTGTGTGCTCAACAGGGAGGTCCGCGCCCACCTGAAGGGGGTGCTGTCTGGAAAGAAGCCTCACCCTGACGACTCAGCCACCACCAGGGCCACCTTGCTGACGGTAGGGGTGCCGGGACCCCGTGGGGCCTGAGGCCGGGCCGCGGGGCATGGGCAGAGACGGGCTCGCTGGGGACAGGTGTCCGCATGGCCCTGACCGGCCCCTCCCCCCAGCGCTCCCTCAACTGCAACAACACCTACTGCGAGCAGCCGGACCTGTTCCGCACCGCCCTGGGCGAGTCCACTGCCTCGCTGGACAGCACCCTCAGGTCAGGCCCCTTCCGCCGGCACCCCGGGCATCGCGGCTCTGTCCCCAGCCTGCGGGCGCCCGACGCTGTGCCCTCCGGCCAGCCACGCCTGACCTGCCCCCCGCCCCGCAGGGATGACGGGGCCCAGAAGCTCAGCGTGTCCTCCGGGCTGGCGCGGGGCGGCCTCGGGGAGCCAGACGCGTCCTTCGCCCCCCGGAGCAGCAAGAAGGCCCACGGTACGGTGCCCTGGGGCCGCCTGGGCGGAGGCCCGGCCTGGTCTGTGCCCAGCCCTGGACCCTCGGTCATCGGGGAGCAGGCGGCCTGGGAGAGGGGTCTGTGGCCACCTCACTCCGGGAGGCTCCCCAGGGCCCCCACTACCCCCCGCCAGCCCCCCCCCCCGCCCCGGCCTGACCCCCTGCCGCCCGCAGGCCACGACTCGGACTCGGACAGCGAGCTGTCCCTGGACGAGCACAGCAGCTCCTACGCCTCCTCACACTCCTCGGACAGCGAGGACGATGGCGGGGAGGCCGAGGACAAGTGGGACCCGGCCCGGGGCCCTACCCACAGCACCCCCAAAGGTGAGCCGGCAGGCGCAGCACTGCCACGGCAGCCAGGAGGATGGGGAGACGCAGGCGAGGCTGCCGGGGGCCTCTGGGGACCCTCGCCGCAGGCGCCCTCGAGGCTGGCCGGGTGCTGGGGTGCAGGAGCTGGGCCTGTTTCTCCCCCAGAGGCCTGGGAGTGGGGGTCGGGGTCTTCGGGGTTCCCGTGGGAGGAGGGACGGCGGGAGCCTTGTGGGCCGCAGCTCCAAGCCGGGGCGCTTGTGTTTTCAGTGGACGCTGCGGCTGGCCACACCCCGGGCGGCTGGCCCGACGAGAGCCTGGCCGGGAGCGACAGCCAGGACCCGCGGGAGGGGCCGGGCCTCAAGGTGGAGAACCGGGTCAGCGTGGAGCTGCACCCCGAGGCCCCGGGCAACCACTGCAGCCAGCGCCCCCCAGACCCGGAGGGCGGAGCCCCTCCCAGGCCCGCGGCCGCGCCCCCCAGCCAGCCCCCGGAGCAGAGGAAAGGTGCCGCGGCCTGGGCCGGGCCGGCGGGGGGCTGGGGTCGGGCTGGGGTCCGGGGTGGGCTGCAGCTGGGTGGGGGCCGAGGGGCAGGGCTGCGCTGGTGCCAGCGGCCGAGGGGGCCGTGTGGCCCGTCCCTTGGGCTGAGACCCAGGAGGGGAGCCCCGTGGTGCGGCGGCGCGGGTCGGGGACCCTGTCCCTGGGGCAGCGCCCGGCCTGACGGCGGCCGCCCCCCTCCAGGCATCCTGAAGAACAGGGTGGCCTACCCGCCCCCGCTGAGCGACAAGACCCTCAAGTCGCGGCTCCGGGAGAAGCTGGCCGGGTGCGAGCAGAGCCCCGCGTCCTCGCGCTCCTCCTCCCCGGGCTCCAGCGACGGGGGCCGCGCCCCCGACGGCGCCATCACCGTCAAGAACCCACGCCGGGAGCCGGGGCGCGAGCACCGCAACGGGGCGGCCATGAGCGTGCGCGCGGGGAGCGCCCAGGCGGACGGCTCCGACTCCGAGTGAGTAGCTGCCCCGCGGCCCCCGCGCCCCGCAGCCTGGCCCCGCACCCCCAGCCCTGCCCCTGCTCCCCAGGGGGCCGGGCCGGAGGACAGCAGGGGCCGAGGCTGGGGTGGGGACTGTCCAGGGAGGAGGCGGGCGTCCCGTCCCGGGGGCTAGACTAGAGGACTCCAAGATGCCGTCCAGCCCGGTGCCCCCGGCACAGCCCCTGCCCGACAGGCGAGCTGTGGCCCGGCCCCGTCCTGCCTTTCAGGGGGCGGGCTCTTGGGCGCGCCCCTCTCTGGAGCCCCCAGGGTGCTGCTCCTTTCCCAAGTGGGGCTCTGCTTCCGGGTGACCTCGGCCCAGCTTAGCTGCTGGCTCCCCCGGGCCCGGCTCCCAGGGACGCGCCCTCGCTGACCCTCGCCCCCCACGGCTTCTTCCCACGCGCAGAGGCAGTAACGAAACTTCAATTTGACCATCAGGAGACCATGAGACAAGCACGTCCCCCCCAGCTCTCCGCTGCCTCGACGCGCCCCTGGACCTGGGAGCCCAGGAGGCCGCCGCCCGCCCAGTCGGGCAGGCCCGGGGTGGGGCCCCCGAGACTGTCAGGGCTGACGCTCCCCACGCGAAGCCTCGCTGCCCCCAGGGGCTCGGGCCATCTGACCCTGCGACCAGCAAAGGCCCGGGTGGGGGGGCAGGACCGCAGACGGCCGAACCGCGCGGCCCAGACCGGGAGAGGACCCGCCAGCGCGCGTGCGGGGCAGGTGAAGACTGAGGGCCGGCCTGCGCGCCTTCTCCTGCAGGACAGCCCTGCCCGCAGCCCCGCGGCCATCGCGAGGCCCCTGGGCCTAGAGGGGAGCCCCTGGCCGGTGGCGAGGGGCAAACGCCATGTGCGCGTAGGGCGAGGACAGCGCAGCTCACTTACGGTGCCCTCTGGCCAGCTGTGCAGGAGTGGACCGCGCTCGGGGCTGGACCTGGGGGTGGGGCCCCGGGGTCCCTGCCCATCCAGGCGGGCAGGCGTCAGAGCAGGGCGGGAGGTGCCTGTGCTGCTCTCAGCCATTAGCGAGGTGCCCATGCCGTGCCGGCCGGGCCCTGGAGACCAGCAGCAGTTGGCTTCTGAGGGGTTCACCCTGCGCCCCATCTGCCTCGACGGTGGCGACCCAGCCAGGGCCCTCTGGGATGGGCGGGGCCCTGAGCAGCCCCACGCGGTCTGTGGACCACAGCCGTCCCGCCCTGATGGACACCCTGGCCGCTCCCAGCGCCTCGCAGGCCCCGCTGAGCCCCGGGCCTCCCTGGCCCCGTCCCAGGCGAGACGCTGCAGGTGGGGGCTCTTTGTCCGCGGCGCCTGTTCCCGGGGGGATTTGAATGCCCCCACGTCGGGATTCAGACAAGTGTGGGGGCTGCCGGGGTGTCACGTTCCCTCCTGCCAACTTTCTGGCGCGTTTAGCCTCGGGCGCTCCAGGCGGGCTGGGGTCCCACCGCCGTGTCTGGCCAATTACTTGATCCTGCTTCAGACGCCAATTGTGCAAAGGGACAAAGCCCGGCGCCCCTCTCGGCGACCAGGCTGCTCTCGGGGAGCTCGTGGGGGCCGGGGGTGGGGCGGCGGACGCCCGCTCGGCCTGTGTTCTCCGTCGGCCCAGGTCCGTGGGCGGCACCGCGGCTTCCCCAGGCGGGACCCCGGCCGGTGCCAGCCGGGCGATGCCGCGGGCCCCTCCCGCACGCCTCGGGGGGGACCCCGACGTCAGGGAGTGACCGGGCTGGCCGCGCCCCCCACGGGAAGCCTGCCCAGAGCCTGGGCGCCCGCTGGGAGCGCGGCAGCGAGCGGCCCCCGGCGCGGCGGCACCTCAGGAGCCGCGAGTTTCAACCGGGTCGGAACCTTACCAAAAGCCCCCGTCGGTCTCATGAAGACGGGCGGCCGTGAACAGGCGGGGCCGAGACCGCGGGGGGACGCGACGCTGGAGGTTTTGTAACAATCGTGTATTTATTGACGTTCGAGTCGCCGGGATCGCCGCGCGCGAGGAAACCGCAATAAATTAAACGTCGGACTCTGTCTCGGCGAGCTGCTCCCCCCGCGCGGGCCCGGGGCCCGGAGTCGTGCGCTTGCGGGGGCTTCCACCAGGGCTCCCCACATCGGGCCGTTGTTAGCCGCGTCCCCTGGCCCGCGGCCCGGACGCCCCCGTGTCCACCCGTCTCCGTACTTGGGTTTTCTCGGCATTTCCATTCCAGGAGGGTCGACGTCCTCCTGGCGCCTCTTCACACTCGGGCATCAGCGCGAGGCCGGGTGGCCCCCCGCCCGCTGACCGGCTGCGCCCTGTGCTGGTGTCTGGACCGCGGCTCCCGGCCCCGCCTGTGCCACCCTTGCCTCCAGGGCGCCCGGGTCCTGTCCGGCCCCTGGCGAGTCCTCTGGCCTGGCCGCCGACCACCTTGTGTCCCTGCGTGAGGCCTGCACGGCGCGGCTCCTGCCGGTGACCCTGGCCACGCCACTGGGTCAGGCCGCAGCCTGCCGCTCGGGGCCGGGCCTTGTGTGGTGCATGTCCGGTTCTGTCCTTGGCCTTTCGGGGGGCCAGGGTCTGTCCCACACGGCTCCTCTGGGGTGAGCCGGGGCCCCGTCCACGCCTGCCCTGCCCTCCTCTGGGTCCCTGCGTCCAGCACCGGCACCGTCTCATCCCCCTCTGAAGAGGCGGGGGGCCACCCGCGGGTCGTCCTGGGAAGAAAAGTGCCCACAGATGCCCCCTCCCAGAGGCCATTCCCCATTCCCCACACCCACCACCTCGCCGCTCGGTGCCGCCTCTCAGCGCGAGTCCGCGCCCGGAGGCCCCTGCCGGAGGACGCCCAGCGGGAGGCCCGCCCAGCAGCAGGAGCACCTGGTGCCCGCAGGGGCGGTGACTCGCAGACAAGGTGGGCCTGGGCCCGTGCCTGGGAGGGGTCAGGACAAGCAGGAGCCCGGTAGCCGCAGCTGCTTCTGAGCACTGTCCAGGCTGCTGGCGTGTCCGCTGGCGTCCCCACGCACACGGGCACTCCCACCTGCGCAGCCGGCTCCAGCCCACAAGGACCTCAAGCCAGCGAGGCTGCGGGAGGCTGGGCCTGGCGCTGGACAGTGCCGGGTTGCACGCAGGAAGCGGCCGAGGCTGGCACCGAGTGGGGAGCCGCAGCGCGGTGCGGGGTGCAGATCTGTCTCCGGGAGGTTTCCCTGGAGAGGCGGCGGGTGGGGAGGGAGCAGGTGTGCAAAGCCACGTGTCTCTCCTTGTGGGCGCGGCTGGCAGCTGGGGAGGGGAGCACGTCCCTACTGGTCAGTCCCGCGCCCCTGTCCTGCCCTGGAGTCTGCTGGGGCCCGCAGCGGAGGGGCCGGGGCCCAGGCCAAGCATGTGGACGCGTGGTGCCCCCTGGCGGGCGGCTGACCTGCTGGTCAGCCTTCCGGACTCAGCGGTGAGCTGGGAGCTGGGCGCAGCTGAGGGCAGGTGTGGGGTGAGGGGCGGGTCAGGCTTTCACGCTGCCGGCCTCTGTGGCCATCCCCTGCGGCCCTGGACACGGGAGGCGCTGGGGAGAGGGCGCAGACAGCGGCTGATGCGGGACACCTGGAGCGGCCTGCGAGTGGGCGCACCTGCGCGGGAGGCGGGACCTCGAGGGGGGAGGGAGAGCGGGCCGCAAAGCCGCGGGGGAGGCCTCGCGAGCGCTCCGGGGAGAAAGGCCGGTGGCCTGGGGGTCCCCAACCCCCGCCCGGTCGCCAGCTCGCTGGGCAGGAGGCGGCAGGACTGGAGGCGGACGGCGCGCCCTCGCGGCTCCGAGGTGGGTCGGGGCAGCGCGGGAGGCGGACAAGGCCTCGCCGGAGAAAGGGACGCCGGGCTCGGGCCGCCCAGTGCCGGCGCAGGACAAGCCGGGGGGGACTCGCAGGTCCGCCGGAGGCGGGGAGCTGGGTGGCTGCCGCCATGCCTGGGGGCCCGGGAGGGAGAAATCAAGGGCAGCCGTGGGCCTCGGGCCTCAAGCAGCCCCTGGGCTGCCCCTCCCCCAGGGCACGGCCCGGAGTGGCAGCGGCCCCGGCCCCTGGGAAGGGCAGAGCGGGCCGGGGCGGGCGTGAGGCCGCCTGGCCGGCCGGGAGGACACCCTCGCAGGCCGCAAAGCCCCCGGTCAGGCCAGAGCTGGGCCGAGGTCGGGGCCGAGCCCTTGTTGGGCAGCCGAGGGACACTGCGGGCGCGGGAGCCTCCTGAATCACCGCAGGCGACGCCCTGACCGCCGCCGAGCAAGGGTCGGGCGCCGGGGCGCGCGGCCGGAGCGGGCCAGAGGGGCCACGCGCGAGGGTGCTGTCCGCGGCCTCCGGCCCTCGCGCGTGTGCCCAGGGTCCGCGGGTCACGGCGGCGGCTGTCAGCAGCGAGTGCCCCGGGACCGGGTCCCCCCCAGTCCCGAGCGTCCCCCTCCCGGAGCGTGCACTTGGGGGGACGCAGGGTGTGGCTGAGGCCACAGCGGGAGCAGGCCAGGAAGACCCAGGGCCTTGGGGGACGGAGGGGTGGTCCGCAGGGCCAACTCCTGCCTTCGCGCGGGCTCAGCTGTCCCCTCAGTCTTGCGGGTCGGGGCTGCGCGTTCCACTCGCCAAGGGGGACCTGTGGGCAGGCCGCGCAGCGAAAGCCCGGGGGGCCGGCGGGGCAGGCGTCTACGCTGCTGGCCTCTGCGGCTGTCAGCTGCGGCCTTGATTGCGCCGACGCGGAGGGGCCCTCGGGCTGAGGGTGGCACCTGAGCGCGCGCAAGGGGAGGCACCTGGGCTGGGAGGCGGGGCTACTAGGCTGCCTCACGGGGGTGGGGGGAGGAGAGACCCCACGAGCCCCACGTGTGCTGACTTAATGGGGGCCCCGCCCCCCTGTACCCCAACCGACTTCTGCCCACCACTGTCCCCCCTCCCACTCGTGTGTCTGCCACCTGGGTCAGCCCAGTGGGCAGCGTGGTGGGTCCCCGGCAGGGTGGCAGCTCAGACCTCGCTCCCGGCCCTGCCCCACCCCCCGCCCTGCACTCCCGCCCAGAGGGACTCCACCTGCCCCGGCTCCAGCCTCCCCTGAGGTCCGCGTGGACCTGCCTCGGAGGGGTTGCGGCCTGGCCCTGCGGTGCCAGAACGGCCGCTCAGCCCCGGAGCAGGGCCAGTGACCCCAACCCCAGGCCCACCCGTGGCCCAAGGTCCCGGAGGTCCCGCCTCTGGCCCAGACCTCCCAACCACAGGGCCAACTGGAAGCAGCACAGGGCGCCGCATCTGAGGCGGGGCAGGGAAGGGCCCTGGGCGGTCAGGTGGCTGGTGCGTGGACACCGCCCTCCTGGAGAGGGTCTGCCCACCCGCAGCTCCTCGGGGCTGTAGGGAGGCTCCTGGCTCACGGCAACAGCAGGGCCTGCGGGCCAGCCAGACCCAGCCCCCCCGGGACCCCCACCGCGGCGTGCGCGCCTGTACCCCCAGCCCACAGGTAAAGCCCTGGCGCCCGTGGGCACCTGCCAGAGGTGGGCCTGCAGGGGCGCCCCAGTCCCGGGGGCTGAAGCTTCCTGAGCAGGGCCAGTGCCCAGAGGTGGTTCCTCTGCCACAAGCCACACAGCAGGGTGGTGGCCCCCCCCACAACAGGGGCTGCCAACCCCAGGACCACGGGGAACGGACGCCTGTGGCCTGGAGCCACCGGGCACGGTCGCGGCAGACATGGCCGCGTGTGTCCCCCCAATCCGCTCCTCGCCGGGACACTCCAGTCCTTGTTTCCCGCGAGCTGCAGGGAGCAGGCGCCTCGCAAGGGACGGGGTGGCCCACTTGTCCCTGCTGGGTCAAGGCCAGTCGCCCATCCTCTGCCACTGGGACCTGGGTGGGAGGACAAGGGGTCACTGCTGCCCCCTGCCCTCCCACACCACTATGGGGGCCGGTGCCGTGGTGCCCTCCCCGCCCCCCAGCCTCCAGCAGGATCCACACCCCGCAGAGAACAGAGACCTTTATTCCACCGTCCCCGCAGCCACACAGCCCCGCGCAGGCCCCATCCCCCGGCGCAGCAAGTCCTCCTGCCGGGCCCCGACGGGGAGGCGTCAGGGCGGCTTTCCTGGGCCTTCCTGCTACCCGGCAGCCTGGCAGCACCCCCGGCGCGGCTCGGGCCCCTGGCAGCCTCTGCTGGGCTCCGCTCCTCGTCGGCTCTTAGGCCCTCAGGGGCCACTCGGGCTGGGTCACAGTGGGGGCCCTGAGGCTGGGCCGTCGCCCGGCCCCTCCCCGGAGCCCTCGGTGGCCGCTCTGGATCGGCTCCGGCCTTTCTGGAGCGTGTAGGCGGATGGCCCCAGGCGCAGGATCTTCCCGCTGCCCAAGCACTCCTCTCCCTTGTAGAGCACCGCGAACTGCAAGGAGAGGCGGTCGCTGCGCCGGGCACCACTGGCGCGGCTGCCGGGGCGGGGCGAGCAGGAGCCAGGCTGCTGCAGCCGGAGGCGCCCGCGGCCCCTGCCGCCCAAAGGGCACCTGCCAGCCACCCGGGGACACGCCTGCGCCGCGCGGGGCTCGGGCCAGGCGCCCGTGAGGGGCTGCAGCCTGTCCCGCCTCCCAGCCCGAGCCCTCCCCGCACCGGGCGCGGCCCACTCACCTGCCCCAGGGCGAGGGCCCGCACAGGCGTCACAGCGGTCACCCACACGCTGCCATCTTGGTTGAGGGTCAGCACACACGGCACTGGTAGGGGAGAGGGGCCCTGGGTGGGGGCGCGGCCTAGCCGAGCGGGTCAGCCGGCCCCAGGAGGCGACAGGCACCAGCGGGGGGCGGAGAGCATTTGGGGCGCTGGGGCGCTTGGCCGCAGCCGGAGGGACTGGCGGCACGCGCGGGCCGCGGCATCTGAGGGCAGGAAGCTCCCCGCCCGCGCCCGCCCGGTCACCTAGCGCCATCTGGTGGCGGAAGCGGAAGTGGCACTCCATCATCTTGTCCCGGACCAGCGCCGCGGGCGGCTCCTCCGCCATCCAGTGCACGCGGCCCGTCCGCAGCAGGTCTCGGTACAGGGCGGGGTGGTCTGTGCGAGGGGCCTGAGAGCGGGACGCCAAGGTCAGGCGCCAACACCCCGCCCCTCCTCAGGGACGACCCCGACAGCAGACGAGCACGGGGGCTGGGGCGAGAGCGGGGCGCCCCTGTGGGCACACTTAGCAGAAAGCAGAGGGGCAGAGGTGAGACCATGGGCAGCCCCTCCCCGGGGGCTCTCAGCAGGGTCCCACCAACACCAGCGCTGGGGGAGAAGGGCCGAGGCGCCTTCTGGGCCCTGACTCTGACCCCACGCACCCCGGCCCCGGGACCTAGCAAGCTTCCGGCTGGGGCACAGGCAGCGGAGCCGGCGCTTCAGCTCTACGAGACGAGCCCACACAGGCACGTGTCCACTGCTGACCCATCTGGCTCTCACAGCAAATGAGGCTACGCAGAGGCCGCCGGCACCCTGGCCCAGCCTCAGCCCCACGGCCTGAGAGAAGGTTTCCGGGTCCACGCTGGTGCCCAAGGCTGGACCCTACGTGTAGGGGTCTCCCCGGGCACCCTCGGCCCCACCTGCACCCGTCCCCCTACCCGCGCCCTGTGTGGGGCCCACTCCAGAGCCCGGGTGGCCACTGTGATCCTGGCTGGGCCCCCAGGCCCTCCACGCCACCGTGAGGCGGTGGGGCCTGCTCCGTGCAGGCCCTGCCCCAGACCCTGAAGCACCCCCAGCTCCATGGGGACCGCCCTGGGGAGGGTCTGGCGTTAGCAGCGCACAGCAGAGCCCGGGAGGTGCCCGCACTCACCACAAGCACGTCGCCCGTGGCGCTGTCCTTGTCCACCACGTACCAGGGCTCCCGCAGGCCACCGAGGTTGGCTCTCTGGCCCAGCGTGAACAGGAACCAGCCTGTCAAGACGGGCTCAGTGAGAGGCGAGCGCGGCCGGGGCGGCGCCAGCTCCTCCGAGGCGTCCTGCGACCCCCCACCCCAGCAAGCAGGCTGCGGCCTACGGAGTAGAGGCGCCCAAGCCGGTCCTGCTGGAGCAGACCAGAGATCGCGCGGCTGTCGCCTGCTCCGCAAGCCTGGCCCTGGCTGCACGCCGGGCCGGGAGTTTGCACAGGACAAGCCATCCAGGCTGCCCGTGGTGAGACACCCCGCCTTGGACACTGGGGCCCCAGTCCCCCATCCGGGTTGTGAGCTCTGTGCCCAGCTCGGCGTGCAGCACCCCAAATCAGGAACCCCAAACTTTGAAATCGCCCACTGCCTGTCATCGGGTGGCGTGCGCTGTGGCCTCCAGGAGACGGCGACCTGGCTCCCAGGGCAGTCGGCTGACCGACAACGCAGAGCGAGGCCCCTAACCCGAGGAGACCCCTGGCCCGAAGTCCGACTGCGTCCCCGCACCCCCTTCTCTGATGCAGGGGCGAGGGGAACACAGGGGTCTTAGTGAAACTCGCGCAGCTGGAGGCCGCCCTCACCTTGGTGTGTCCCCAGGACGCGCCCGTCCTCCACAGACACGAACCTCCCGGGCCGAGGCTGCAAATACTGACACACACGCAGCGTCACCGGGAGCGGCGCCCACAGAACCCCGCTCCGCCCGGTGCCGCAAGGACCACTCACCTGCAGGATGAAATTTTCAAAATTTCTTTTCCCCACGAAGCAGATGCCCATGCTCTGCAAGGACAGGACGGCGGCCGTGAGGGGGCGGCCCTGGGCCGTGAGGGGGGCCTGGCCGCCGCCGCCACACCCACAGCCCGGCCCAGAGGCCAGACGCTGCCCTGGGGCTCCGTCTAAGGCCCCGACCTATGCGGCCACTGAGTGTGGCGCGCCAGCCCCTCCACTCCCAGCAGGCGCGGCCCGCGGTCAGCCCGGCCCCCGGGAACAGCAGGGAGGCTGCTTGAGACCTCGGGGCACCGCCGGGAGGCGGGGGAGGGGACAGCGCGCGCGCCCACCACCACACTGGCCACCAGCTCACGGACAAAGGCCCGGCCCAGGGAGACGGCCACAGCTGCCTCCACCCCCAAGCTGGTCAGGCTGGGCCACCAGCCCCACCACAGGCCAGGCGCTTGCCTCGGAGGCCTCTGTGCCCGTGCCTGCCTCCAGGCCCTCAGCTGCCTTCCTGGGCGTCTACCCAGTCGAATGCGGGGGCTCTCACTGGGCCTGTCCTACCTCCTCTCTCCCCCCGGGGCGGGGGGGGGCGGTGTGTGTGTGAACGCAGTCTCCACCCCCCCACATCTGGGGGAATCACAGGGTCCACACCCCTTGAGCCCTTCAGGGTGCAACGGGTGAGCCTCAGCCTGGGAGCTGCCTGCTTGCAAGGTACAGTTCACGGGCACTGGGCTCACAGAGGGCTCTTGGAAGCGGGGGACACCACGCTCGCCCCTCCCTGTCCTCAGGCCGCGGCAGAGCCGTGGTGGCGCCCTGCCCCCACCAATTGTGCGGGCCTGGTCTCACCAGCTGGCCCGCAGGCCGAGCCAACACCCGCCCCCCAGGACCAAGGCTGCCAGGGCGCGAAGGGGCTGAGGAGGGGGTGGGCCGGTGGGGCCCCAGCCCTGCTGCTTCTGAGGCAGCACCCCTCCACCCGCTGCTCCCAGGCAGAGCTGCGCCGAGACCACAGTCCCCTCCCGGGGGCGCACACACCTCTCTCTTCTGGAGCACATGATGAAGTCTATTCTCAGCCGCTATTTTCTTTACAAAATCTTTCGTTAATCCCCCCAGAGGGAAGAGGGTTCGCCGCAGGGCATCCTGGGAAACCTGGCTGAGAAAGAAGGTCTGGTCTTTAAAGCTGTCAGCTGCTTGGAGGAGTTTTACCGCTGCCAAGAGTAAAGAACAAAACACGTTATAGGAACGAGACCACACACGGCCCCTACGCGAACGGCTCTGCGTGCCGAGATGAGCCCGGGGCTGGCGGCGAACACCCACCGCCCGAGGGGCAGGTCGGGAGACCCTGCCACGGCTACTCAGGAGGCGCCTGCCCCCTACTGCGGCCTGCCAGGGAACAGGCAGGGAAGGCGGCTTCCGTGCCAGGCAGGCACTCGAGCTCTGCTTTCGGTCACGGTGTCTTCAAAGCCGCGCGAGCAGCCGGTTCTGAGGCGCCGGGGAACGCGCTACACTATCGCCAGCCCTCCTGGGGAAAGCGGGTGAGGCGACCGACAGAAGCCCCCAGGAGCCGCGGGGTGGGGCGCCCTCAGCGCTCTGCCCTCAAGCGTGTTCTCGTGTTGGGGCGAGGTGGCGTGTGCGGGGCGCAGGCGAGGAGCCCGCGGAGGGCAGCGGGGCTGAGAGGCCAGCCCCAGGCGCCCCAGCACACGCGCCTGCAGGCCACGGTCCCGTCCAGGCCTTGACTCATTGTGGAGACAACCCCGTTTTACAGGAGGCCGTGGGGTGCAGGGACTCCGCACTGCCTGCACACGCAAAGCCGGCCTCGCTCAGTGACAGGATCTCCCTTCCTAGAAACTAAACCCAGGCAGACGACCCGGGTATGCGCGGAAGCCCCAGGATACCGCCGCTCCTGACGGTGCCCAGTTGTTTCAAACAAAGCCCCAGTCGACTGTTCCTGAGCAAGGGCAGCGAGCCCAGGCCACGGAAAGGAACTGACATCCGACGGGGGACGCCAGGAGCCCCGGTCCCTCACCCTCACGCCCGCGGCCAGCGAGCTTCACGCCCGCGGCCCACGCACACTGGTCAGGCCCCTGCTGCCCCTTGTGACTGACTTGCCCCAAGGTCCCAGGCCCAGGGGGCCCCAGTAGGCCCCAACCCCAGGGCAACTGAGCAGGAATGGAAGGTTCCAGGACACCATAAGACACACGAGCTCAGACCCGGCCATGTGAACACCAGCACACACAACTCTGCAGCCGCGCCAGACGCCCACGCACAGCTCCACGCAGGGGCCTCTGGCCCGCTCCCTGCTGTGACTCCCGAGTGGCAGGCTCCGCCCTCAAAGTCCTGTCTTCCCAACGTGCTGAGGTCCCCTGGGGAAGGGCACCCGGGCGGGGCTGGAGGCCACACCCCACAGGCACTGGCACCCGTGTCCCTCTGAGCTGTAGGACGGGCAGTGCGGTGGGGGGGGGGATGACAGGGCAGCCAGGGGCCCCTGCACACTCGGGCTCCTGGGACCAGTGCACCATCTCAGGACCTGCAGCCCCACACAGGCTGAGCCACACGGAGGAGACCCCAGCAGGGCCTGGACGCGGACCCCGGCCCTGCTCTCTGAGCTGCCCAGCCCAGGGACCTGGCGCCCTCTCCCGTGAAGTGGGCCAGGCGCCCCACGCTTCTGAGAGGAGGGGCGTGCACAGTGCAGCATGGCCGGGGTGCGGGCGGTGGCCCTTGCGGGAGGAGCTCCAGGCCCTGCTCCGTGTCTCCCACCGTGAGCTCTCTCTTGGCACGCGGTGGAGGCCGGGGCCAGCTGGCAGCGTCCGAGCTCACGGGGCTTTTGTTTTTCTGGGAAAGTAAAACTCTGCTCCCTCTCGCGCGGACAAGGTCACCTGTGCGCTTCGCCTTCGCAAGCACGCGGATGCCAGGCCAGCCTGGAGGCGCTACAGTCGCGCCCCAGCCTCGGCCCTCCCGCCTGACCGAGCGCCGGCGCGCACCCCGACGGCGAGCGTCCATGTTTCTGCCAACATCACCAGGTGCTCTGGGCGGTGACAAAGCCCAGACCCGGGCTGCACGGGAGAGTCGATCTCCCACCTGGCCACGCCCGACTGCTCCCAAGGCCCCCGCAGACCCGGGGACGAGCCCGTGCCCGGGCCGCAGCAGCAGGGTGAGCGCGTGGGGCCACGGCGCGTGGGTGGGGGAGCCGTGCCCATGAGTCACGGCGTCTGACCGGCGCTCACTTACCGTTCCTAACTTCAAAGCGGTTTCTGAAAAGCCCTTCTGGCCTCTTAATGTGCTTCTGCTGAAAGACTTCCTCGTCCTCCAGCGAAGTTCTGGCGTAGTGGCCTGTGGCAACTGCGTCTGCGCCTGGGGAGACACAGGGGCTCAGGGCTGTGCCCGCTCCTGCCCTGCACGCGCCGGGAGCAGGTGGCCGGGGCCTGTCGCCAGGATTGCGGGCCTCCACCCCTCACGCCGGGTCCAGCGAGCAGCTCTGCCCATGGAGCCCTGGGAGCGGCTGCGTGTCCTGAAGAGCCTGTTATGTGCCCCTGCAGCTGAAGGGCGTGCGCGCGCGCACACACACACACAGACCGAGGTGCAAGAGCGCATCTCAGAGTCTCTCATGCGAAGGGAAAAGCGCACAGGTCTTAAGCAAGTGCGACGTAAGACAGATACCGAGAAGGACCCCAGACGCTGCCCGCGTCCAGACTGAGCCCTCAATAGAGGAAACAGACACCCCTAAAACCTGTCTCCCTCGGGCACCAGTGTGCACGGCAGGGGCTCTCTGCAAGGCCCACCATCGGGGCCAGGCTCCAGGAGTCTCTGCTCTGAGCTGCGCTTTGCATGCGGTGACTCTAGACCGGGGTGGTCCCTGCGGGAAGTCCCCTGAAGCCTCGACAGCCGGCCCCCCAGGCTCCCTGAGGAGGGGGGTGTGGGCAGTACCTCAGCCCCCGAGAGCCCTGCAGCGCACCCGGCTCGGCCGACCTTGGTCTGGCCGGTGGGATCGCACCCCAGTCCCACGCGGGGGCCCTGCTGTGACGGTGACCCCGCGCATGGGCGGGCCTTTCCTTTCCTGAGTCACGGGCCCCAGCGCCCCCTCCCGCAGCGGCAGCTCACTGGTCAACGTGGCAGCAAACTGCACGCCCCACTAGGCCCCGAGGTCCTGCTCTGGGTCCAGCATCCAGCCGGTGGAGGCGCGTCTGACTCTGCTGCAGGAGGCCCCGCCGTAGCCATGCCAGCTACAATCCCTGGTCCCTGGATCGGCAGCCCCCCCGCCCCAACCCAGGTCACTACGCAAGTGCTGACAGGACAGCTCAGCCGGCAGCCCTGGGCTCGAGGTCACGGGCACACGCTCCGTCTTGGCACGCGGCCAGGCGTGGCAGGTGAGCCCCACGGTCAGGGCAACTGGGGCCGGCGTGCGGCCCTCAGGAGTCAGTACAGCGACTCCAACAGCGGGGCAGGAGCAGGGATCCACAGTGGACACCCAAGGGGAGTCAGGCGAGCCAGGCAGCAGGAAGGGACCGTCCCCCAGAGACGGAAACAAGACGCAGGAGAGACGGCAGGACAGCCCAAGCGCGCAGGCTGGCGGCGCCGGCCACAGGCGGCCTTCAGAACAGACTCGCTTCAGAGACCCCGACCCACAGCCAGGCCCAGCCCCGCCCCCGGACAAAGCAGAACCCCACGTTGGGAGCGACAGCAGAGACCCCAATAGGACTAGCGAAAGGATGAGCCACAACAGACAGACACCCAGTTTCCAGAGTCCGGCCCCAGGCCCGGCCCAGTGGGCGCTGCCCCCGCGCCAGGAGCCGCCCCACGCAGACCCGCGCCCCTTCCCTCCCGCTCCGGAATGGAGGCCGTTTCCCAGCTCTCGGCCTCCGGCTACAGCGAGAACAGCGCCAACGACTCACCGAGGTTGTCCACGGCGTAGTGGAAGAAGCAGCCGAACTTGATGTGCTTGTTGCAGGCGATGTCGGGGTTGGGGGTCCTTCCTTTCTCGTACTCGCTTAAAAAGTCGCTGCAACAGAGGAAGCCTGCTCGTTTCTCGGCGCAGCGCAGCCCGCCGAACAGAAGGCAGCGAGATGCCCCGCTCAGCCTCCCCTCGCCTGCCGGAACTAAAACCTCCTGCCCCACGGGAGAGGCGGGCGCAGCGCCTCAGCACCCCGGCGGCAGCCCCCTGCCCCGCCCCCCCACTAGAGGCCGCTGAGGGCGGACGGCAGCTGCCTGCGGCCGACTATCTCCGGGCGCCCCACCCACAGCCCGGACCGAGGAGAAGGGGAAGCGCCTGGGGCAGCCCCGGCCGGGCACCGTGTGGATGGCAGCCGCGGGCGGGCTGGGAGGAGGAGGCAGAGAGTGCCCCGTTCCCAGGGCGCTGCCACAGGGGCCATGTGCCTGGGTGCACTCGGGGACTGTCTCGTGCGCCGCGCCCGGGCGACAGAACACCGTGACGGGGAACAGAGCCAGACCGAGTCTGTGCCCCAACTCAGGTGGCTGTGCGCCCCGACTCGGGGGCAACGCCCCACTGTCTGCCCACGAGCGCGCCGCCCAGCAGGGCGTGAAATCTCCCGGTGTTACGTATTTTCCAGAGCGCTTGACCTTATTACACTCTTTCCTTTTTCTTTTAACTCTTGGCAGGGTGCGCTGCAAGTTCTACCCCCTCCAGCGGCCCCAAACGCCCACGTAAGCACCTGCCAGCGGCCATTGCAGAGGCCAAGCCGGGGGGAGGGGGGGGGCCAGCACCAGCAGCGCTAGGCGAGACGGAGGTACCTGCCTCCTCCTCCACCCACGCTGGGGACGGCGCTGCGGCATCTGCCCCCCACCCCAAGACGAGGGCCGCGGCCAAGAGGACTCAGGCACTTCTGCACCGGAGGCCCCGCGAGAGCATCAAGAGGCAGGTTACGGCCCGCAGCCGGGCCAGGCGGCTGGCCAGCGAGAGCCCAGGGGGCTTACGGGGGCCTAAGGGGCGCGCTCACCTCACCTTCCCGTAGGGAGCCCTGGCCCGAGGCCGGGGTGCTCCCCCAGCTCTGCTCCCAGCCCGCCGCCGCGGTTCAAGGCACACGTGCTCCAGACACTGCACCTGCTCACGCGCTTTCAGAGTGTGACCGCTGGAGCTTCGTGCCATCACCTCGAGCCGCAGCTCTCCCAGCCCATGCAGACCCGATGTCGCAGCTGGCCCGACGCCTCCTCTCACGTCCCAACTGGGCCAGTCTCCAAGCCCACTGCACTGATCCCCAAAGGGAGGGTCCCCCACAGCAGAATCACCTCAGGCTTGGGAAGGTGCACACGGCAGGCCCCACCGCCCACGGTGCTCAGCAGCTGACTCGACTGCTGGGGATCATCGCCCCCGGAGCACTCCCACGGACCCCGCCGCAGCCCCGGCCCAGAGCTCGTCTTTCTGAACAACGCGATCAGAGCGGCACTGGCCTCCGCCAGGCAGGGCACCCGGAGCGTACAGAGGCGCATTTGATCCTCACAGCAACCTTGTGAGGTGTCACCCCAGCTTAGAGGATGAGAAAACCAACTTATGAAAGTCTAATCAACTGCCCCAAGTCACAATTGGGGCAAAATTAGGATTGAACCCAGCTTTTCTCCCCCTAAAGTACCACCCAGCCCCATGCACGTCACCATGGCCACCCCCAGGGCTGTGCACACCAGCCACAAGCCCCACCCTGCAGCTTCCAGGCGTCCCCTGTCACCCCCTACCCTGCTCCTGCTGCCGAGGGAAGGGCCCCCCAGGCTCCTCACTCCTCAAGGGCGGTCAGGCCACGCCACTCCCATGAAGTCCTCCTGCCCACTCCACACACCTCTCCCTCCTCTGCCGGCCGCCCTATCTGCCCCGCACCACCGACCCTTTGCAGACAATCCCCCTACACCTGGACAGCACCCAAGCAAGCAGGACATGCCTCCCAGCAGCACCCACAGAGGACAAGCACTCATGACCAGCATGGGGTGCGCTGGGTTCTTATAGCTTTTCCGTGTTTCTGCTTTTCCAAAGGCACAGGGGGCGAGTCACCTCTTTTTTCCAGAACCCAACCCCATTACTGATCTCATGGGCAGACACCCACTTCGAGGCACCGCGAGGCATCTCAGCCTTAGCTCCCTTCCCTCATCTAGCAGCTGAAGCATCTCAGGGCTCTGGAAGGCACCAGAGACTGGCAGGGGCCAATACTGGAGGGAAGAGGGTGTCTGGGGCCCCAGGCCTGGCCCCCGGAGACCTCCCCACGCGGCCTGGGCCTGGCTGGCTTGGCAGCGCTTCCCGGACAGAGGTCACGGCCCTGAGCCCTCGTGCCGTGGGCTGCACCCACCTGAACACGTCGTTCCAATACTCCCTCACGTAGGACACCTGGTGGAAGGGGATGTCCAGCACCCGGCAGACCCTGTAGGCGTCCTCGCAGTCCTTGTCGGCGGCGCACACGCCATGCTCGTCCAGAGAGTCCCAGTTCTTCATAAACACCCCTGTCACCTGGTAGCCTGAGAGGGAAGCAGCGTCTGAGCTCCCCGGCGCCCACGCGGCCCGCAGTGCCGCGGCCTTCAGAGCCGGTGCGCCAGGGTCAGGGCCGGGCTCCCCCCACCCCCAGCTGCTCCGCCCGAGCAGGGGCACTGGGCCATCTCTGCCCCGCGGGCAGCGCCTGCCCGAAGCTGCTAGATTCGCTCAGCTTCTAGCTGAGCTTCTGCGGAGCGAGTGAGATCGCGGCAGAAGCTCAGCAAAGTCTTCAGGGCAGATGAGAGCCCCGCCTCAGTCCCGGGGCGGGAGCTCACTCCAGCGCCACGGCCCTGGCCCGCCCTTGCTGGGACGGAGCCCCGACCCGGCCCTGCAGCGCCCCGGGCCGCCCGCCCGCCCGCCGGGGCTGGTGTCCCGCTCCGCTCCGGGCAAGGGACTGCCGGCAGCGTCGCCCGGAGCCGAGAGCGCGAGTGTGAGACGCCCGCGGCCAGCTGGGCCCCTCCGGCGCCCGGACTCGCTCCTCCCGCGGCGCGGCCGGCGCCAGGCGAGGCCCCCGCACCCCGCGCCGCCCGGGCCCGGCCCCGCGCCAAGCCGGGCCGCTCCGCCCCGGAGCCGCGACCCTCCCCGCCCGGGGCGCGACAGGGCGGGCGGCTCGGCCAGGCCGGGCCCTCGGCTCCCCCGCGCGGCGGACACCCGGGCCGGCCGCGCAGCCTGGGCGCCGGGGCGCGCGCCCTTCCCTCCCGCCGCCGGGCGCCCGCCCCGGCCCGCGCGTCGGCACCCGGCGGCCTCCCCGCGCCCCGGCGGCCTCCCCGCCCCCCCGCGCCCTCCCCGCCACCCCCCGCGCCCTCCCCGCCGCCCCCCCGCGCCCTCCCCGCCTCCTCCCCCCGTCCCCCGCGCCCTCCCCGCCCCCCGCGCCCTCCCCGCGTCCCCCCGTCCCCCGCGCCCTCCCCGCGTCCCCCCGTCCCCCCGCGCCCTCCCCGCCCCCCCGCGCCCTCCCCGTCCCCCCGCGTCCCCCCGCGCCCTCCCCGCGTCCCCCCGCGCCCGCCCGCGGCCACTCCGGGCCGGTCAGGCCGGGCGCGCTCGGCGGACCGGGACTCGGGGCCGGCGGGCCGCGCGCCCCACAGCCGCGCGCCGGGCCGCTCACCTCTCCGCCTCAGCAGCAGCGCGGCCACGGCGCTGTCCACCCCGCCGGACAGGGCGCACACGACGTGCCGCGCCGCCCGCATCCGCGCGCCGCGCCGGCCCCGCCGCTTCCGCGCCGGAAGTGCCGCCCCGCCGCAAGTCCCGCGCCGGAAGTCCCGCCCCGCGGCGCCCGGCCGGCAGCGCGAGCTCGGCGCGAGGGTTCCGCGGCGGTGGGCGGGCCCGGGCCCTGGCTGCCGGCCGGCGCCCGGAGACCCTTGGCGGGGCCGCCTCCCGCGGAGCGGGGGCCGCGAGGGCGCAGGGCCGGCTGGGGGCGCTGGCCGCGGACGCGCGGGGCCCATCCCCCCGGGGCGCCCAGAGGGGCCCCTCGCCCCGGCCCCGCCTCGGCGGTGGGTGGCGCTGACTTTCGAACCTAACTTTGGATAATGTGAATCTTGCACATCGATTAGCGGTAAAAATAACTTTCAACACGTTTATTTTACAATTTAATTTAAATCAAGAATATTTAACCTTTCATACAAACTTATTTTTAAAGCCACTCGCTGCTTCACCGGTAAAAGACGCAAAGCAAAGACCAAGACGCACCTGGGGAGAAGCCCCGCGCGCAGGGCACCGCCTCCAGGCCCGCCCCAGCACCCACCCGGTCCGCCTCTCGCTTCCCTTTTCCAATAGTTTTCCCGAAGTGTACCCCAGAGGCTGAAACCCCCGCAGAGCTGTTTTTAACAAAGACTGAAGGCAGAGGGCTTGGTCTGCTTAGAACTTGAGGAGCGGCGAGTCCACGTTTTCTTTGTCAGCCTCGGGGCTCAGCTGGATAAGCGGGGACGTCAGGTCTATCAGCTGCAAGACAGAAGCCCAGGTGAGCAGGACCCCGGCCCTCCCGGCACAAGCCTGAGGCCCCTGACCACTGGACACCAGGCTGCCCGAGCCACCTGTCACCCGTGCCCCTCGGGACACACGGTGGCCCGGTGAGCCCCCACCAGCACATCGAGGAAACTGGCAGCAGGACGTCCCACGGAGGACTCGAGCCCTCTGCGCGTACTGCAGGCCCCAGGAACCGCCCTTCAGGAGCTCCAGGGCCCTGAAGCAGGACCTGATGGGCGCTAAGCTCGCCCAGCAAGAGACACGATGGCCCTAGGAACCTCGGTGACCGCAGGTCACCATGATGTCCCCCCAGAGGAAACTGGACCCCCAGGCTGTTGCCGTGGGCTCACCTGCACCACCTCGTGGATGGGCTTGGGCGGGGCACCCCTGCTGAGGTCCGGGGTGTTGACCAGAAGGTCGATCAGAGGTCGACTCTCCAGGCCCAAAGCCGCGTTTGCTTCAGGAGTGTTACCAAAGTCAATGAGGGGAAGGTCAATGAGGGGTGTGCTCTCCACTTTGGGGGTGATCATAAGTTCATCTAGCCTGATATCCACAAGAATGGCCTAGACAAAAACACAAGCGTTTTGGCAAGCCATCGTGAGGAGACGTTGCTCTCTGCTTATGTCCCCCAGTGGCTGACCTCCGGACACCCAGGGAAGAAGGGCTGGACAGGCCTGCGGAGGGAGCTCTGCTCTCTGACCACCCTCTGCCTCCTCCTGACAGCAGCCAAGCATGGGTGCACCCCAGCCCTTCTCCTAGCCCGCTCCCACCCACTTCCCGCTCCAGCTTTGACCTGGCCCCCCAGCGCCCCCCAGCGCAGGGGGAAGTGTGGCTTTTTCTTCTCCAGAGGCCAGAGGGGGCACTCTGCAGCCCACTGTTCCCAGTTACTTCGGCCTCCAGGACAGCACTGGAAATTACGTCGCCCCTTTTACCTCTCGCGGGGATGTGTCTGACAGTGGCCGCGTTTCATCCGGGGCTACTTGTGTGGGGACACTCGGTGAAAAAGGAAAATCATTCTTCTCTGGAGAAAAGTTAAGTGCCTGCGGCACAGCGGACGGCGGAGAAAAGCTGCTGTCGGGGGACGTGTCGGGGCGCCCAGGAGCAGCCTGGTCTCCACTCTCCCCCAAAGGTGCAGCTCTGCGGGCGGGAAGAGCCTTCTAAGGATATTTCTGTAAGACGCCATCAGCCCGGCCTGCTTCTGCTACGTGGAGGCCAGCGACTGTGCCCAGCCCCAAGGAAGCCGCTGCCTTTCCACTCAGTCCTGCTTGAGTAAGGGGGACCAGCAGGCCTCTTGACCAACCCGGTACCTCTGAGCACCCACTGACCCCCCTTTCCTGCAGGTTCTTCACAGGAGGAAGGAGCCAGCACCACAAACAGGGGCCCTCTGTCCACGCGCTGCGGCCACATGGGTCTCACTGCTGCTGTCCTACTGCCTGCCCCGACCACATGGAGACCAGGGCCTGTCCAGCACAAGGGCCGCTTGGGCCTGAGGACTAAGATGACTCACCTCAGCTTCATCTTACCTCACCAAGGGCTTTTCCTGGGGTTCAGGAGATAGTTGCCGAGCAGTAACACACAGCGGGGAGGCCAGAGCCCGGGGCATGGTTCGGGGGGTTGCCAGGGGGAGGCTGGAGAGCCGGCGGCCAGCCGGCGTGGGCAAGGCTGACAGGCGCCTGATGCTGGCCGGGGTCCTGGCTCCATGCGAGCAGCTCTGCGTGGCTGGTGTAGACAAGCACCTGGCAGGGGTGCTATGCAGGGCAGGCCTGGAGAGCAGATGGGGCTCTGAGCAGGAGCCCTGGGTCAGGTGACACCGAGCAGGGCCAGCGCACCCAGGCCACGGCGCTGCGTGGCTGCAAGTTCCCGTGGGCCACTGTGCAGGCCAGGAAGGGATTTCAGCGCGGCTAGGGCCGCAGGCGCACAGCTGGCCGCCGCCGTGGATCACACAGTTCACAGCCAAGGTGTGGCAAGGGTCGCAGAGGCACAAGCTGGCCCGGGTGGAGACGGTCAGAGCCACAGGGCACCTTGCTCACCCCACCCCATCCCACAGGGTCTGAAGCAGTGCCCCCACCTGGCCGCGCGCAGGACCCAGCCCCGTCAGTCTCCCTGCAGGACACTGACCAGAGGGTCCTGGTCACCAGAGGGCCAGTGTGCAGCCCTCTGGCCCAGCGGGTGCCATGGGAGGGCAAGCAAGGCTACTGTTGGTGCATCAGCTCCCCATGGCTCGGCCTCACGCCCACAGGTGTGCTCACTGCCGGGCCTGTGCGCAGGCGAGGAGCCTGCCCACTGGCCAGACAAGGCGACGCGTCTGGGGGTTCAGGGAGTGGGAGGCTGGGACTCAAACCAGGCTGAACAAGCAGGCCAGGCACCAGGGAACCAATGAGCAGTCCTGCGGGACCTATAGATGCGGGACCTATAGATGCGGGACCTACTGACTCCTGAGGCCAGGCCTCAGGGAAGAGACCAGGCACGTCCGCCTGGGGCCCAGAGGTCCAGCCATTAGGTCCGGGGCTGGCAAGCTGGGGGATTGAGCTTGGGGCTGAGAGGCCCGCGTGGCCCTGGCCCCAGGGGCAGGCACACGTGGGAGAAGGGCTGGGGCGCGGCGGGTGCCCCGCGGGAGCATAGCAGGCGCCTCAGCTTGGCCGTGCCGTCACGCAGGAAGCAAGCAGGAGGGGCCGACTCACCTCCCCGCAGACGTGCAGGACTGCGGCCTCTGCGCCCACAGGGGCTGTGGCGTGGTGCTGTCGGGGGGCTCACCTGAGGAGAGGGAGGCTGTCAGTCCACCCAGATGGAATGATGAACCCACGTCCGGGGCGCCTCACCAGCCGTTCTCCTCTAGGGGTCGCCACTTCCCAAGGGCGGCAAAGGCGGCTCAAGATGGGGGTCGACCGGCCACAGGGACCCTCCCCCCTTTCACCGGTCACACGTTTTGCCCCAGGACCTTTGCACCAGCCTCTGCCTGGAGCGACCTCCCCTGTCATGTCCAGACCTCAGCCGAGCCATGTCCCCTCCCGAGGGGGGCCGAACTCACGTGCCTGCCGCGCCCGCCAGCGCTCACCACTAAGGCCACCCTAGCTGACGCCCCCGCCTGTGCTATTAAGGAGGGCCCAGGAGGCAGGGTTCAGTCTCGTCACTGCGTCCTGTGCCCAAGGGTGCTGGCGCCCAGGAGACGCCCCGAGCGTGGCTCCTGCCCACACGGCGCGAGCCGGCAGCAGAGACGCCTGCAGAAGTCAGCCGCTGTCTCCTCAGAGGCGGCCGGCCACGGAGACGCCTCTCCCACCCAGCGCGCGTCGCGGGCGCCAGGGAGGTCAGTGGCTGGCCAGGCTCGTGGGAAGTGGGGAGCCCAGCGAGCGCGTGGCCGGGGCAGCGCGGGGGTGAGGGGGCGGCCAGTAGAGCGCGCAGGCCGGCCGGGGCTGGGGAGGGCGCGAGCAGCAGGGCCGAGCGGCACAGCTTAGAGCAGCCTCGGAGGGTCCCGCTGAGGGCACTGGACCGGCCGCCAGAGCAAGAGTCCGAACCTCAGAGGGAGGTGGCCGGATCCGGACATTCAGAAAGGCAAGATTCGGGGCTGCGGACAGCGCGACATTAAACATGAAGCGGCGGCAAAGTGCCCACGGCCAGGAAGTCCACGGGACCCCCCGAACGAGAGGGAAGCGGAGCCGGAAGAGGCAGACTGCGAAAGCACCGCTGCGCGCCGGGGCCGGGAGCAACGATGAACGCCGTGAGGACGAGAGCGGGCAACGAAGCCACGAGAGAGAACGGGGCCGGCCGGGCCCGCGGAAGGCGGGCGGCGAGACCCGGGTGGGCGCAGCAGGGGAGGGCTGGGGGGCCTCGGCGTCAGAGGGGGCGACGCGGAGCCCCGGGGCAGGGGCCGGGGAAACCCGAGGACACAATGGCCAGATTTTCCTAGATTTGCTCGGCCCACGGGACCCAGCAGCCCGGGGAAGCCCAGACGGGCGAACGGCAGCAGGAGCTTCGGCGGGCGGGGGCGGGCGCAGCCGGAGGGCAGGAGCCGCAGAGCCCCGGGACGGCGGCGGCGAAGGTGCCACGGCCAGAACAGTGCATCCCCAGCCGTTAGACAGGCGCCGCCCCTGCTTCAGGGATCGCTGCAGGCTCTCTGACTTACCGGCAGAAAACTTGGGGATTTTAAATGGATTGGCAGGAGCAGGCGCCCCCTCCGGCTTGGGGCCCAGAGAGGAGCCTCGCCTTCTCGCGCCGCCCGTCCCACTCGGCTGGGAAGACTGGGTCAGACTGGGGCGCGCGCGCGGCCCTGGGCCCCCATGCGCAGGAGTCCGGGGCAGGGCAGCGGTGCTGCTGCCCGGCCGGCCGGGGTCAGGAGGCGGCGGGGGGCCGTCTGTGGGAGCACCGGGCCGGCCACCTGGTTTGGCTGGAAGAGGAAACACGCAATGAGATCGTGTCTCACACGCCATGCCCCTCGTGTGCCAGCGGGGAGCGCTCTCAAGTGAGGAGGGTGCCCGGGGGGGGGGTGGTGGTGGTGGCCCCGTCGCAGAGCAAACGACACAGCAGTGACACCCGGCGCATCCACCACGGCCACTCAGGGCCAGCAGAGTGTGGCCGCCGCATGATGTCCACGAGAGTCTCCTTCCTGCCCTGTTACGTCCACACAGCCATGTGCCCCGTGGAGCGGGCCAGCCGGAGGGGTCAGAGGCAGAGGGGCCCAGGGAGAGGCCACGGTCTCTGCTCGGTCCTTCCCAGAAGGCCGTCCGTCCGCGGGAGCGCCACTGAACAGGCCAGCAGGTGACACAGGCGAAAGCGCAGCCCACACACAGCCGGTCAAGTCTTGAGCAGACGCGCAGCTCACACTCTCCAGGGCACAGCGGGCCCCCACGCCACCCGCCCGCCCGTGGCCCTGCTGGGACGGGGCAGCACGTGCCCACAGCGCCGCGTGGCCTGCCCACCTGCCCCAGAAGCAGAAACACGGAAGTCATGGACAAAGGCGCCGGCACCCAGGGGCAGCGCAGCAGGGACCTTGGGAGGCCAGAGCTGAGGGGTTCTGATGTCTGAGAAGCAGCAACGCTGGTGGCGTTCCAGAACAACGGGCATTCTAAGCAGGATGCAGAGCCGAACCACGTCCACCCTCTCCCTGAATAAGGCCACGCCCTGCTGCCTGGGCGGGATCAGCGTCTACGCAGCAGGGACGATGTGGGGCGGATTGGGGTCTGTCCTGAGCGCCCACCAGAGCCCTTCCCTTGACCTCCAGATGGCGCCCTTGCCCGGAGACAGCCCAGTTCCCGACAGTCCCCTGGTAAGAACCGCAGCCCGGCACGGCCTAGCCGCCTCAGGTACCTGCAGCTCAGTCTGCTTGTACCACCCTCACCAAAGGTGCCACTCCCACAGCAGGGGAGCCCCGAGGGCTGCCCCACGTGGTCTCCCAAGGCCACAGGACAGCCCTGCAGACCCCCAGCGGGAGGACAGCCTTCCCACCCGGCCGCGGGATGCCTTACCTGGGCCTGGTGCCAGAGCCGCGCCCGCAGCCTTGCGGGGAGCAGACCCCAGGGAAGAGGGCCTCCTGGCCAGGCTGCCCGCGCCGCCGGGGGCTCTGAGCAGCGTCCTCCTCAGCCCCAGCTGAAACACAACCAAACGGGCTTCATTCTCACCCGGGACTTCCTGCTGCCGTGGTGGAGCTTTAAACAACTGAACAACCACCCGCTTGGATTTAGAGAAAGACCCGGCAGGCTGCCTCGAGGTTCAGCTGCAGAAGCAACTCCAGGCGGCGGCTAAAAGGTGGACCCGGGGCGCGCCCAGGCCCCCAGCTGCTGGCAGGCGGCTGCCCACAGGCTTAACGAGTCCCGGCAGCGGCTCACACGCGCGGCTCCGTGGCAGGGCGAGCGCAGGTGCGGGGTCTGCGCCTGCGGACCTTCTGCTCTGGGTTAAAGTCCCTGCCCAGGCGGTGCCTGGAGGAGCGAGGGCGCCTCCACTGTCAGGCCGACGTCCCGCAGCGGGGAGACGGAGGCCCCGCTGTCCCAGGGCTGCCGGCTGCTGGAGGGAAGCCAGTGCAGGGCAAAGGAGTGAAATCCTGCTCCCTGCGTCCTCCCCCCGGAGCCTCCACGGCCGGCACCTTGCGGCCTTCCTGACTGGACGCCTGGGCCAGAGCGCCGGGCGGGGGACACCATGCCCCGGGTGTAGGGCGTCGCCCTGAGGCCGCGGGGGGAAGCTGCCGGGAACGCGGGCGAGGAAGCCGTCTGTCCCAACTCGGCAGTGAAGCCCAGCGCGGGCTCCAGTCACTGTTTCATCTGCGAGAAGCGACACCGACCTGCCCGCCTGGCGCTGCGCCTCTCCTGGCCCCCGCCTCCCTGGCCTCGCTCTTCACCCAAACAGGCCCCACACACAACCGCCACCTCGTGTCCTCGCGGCCCGCAGCCGGAGACCCACCTTGTGCGGAACAGGGAGCGAGCGCTTGCCCGGCGCCGCGTGGCTGTCACCAGCTGGCAGGCCAGTGATGTCCCCGGCAACGCTGGACGGGACCGAGGGCACGTCCCCCTGGGGTTCCTTTTCACCTGGGAGCTTCCCCCGGGAAGGACTGGCTGGCATCTCTCTCGCGGGCTGGAAAGGTTTCGTTCGCTGCGTGAGGACCAGGTGGCCTGAGACGGGACAGGCTAAGGCTCCCGGGAAGCACAAGCGCTGGCGCCCACCCTCGCCAGCCCCAGGCCGAGGGGGACTCTGTTCCCCTCGAGTCACCGGGCCCAGCAGAGGCCCAGGCCAACACCAACACGGGGTGCAGGACAGAGCCCCCTGGCTGCCCTCACCCCACACTCATCCAAGGGGACGGGTCCAGTCACTGCCCGTCCCGGAGCCAAGCCCACCCAGCAGCTCCCCAAGCTCCCCAGCACCAGATGTCGCCTGGGGCCAGGAAAAGAACGGCCCAGAACGGGTGGCCCGAGCCACCACCTCCAGCCACACCCCACGCCTCCCGCACAAGAGCCACGTCACCTCGTTCTAGAAACGCCACTTGCTGCCGCCAACCCACTGAGCGCGGTTCCCCAAGCGGCTCAGAGGGCAGGAGCCTGGGGGAGGCAAGGGTACCGGCGGGCTCCTCAGCTTCTCCCCAAAGCAGGAGCCCTTCCCCGCCCACGCAGAGCAGGACGGGGCAGCCTGGGCCTGACACCCACCTCCTCCCCGGCCCAGCGAGCCTCCCGGAGGCCAGCCGACTGCGCCCCGTTGCTCCCGCCCCGCCTTCCGGGCGCCCAGGGCCGGAGGACCCTCTAGCTGAGTCTGAGTCGTGCAGGGTGCCCAGCGCCGCCCCGGGAAGGAGCTGCTTGCTAGCCGTAGTCAACTCCCCGGGCGAATCCAGGGTGCCGGCGTCACACGGCGGGGCGGAGGGGTCGGGGCGGCCTACCTTTCCTGCCGCCAGGCCCAGGGGTCCCCTCGGGCTCCGGCCGCGCGCGGTGGCAGCAACTTGCTGGCAGCCTTCTTCTGAGGCCCGGCCTGCTCGGGAGGGCGCGCGGTTCTCGGACCCAGGAGCAGGGGACGGGAAAGCTGTGGGGGCCCCCGCGTCGGGGGGAGTCCCACGGGGCGCTGGGCCGCTGAGGGCGGCGGGCCCCGCAGCGGGGCGTCTGGCAGGCAGTAAGTCTCCCTTTTAAGCGACTGGGGGCTTTTCTTCGCCCAGTTTTCTCTCTCAAAGAGGCTTATTTTTGACTGGGCCTCCTGGATGAAGTGCTCGGCGCCCTGGCCGCTCGGGGCCTCGGGCCGGGCAGCCTGGGCCCTGCTGCTGGTCTCTATCTGCAGGGCCAGCAGGCGCGCCTCCGTGTACACCTCCACGAACTTCTCCCCCGCGAGGGGGCTCCAGGCGACGCGGCCGTCCGAGGCCGGCAGGAGCGGCTCCTCGGGAACGGGGTGGTTCAGCTCCAAGCTGGCAGCCACGCATCTCTCCTTGTGCCCGACCGGTCCGAAAAAGACCTCGTCGTCTTCGTTGGCGCTGTGTCACAGGCAAGGGCCGTGAGGGTCGGCGCCCGCACGCAGGACGCCGCGGAGCGCGGGGGGGGGGGGGGGGCGCTCGCTTACCTCGAGGACGACAGCGAGAGGTCGAAGTCAAATTTCTCATCCGCCAACAGAACCACGTCTGGGGAAGAGAAGGCCGCGGTTATTTCAGGGTTGGGGCCGAGAGAAGAGAAACGCGACCTTCTGAGAGAGGCGTGGGCGTCGCGGGTGAGTGGGGACCCCAGTTCCGGGGAGCTGGGGCAGGAGGCAGCAGCGACCAAAGCGCTGGCGACATCTCCCGGGTGAGCTCGGCTCGAGTGGGCGCCTCTCCGGGGGGCTTCGGGGCTCCGCTTTTTGCCGCTTTCCTCTGACAACAGCATCGGCCACTCAGAGCTGGCTCAGCTGGCCCGGAGCCGAGGCCTTCATCTGACGCAGGCCTGAGGTCGCCGAGCTACCCCACCTGCTCTCCAGACCAGGCACGTCCTCTCAGCAGCCTCTTGCCTCAGCTCCCAGAACTGGGCCCCAGCTCAGAGCCCGCGACGCCCACTCCAGGGCACGCTTCGCCCACCTGCTGCCGTCAGCTCCCATCACGCCCCCTGCGGAGCTGCTTTGGACCCGCGTGTCCACCATTGCTGCAGCCCCCTCCTGCTCCGACAGGCCGCAGGTGGGCGCCCTTGGGGGGTCACCGCTCCCCCCACCGGCTCATGACCCCCATCACCACAAATGCCTCCTGGCCCTCCCATGGCCCCCCAGACCAAGCTTGTCCAAGACAGCAAGCGCCTTGCTTTCTCAAGTCCCCCTCGTCCAGCCAAGGGCCTGGACACAGCGAGGGTCCGTGGAGCCGCTGAGCTGGCATCCCAAATCCTGCCTTCCTGACCCCGATGAGCATCGCAGCGACCACAGCCTCCAACGGCAAAAGCCCGCTAGACGGTATCGCGGAAGAAAAGGCCTCGCCGACAGCAGCAGCAAGAAACGCCGAGCCCGATGGACAAGCTTAGTGAGAGACATGCAAGGGGCAGGAGCCTGGAGTGTCCTGCGAGTGACAGCAACGCCGTGGGCAGCACCGGCATCCGTCCACAGCCCTCTGGGGCCGAGGGTGAGGGACACAAGGACGTCTGACCACACCGCTTCACCTCCCCGGGACTAATTCCAAATAAATCAAAAGAAAACTGAGAACCGAAACCCTGGAGCCGGGGGCACAGCGGGGAGATGACCTTCGAGGCGGGCGTGGAGGCCTGGGAAGCCGGAGACCGTGCCAGTCCCACCCGTGCGCGTCTCCACTCGGCAGGGCGATGTGACCACCAGCAGACTCTGCAGCTCAGGTCACAAAGGGCTGATGCAGGGCGTGTGGAAGCCGCGCTCAGGAAGCCACGCGAGGCGCTAGGCCCAGACGGGAGCAGACAGGTGGCCCGAGGGGTCCCCCGTGCGTCCCTGCGCAGGCGATGGCAGCTCGGCCTTGCTCAAGCTCACACGGTGAAAATAAGCTCGCCCTGAGGCCCCACTTGTCTCCTGTGAGGCTGTCAGAGATCGGGAAGTCGGAGACCCCGCGGGCGGCCGAAGGGGGGCCCCCAGGAGTCCAGCACCACAGCACCAGAGCCCAGCCCTGCGCAGCCCCAGCAGATGGCGCTACGGCGGCCCCTGAAGGCAGGACACCAGAGCCAAGAGCTCGCCCACGGCCGGCCCCTGGTGACAGCACCGGGCAGAGGGACTGCGCTGCGTGCTGGTCACCAGGCCAGGAAAGCACGACGCGGGAAAGGCTCTGGCTGTGCAGGGGGAGAGAGCTGACGCAGTGAGCGCATGCTGGCTGCCACCGCACAAAGCAGGCCCGAGCACACGAGAGACAGCCACAGGGAGGCCTCTGGGGCCAGGTGGGCGGCTGAGGGACTAAGACGAGCGTTATTTCACTTTCTGCGTGTCTGGAGCTGGGAGGTCAAGTTCGTAGGTCATTTCTCAAAACTTCCAGCTGTCTATGAGGAGTCCTGGGCCAGGAGGCGGCCGGGGCGGGGGGCAGGATCCCCATGCTCTGCAACCAAGTGACCTTGGGGTCTGCAAACACATGCTTGCCCTCCACTAGGTGTCAGCAGGTGCACTGACCAATGGGAACCCCAGGTGAAAGGCAGCCTGGTGACGAGGCAGCGTGGAGGGGGGGACACCACCAGGAAGTACCAAGTGTGTTCCTGGAACAGGTCAGAGGCCAAAGCGGCCGCAAGAGATGGAACCACAGGAGGGGTCAGGTCCCAGAGGGCTCGCAGGCCACGGCCAGGAGCGTCCACTTCATCCAAATGCAGCAGGAAGCTACTGAAAGGTTTTAGACGATTACCCTGGCCATGGTGTGGAGTGTCCAAGAGGGGCCAGCAGTAGCCCCGGCGTGGCAGCGCACACATGGCCAAAGCGCAAAACCCACGCGCAGGCGGAGGTGGGCTACCGTGCCTGAGCTGAGGCAGCGGCGCTCGGGCGGCGCTGGAGAGAGACTGGACCCAGGACCCAACACGGGCTCCGCCAGAAAGCAGAGGCTGGGGCCATGAGCCCGTCTGAGCGCCCCAGGGAGCGGGCAGACCCGGCCAGGGCGGAGGTCAGCTTCCGGAGACAGCAGAGGAAGAGGAGCTGCCCAGAGAAGAAGGCCCACAGGCCAGAGAGGCAGGAGGGCGGCAAGAGTGCCTCAGCCGCCAAAAGAAGCTTCTGGAAGGAGAGACTGACTGAGGAACAGACTCGGCAACCGGATGCGGTGACGGCTCTCCAGCAAGCGAAGGCGATGATGGCAGCGGGGAGGCACTGGGGTGACCCTGGGGGTGCCGCGCGGGCTCGGGACGCCGTGGCTGGCACGGGTATTTGAAGGGGAGGCCAGAGGGGAAGAAGGGGTGCAGAGGGCGAGGGGGGGTTACGGGGGGTGCGGGGCAGACGGGGGAGCCGCGCCCACCGACAGCCACAGCGGACACGAGCTCCACCCCGCGGGTCGGGGCGCCTCGCAGGGCCGCGGCCTTCCGGGCCCTGGACACCCCGCGGCCGGCTCGGCCGGGCCCCGCCACGGAGGCTCCGAGGGTGTCGGCGAAGACCCGAAGGCGGGGCGGGGAGAGCGGCCCGCGCCCCGCGCCGCACGCACCGTCCTCGGGGGGCCCGTCCATGCTGGCGGCTCCGTCCTCGGGGGGCCCGTCCATGCTGGCGGCTCCGGAGCCCGTCGCGGCCGGCGCCTCGTCGGCGGGAGCTGCGGGAGGAGGCGGAGATGAGCGGGGGGCGGCGGCCCGGCCCCCCCAACCCCGCTCGGCACCCCCGGCCCCCCAAACCCCTCGGCCCCCCCGGCCCCCGGCCGCGCGCGCCGGCCCCGCGGCCCCCCGACCCCGCGACCCCCGGCCCCCCGGCCGCGCGTGCCGCCCCCGCGACCCCCGACTCGCGGCGCCGCCCGGCCCGGCCCTCACCCCGGCGGCCGACGCCCGACGCCCGGCGGTGGCAACTCCGCCGGTTTAAACGCGGCGCTGGCGGCGCGGGCTGCCGATTGGCCGGTTTGAAAAGGGCTCGCGAGACCGGCTCCCGGTGCATCCTGGGGGTTGTAGTCCGAGCGCGCGGGCGAGGCCCACCGCCGATGGGCGGGTTTCACATGGCTCTCGCGAGACCGGCTCCCGGTGCATCCTGGGGGTTGTAGTTCGAGCCCGCGGGCGGGGAGGCAGGCGGCGGCGCGCACGCGCACTGCCGCCGCGCGGGTGGCCCTGTGGACCGAGGTCGGTCCCGGACAGGTGTGGGCGCGCACTGCGTGCACCGGGGCGCCTGGCCCCACGCACGGTGTCCCCCGCGGGGTCGGCGTGTCCTGGTCGCTATCTGCAAATGGAGAAAGTGGGGGGATGGGAAGGCCAAACTAAGCGCGTCCGCCTGCTCTGTCAGCACTGCAGTGTCCACGGGCACTACTGGCCATCGGCCGGCGCGGGGAGCCCGCCGTGGTCCAGGGCACGACGTCAGGGACAGCGGTGTGACAGTGGAAACCCGCGGCTGGTGCAGCGTGGCCCTGGGGGGCGTGCAGGGCAGGCTGCAGCTGGGCCAGCCCATGGCGACAGCTCCCTCTGGGGCCCAGCTGAAGGGCACCTGTACCTCTGGGCGCTGGGTGAGCTCCCCAGGGAAAGGCCCGGGCGCAGCTGGAGGCTATGGCAGGAGCCTGCCCTGGGGGAGATAGCTAATGGGGAGCTGGTGTGTCCCAAGGGCAAAAGGGGTGCAGGCAGATTGGCCGGGTGAGCCCAGACGCAGAGTTCAATGGCCGGTGGTGGAGCCGCCTGGGGAAGCGCGCACAGTGGCGCAAATCGGAGAGCTCGTGGAGGACTGCTGGCTGGCCAGCCGCAGAAGCTTGAGACTGACCTGGGCCGGTGAGCCGGGCTTACCTGTGCCCACCTCGCGGCCTGGAGGCGCAGTGCGGGGAGAGGGGACTCTGCCAGGACAGTGTCACTGTGTTGCTGGCCTCACTGTGGACTGCTGGGCGGAGGGGGCAGTGGGGAGGGGGACCCGCCAGGGCCTGCCGTCCTCAGGGATGGTGATGAGCTATTGATGTTGGGCAGAGAGCTGTTCCGGAGGGCAGTCATCCTGGGCCACCGCCTCCTCCAGACTCCCGAGCCCCTGGCTTCACACCGTCCTTGCCAGTCACCCCACGTTGCCGTGGTCACCCCACTCCTGTCCCCCCGAGGCTGTGAGCTCCTAGAGGGCAGCACAGGGTCCCCCTGCCGTCCCCAGCCTCGCCGGCCCAGCACAGATGGTAAGGGTGGGGGCGGGGGTCCTGCGTCCCGGGCTCCCTCCCTGCGCTGTTGGTGCACAGCAGGATTGTCTTCCCTGCCCTCCATTTCCCGCCCACCGCAGAGCCCTTGCTCCCCATGGCGTCCAGTGCTGCACCTCCCCCTGCAGTGACCTTTAGGGCTAACCGGCCCTAGGTCCGGCTGGGCAACCAGCGCGCAGGGGAAGAACAGCAAAACCCTACATACCTGCTGCACCTCCCCCCGCAGTGATCTTTAGGAATGGCTTTCGCCACGGTCCCTAGGTCCGGCTGGGCAACCAGCGTGCGGGGTGTGGGGGGGCGGGGGGTGGAGAACAGCATAACACCCTGAAGCAGAGGAAGCTCAGCGGAAGTTCCCTGAAAAGGCAGAAGCTTATCAAAAGATAGCGACCACCAAGAACCACTACAAGAATGCTAAAAATCTTATCCCGTCTTTCTAGAACTACGAACTTTAATCCCTTATCTGTCTTTCTAAACTTCCTTCTTTCTTCTATAATGGTCATTGTTTGTTATGTAGATCACCTCCCTGATGGTGATAGACTGAGCCCATGAGCAAGCTAATTTCTTTGATATTCATTCCTGTGCTTTTGGAAAACATATATATACTGGTCACAAACTCAAAGAAAATTACACTCAGATTTTCACTCTTGAAGTGTGTCTGTTTGTCATTTCTTTCACCGACGCCCTGACCACCCTGCACGCTTCTCTCAACCCTGAGGTGGCCTCACCGTCTACTGCTGTGCAGGTCCGCGGCAGTCCAGCTTGGTGCTGGCGCCTTCATCCGTGGGCTCGTTCACCAGCCCCTGCCAGCAGCGCCCGGTGTAGGCCCCAGGACGCTGGGCACAGAGGAGGCGCCTCCCTGCCTGAGGGGGGACGCAGAGGGCTTCCCAGAGGCGGGGCCGGGGAACTAGGCGAGGGGGCTGGGGGGAGAGGGCTGGGGGCCATGACCAGGCCCTGTGGGGACAGGTGGGAGGGCGGCCGCGGGGGAGGCAGCCCCCCGGGATGGGCCCCTGGCTCCCGGTCGGGGATGGAACCTCTCTGTGCTAAAATCCTCTTGTAATGACCCATTTCTTGGCTCCCTGGCCCAGGCCCATCCCCAGGTCAAGGGGAAGTGGGTCTCCGAAGGACCAGTGCAGGCCTGGCACGGGAGAGGCCCGGCCCATGTCTGTCTGACCTGGCGCAGGTGTCCCCGTCCCAGGGACCTGCTCTTCCCTCTGCCCCCGGCGCACATGGGCCTCGGGCAGCTGGGCCGGGGGCGTAGTCCAGGCGGCTATTGGGGGCAGGGAGCTGGACACGGGAGTGCCCACCCCGCAACACCCCGCGGCCTCATCTTGTTAAAGAGCACCATCACAGGCTTTGGATTTTGCCACAAGCCTGAGGGCACCAGGGGGCGCCCCTGCGCGAGCGCATTCCGGCCATTAAAGCCAGCGGACAAGGAGGCCCGTCCCCAGGGGGCCCACGACGTGCAGTTCAGAGTGGGGGGCGCAAGTCCCGCAGACCCGGCCCACCAGAGCCGCCCCTCCGGGAAGCTGGCAGCTTCTGCCTGCAGACTTGGGGGAGGGGAGTGGCCCTGCCCAGAAAGATGAGGGTCTGGGGTGACTCAGCAGCACCTCCACTGGCTCCCGCCCCAGCTGCAACCCCCCCAAGTCACTTCCTCCCCAGGGGACCCTTGGACAAGAACCTTGATGCTCTGGTCTAGACATGGAGAGATCAAAGGCAAGGCCTTCGGGAGAGGCGTTCCTGGCAGCGCCCAGGGCCGCGGGGAAGAGGCCCCTCCCGGCTGAGCCGGCCCTTGCCCCGTGATGGCCAGGCCGTGCCCCCGGCTGGTGGGCACACCGCGTGGGCTCTGACCCGCCAGCTGCACTCTGTCCCTTCACCGTGGATGAAAAGAAGATTCTGAGCCACGTTTCAAATGCATCTGCGTCGTCTCTTCGGCAAAGCTGCTGGTTACAGGGCCTCCTGCTGAGAGCCAGCCGCTCTCCTAAGGGCCGCTTCTGACCCACGAGGCCCACGGGGGACAGCCCAGGGCGCTCACTGCTGGAGGGGGACGGCCAGGCGCGCTCAGTGCAGGAGGTGGACAGCGGCCGCCTTGCGGAGGAGCCGCTCCGTCAGGGGCGAATTGGGCTTCAAGGCGTCTCGCTCCATCAGCAGGCTCCTGCAGAAACAGAGACTGGGTCTGTTGGGGAATCTTCTAGAATAATATGGGGGCTCCAATGGCCCCCGCCCCCAGGGCAGGACACAGGCAGCTGAAGCCGCGGCTGAGGGGCAGGGAGCAAGAAGACGCCCTTCTTGCTGGGCAGAGGCGAGGCCATCAGGGCAGCGGGCCAGGATGGACGAAGGCCCACGGGCCTCCCCTCGGCTGTCACTTTCAGGGGGCACAGTCCCGAGCTCTGCTCTCTCTGGCCCTTGTCTCAGCACCTGGGAGCCACAGCCTCGCCCCGGCGCCCAGCCCACAGGCTGGAGGACCAGCCGGGTCCCACGCAGAGGCACAGCATGTGCAAAGGCCCAGGGGCCCGGGGCAGCAGGATGTGCTTGGGGAGCTGCAGCCCAGCACGGCTAGAATGAGGCATGGGCTGGGGGGCAGGCAGGCCCGCAGGTGGGGTCCCTCTGGCCAGGCTGGGCATGCCGATAAGAGACAAGCACCCTGTCGCCTCAGCCTTCACAGCTCGGAAGGCAGGACCCAGTGTAGGGGAGGGAGGTGGGAGCACTGCGCGCTGGAGGCCTGTGAGGCGGCTGCACGGGAGCGGGTCGGGGTCACAGGAGGACTCACCGGGCCACGTTCCTGTGGGCGCTGGACGTGCAGTTCAGGGCGGCGTGAATCAGCAGCTGGTTGAAGACGTCCCTCTGGAAGCACAGGGCGGCTCAGCCTCCTGCTTTGCGGCGGTGGTGGGACCCGCTCGGGGATGAGCCGGGCAGTGGACGACAGGGCCCCGGCCAGAGCCGCTCACCTGGGCGTTGCTGCCCCCGATCTGGACGAGGCGGTAGCGGATGGGCAGCAGCAGCTCCAGCACGCGGTCAGGGTGCCCCTCCTGGGCCGCCACCAGAGCCTGGCACAGGGGCAGCCCCACGTCTCGGGCCAGGAGGAGCTGACAGTTCTCTTCTGGGGACCTGCCAGCCGAGACCGTACCCTCAGGGGCCTCGCTGCCCACAGGGTCCGCCTGCCGCCCGCCTGAGGGAGGGGAGGGGGCCCCTTCCTCAGCCCATGTCCCCGGCACTGCCCGCGCACAGTAGGCGCTTTGGTGCATAGGGAGAGAACACGGCTCTAAGATCAGGCCCCAGCCCTGGCTTCGGTTTGCTCCTGTGTACAGCGGGGGTGGCTGCACCAGCCGGCGCAGCAGAGGGAGGGCTGGCGGTGGGGTGGCATGGACACTGGAGACCGGCGGCTGGGCAGCCGAGCCCTGGGGCTGGCCTGCAGCGGCGGCTCCAAACCCATCTTGAAAGCAAGAAGCAAATTCCTCAGTGGCTCTCAGGCCTTCCGAGCTGCAGGCTGTGGCCAGGCCGCAGGGCACCGCACCTCTCCGACCCTGCTTAGATTGGAGTTGGCTCCCTCCCCGGTGCCAGGGCCCAGGCCAGGGGCACTGCCCTACGTCCTGCCGCACACAGTCCTTCCAGCCGGTCACTGTGGGCAGGAGCCACTGCCACCGTGCAGAGGCAGCGACAGGCTTAGAGCAGAGGCGCCTTGTCCGCGCCCTCAGCCCGGAAGCAGCACCTCTGCGGCCCTGGCCCCACGGGCAGTCCTGTGAGAGGCTACCTGTGACATGGAGCCCCTCACAGCCGCCCTCCGTCCTGGGGGAAACAACTGGACCCTGGAAGATGTACCCGCTCTGGAGGCACATGCCTGGGGCACACACCTGAGGCGCACACCTGGAGGAGTCACACCTGGGGGCACACCTGGAGGAGTCACACCTGGGGCAGTCCTCCCTGGGTCTCACCCCAGCCTCCCTGGCAGGCAGGGCACCCCGGGCAGGCCCCAGACGGCCCCCAGCACCCGGGCCAGCCCTCTGCATACTCGCTGGCCTCCTGCAGGGTGGTCAGCAGCTCCCGCGTGGTCCCGCTGGCCCCGGCGCCCAGGGACGCCATCAGGAAGTGCGCATCGTTGAACAGCAGCACGTGGTCGCGGCTGTGCTTCTGGGTCACGGGCAGGACCTCCTGCCACCGCTCACCCACAGACACCCCTAGGACACAGGAGGAGACCCCGGACTCGGTGAGGCTCCGGCGTGAACCGCACCCCCGGATCTCGGGACCCCGCTCCAGGCCAGGAGGCCATGGCAGCAGCAGCGCTGGCCTCACACCAGGGCAGCAGGCGTCGGTCCAGGTTGACTTGTGTGACTCTAAAGCCGCCGCCGGCGAGGCAGCAAGCGCGTGCTGAAGCGCGGGACTCGGGTCCCTTGGGCGAGCCCCAAGCCGCTGGTGAAGCTCCCCATGCGGGTCACATGCGGGCGCCCAGTAGCAGCCTCGATGTCTGGGCTGCTCAGCTCCAGAGAGCCCCCGCTTTGCTCCGCTCCCAGCCGGGCTGCTCCCCAGCCTCCTTGGAGCCCCGTGGGGACCAAGGTCCACCTCTGGGGGTAAAGGGTTAGTGGGGCCTTGGGGCCCCAGAGGAGTCTGTCTGAGGCAGGGGTGCCAGGCTGTCCGTCCCACCTCCCCCACCCCTGCCCTCACTGCCCGCCCGGCCCTGACAGACTGCTGGCTTCTGTCCCAGGGACTCTGACATTCTCTGCCCCTCTCTGCCTAGCAAAGCCTCCTCTTCGGGGCTCACAGTTCACCTCTGCCGGGAAGCCTCCCAGAACCCTCCACAAAGCTTGTTCTGCCGACCTGGAGCCCCAAGTGGCTCAGGGTTGGCTCTGTTTGGCCTGAGGGAGGCTGGAGACACCCCCCGCCCCGCTGCTCGTGGTTGGCCTGACACCTCCGGAGCCCCCAGAGCCGTGGCCACGTCCAGACTCCCCGCAGAGCGTGGGGCGACCCGGTTGAGAAACCTCTCTCTGAATCCCAGGGTGTTGAGAAACCCTCAGCTCCCTTGTTCCAGGATGGAGGCGGCACCCAGACACCCAGACGTGGGCCAGGGCCACCTGTGCAACACAGGCCTGGCGGGCAGGCTGTGGGGATGGCAGGCACCACCCTGGGTAGGCCAGAGGCCACGCTGGGCACTGGGAGAGAGGGCAGTGAGGCCTGGGCCCACGCCCAGCGTGGCTGAAGGAGCCGCAGAGCTGGTATGCAGCCTGCAGCGACCTGGAGGGGCTCCCAGCCCCTTCCTGCGGGCCCCGGTCCCACCTCCCCCATTCTGGTGGGGAGGAGCAGCGGTCGAGGGGTGCGGAGACCCGGCTACCTTCCATCTGGAGCCTGTAGAGCATGGAGCAGCTGTCCACCACGTCCAGCATGGCGCCGCTGGTCTGCAGGCTGGGGAGGATCTGGAACGCGAGGGCGGGGAAGCTGTGCACTGGGCCCAGCTCTCTGGGCCGCTCCGATGGGGGGCGGGGGGCCCGGGAAGGCCTGAGGAAGAGCCCCCGACGCTGCAGTCTGGCCCCGGCACCTCCCGCCTCCCGGGCGCGGACCACGGGGCCCGGAGTGTCGCGCTCCCGCGTGTCAGTTCTAGGAGGACTGTCTGGGCTTCAGTCAGCGCCACCCTCACTTCTACCCCAGGATCCTGCAGCTCAAAAGGCGACTCGAAGGGAAGGCTCCAGGGAGCGCCTGGCCCTGGCGCCGAGCCCCCCGGTCACGGCGTCCTCCTGGCCCGGGCCTCGTCACTCAGGCGTCTGCAGCCTGCGCGGGCTTTTTCTCTTGGAAGCGTCTCTAGGGGCCGGGAGGGGCGCGAGGAGTGGGGCGCAGGGGCGAGGGACAGTGCAGCCGGGGCCAGCGGGGCTGCCTCGCGCGGGGGAGCACGCTGGGGAGCCCCCGGCTCCAAAAGGTTGAAATGGCAAGAAAGACGTCCCACGCCAGGTCGAGGCCCTCGCCAGAGGAAAACGGCCAGGGAGACACGTGGAGACGCCGGCCCGGCTCAGGTGGGCACCTTCCGCCCGCCCCACCCCACTCCGGGCGCGACGCGGCGCCGGGCCCGGCCCCCGCACAAGTGCAGGCTCTCCTCAGCCCGCGGGTAACGGCCGGGCCTCGCGGGTGGGCGCAAAGGCCTGTCGGGCGGGGGGACCGCGCTGAGCCCGATGGGAGGGGGGCCGGGCACTTACGTGGGTGTCGTAAATGGTCAGCGCGGCCTCGTATTCGCCCTGGAAGGTCAAGCTGCTGTGAGTGACGTGGAGGGGAGGGGCAGCCAAGACTCGGGAGCAGCCTCGCAGGGGGCCCAGTGGCGGGATCTCTGGGGCTCGGGGTGCCCCAGGCCTGGGGGCAAAGCACCAGGAGGGTCTCAGCTCCTTCAGGCAACGAAGGTGGAGGTGTGCTTGGTGAGCCCAGCCCCAGCAAGGCACCGGCAGGCACGGTCCTGAGTCCTGACCGCGAGAAAGCCCGGGGGCGGAGGGCCCGGGCAAAGGGGCGGCTACACCGCGGCACGCCAGGGGCCGGCCAATAGCCAGCCAAAGGGACAGCGACCTGGACATCAGCACGGGTCTGGGCAGCGGGCCAGCTCACCTTTTCAATGAGATATAAAGCCCAGTGCCAATAATTATGACAAGCCAGCATGTCGGAATCCTGGGGAGAACGAGAGAGTTAGAGCAAATCTGACAGTCGGGACGAAATCTCCAGCACGGACGCTGTCTAGTGTCCCCGCAGGATGCCCGCGTGAGGGCGCAGGGACCTGCAACAGCCCAGCGCCGGGCGAGCCCCCTCCCGCAGTATGGGGGAGACCGAGGCTGGGCCAGTGCAGAACCTGGTAGGCAGAGCAGGCCAGCCCTGGGCTCACGGCTGCCCGCCCCCCGACCCTGGAAGCCCCCTGCAGCGCAGCGATGGGCAGGGCAGCAGGCCCCGCCTCGCCAGCTGACCAAGCTGTATGCCAGACGAGAGCCCGCAGACACCCACTGCCCACAGAGGCGGGCGGCCACCACAGCTGGGCAGCAAGCCAGGGGCGGGAGCCGCTGGAAAGGGCCTGGCAGAGCTTGAGGGTACAGATGGGCCCAGCAGCGCGGCCCCGTGTGGGCCCTGCAGGCGGCCCGGGCGCCCCCAGCACACCTGGAGCAGCCGCTCCAGGGCCATGCCGGGTTCCAGCCCTCGGTCTCCAGGGCCCTGGCATCTCATTCCCATGCCTTTCACAACCAAGTGCCTCCGGCCAGGAAAGTCTAAAACCCCTGAAAAGCGCTGGCAGGTGCTGGGGCTCCCATGGCTGCCAGAGCACACCACGGGGGGCAGGACCGGTTGGCCCCTGGGCTCCCACCGCAGAGCTCGCGCAGCCGCGGGAGGACGGCCTTCTCCGGCAGGCGGCCGGCGGGACGCACCTTCCAGTGGGCTTCGGAGCACTGCATGAACGCCAGGCCGTCCTGGACCTCCGCTCTCATCTCATGGATGTGGGCGACGGTGTGCACGGACCACGCGTCCGTCGGGTCAATGGACAGAGCCTGGGGGGAGACGAGGGAGACACGTGGCAGGCGGCCCGGGTTGCAGGGGCCCCCGCTGAACAGGTGTTGGGGGCGCTCGAGGCAGCCCTCAAAATGACGCTGACCCCAGAGGCCAGCCCGTTTGCCTGGGGCGTGCTGGCTGGTGTCACCTCCAACCGGTGCCGAGGGGAGGCATCGCCGCCCGGTCTGGCCTCTGTGACTCACACAGGGGGCAGCAGGGTCTTTCCAAAGCAGGGGCTTACCCCTGACCCACAGCGTTCCACGCATAGCAGCAGCTCTGCCATGTGCCCCGGCGCTCCGGCCTCGGGAGCTGCCAGAGACCAGGCGGCGGCCGTGTGTGCCAGCACCATGTGGACGGCCTGCTGCGGCGGGGCTCCCGGCTGCCCCACGCCTGGGAGGACCTGGCCCGGGGCTGCCTGGGCTCACGTTGACGATACCACGACCACCAGCGGCCGCTCACGCGCCTGGCAAGTTTGGCAGCAACCAGCCAGGCCAGCAGGACGTGGTATGATTCTCACCCTGCAGAGACCTTGGTCCGCTCATGGTGCCCACTGAGCGCCAGGCAGCGGCCAGCGGACCCGCAGCAACTGTGGACCATCCACACGAGCCCAGGCTCCCACGCCAGAGCTGGCCTAGCAGGAGCCATGTGGCCACCAGCAAGCCCTCTGGCCAGTCCACATGGGGACCCTGGGAAAGAGCTCAGGGGCGGCGGCACCGAGCAAGCTGGGATGCTCAGCCCTGAGAATGGACCCGCTGCGTGTGGCGCGCTCCTGTTGGCAGAGGCATGGAGCTGGGCTCAGGGTGGCGGCTCTTCCCCTCGAGAGATTAAGACTGCCTCTCTCTGAGGCCCGCGACCAGCCTCCTCCTGGCTTAGAGCCCGCCCCAGGATCCCTAGGACACAGTCCAAGTCCTTCCAGGCCTACGAGGACAGCTTGATCCTGCCCTGCTGCTTCCCTAGCCTTTGACCCCAACCTGTCCCCCCATCTGCGCCCTCAGCCTCTGTCACTGAGCCACTCCCTGTACTGTGACCCTGGACGCCATGGCCCGGGCTCCGCAGCTGTGGAGACTGTGGCTCCCCAGGCTGCCTGCCCTCTGCTCCCCTGCCCCTCGTCAGCCTGGGTCCAGCTCGCAGGCCCACGGCCGGGCACTGCTGTGGCCTGCCTGAGGCTCTGCTCACAGGGGCTGCTGAGCCCCCCACTCTCGTAGGGGAGGGAGCAGAGGCGCACCCTGTGTACCCTGCCTGCTCCTGGCAGGCATCAGCCTGAACTTTTGGCCCCCCTCTGACTCCTGAGCCCCCTGCTACTCCCCGTGCCAGCTGGGTGCCCCTAACACAAAGGCCTGGTGGCCGTGGCCTCCAACGAGCGCTTCCGAGGCTGGCCCCCTCTGTGGCGGGGGGTGCCCTTGAGCCCAGGCCCCGTTTCCATAATCACAGTCTTCAAGGCCGTCCCCCCCACCCCCCCAGCCCACCCCAGTGGCCTCTGCAGGTGCTGACTGTGTCCTGGGCAGGGGTGCTGGGACCCAGGTCAGGTCCAGGCAGCTGAAAGGACAGTGGGCGGGGCAGGTGGCCAGGGGCGCTCACAGCCTCAGGCCAGCTCCAGCCGCCACCTCGCTGAGCCTCAGCGCCCAGCTCCCACAACAAGTATTCCAATGCCTCGCGGGCGGAGGTGCTGCGTGGAGGAAAAGGTACCAGCGCCGAGCTGGGCGTGGAGTGGCTGCCGCCGCCCATGAAGAACAGAGCTCCCCTGGGCCTGCTTCCATGCTTTGAGAAGCAGAGCTAGAGGAGGGAGGCCTCGAGAAACACCCCTGGCAGCAGGGTCTGACCGCTGTGGTCTCGGCGTGGCCTGGGCCAGGCGTGTGGGGGCGCCCACCGTGCCAGCCGGCGCACAGAGCGGGAGCACAGCAGAGCCACGTGGCTCCGACCCTTCCCTCCGCACGGGGGAGCGGTCAAGTGAAGCGCTGGCCAACGGGACCCCACCCCCAGGAGGGGAGGCGGCCCAGGTCCGGCTGGGCCCAGCGGAAGCAGCCTTAGCTGCCACATCGCCCAGCAGACCAGTGACACTTAGAAACGCGAGGCTCAGGATGGCACAAATACTTCGAGACACGCCCCCTCCAGGCTCCGGATCCGGCATGGGTCAGAGGCGGCGGGGTCCAGGGCCGCGCCGAGCCGAGGCCTGAGTGTAGGCGCCCTGCCCGCTGTCTTGGCCGTGGACTCGGCTTGCCGCAGCGTGGTTAAGAGGGCAGGGCAGGGACAGGTGGCAGCTGCCCCGTGCCTGAGGCAGAAGCCCAGTGGGGGGCCTTGCAGGGTGACGGAGTGGGGTGTGCGCTCCGCCAGCCCTCCCCCCCGGTCCTGGCGCGGCTCTCCGGAAGGCCGCCTACCTCTTTGGCGAGCTTATGCGCCTGATCGTAAAGGTTGGTTTCCATCAGTCCAAAAGAATAGATGCCTTTCACGTAGCTGAAAGCGGAGAGAAAAGGCGAGGAGAGCTGACGTGCCAGGCGCTGCCAGGCGTGGGCTGGCCTTTCGAGCTAGCTGGCCGGGCAGTGGGGCCTGCTCTGGGTCACTCGGCCAGGCGCTGATCTGGGTGTTTCAGGGAGACTAACGTTGGGATCATCTGCCCTCGGACCTGGGTGGGCCTCGTCCAATCAGTTGAAGGCGGGAGGACTCAGGCGTGCCAGCCCCAGAGCGGCAGGAGCCAGCTCTCTAAATGGAATCTCCCGCTCCTGTGCACACGCCGGGTGAGCGGCACAGCGGCAGGCCCCGGGAAAGCGTCCTGGCCCAGCTCTGCCGTCTGCTTGCCTGTCTGGCCTTTCCCGCTGCCCTACGGTTAAGGCGCCACGCAGCTGATGGGGGTCCCCAGAGCTGTCCACGGCGACACTTGGTCTCCCTCTCCCAAGCACGGAGTGAACTAGTTTCAGCCTCCTTCGGGGGGACCCGCTCTGGCCTTGGCGGGGGGCGCGGGAGAGGGGCGGGGCAGGGTTCCCTTTTGCTCTGGGCACCTAATCACCATGCAAGTCCCCCAGGCCTGTCCAGGCAGCAGTTGCCTCTCTGGCCAGGAGCCCAGTCCTGCCGTGGTGGACACGTGGCGTGCAAGGGGACGCTTGTCCCTGCAGCAGAGTGTGCTGAGCTGACGGGCCCCGCCTCTGCAGGGAGGGGTGAGGGTCCTGGGAGAAGCACGAAGCCTTCGCTGCAAAGGGCTAGGGCGGCATGGGCAGCAGGGGCCACTTCCAGGGCGGGGGACGTGGACACATGTGGTGTCTAGCGGGCACATACCTGCTCAGGGGCATGTCGGCGGTCCAGAAGGGGTAAATGCGAGCCACAGAGTCTCGCATCTGTTGCTGGTAGCCCAGGTAAAAGTAAGCGTCGTGGGAAAATTTCAGGGCCAACATGTCTGTGGGGTGGTCCCGGAGAATCTGCTCCCAGAGCTCGCAAGCCTTCGGGAAGTTCCTGGAAGCCAAGACAGGGTCTCAGAGGCCCGGCCCGCCCTGGAGCTCACGTTTCCCGCCACGGTCTGCGCCGAATCGGTTAAAGCTCTGAGAGGTTTCCTGTGTCGGACTGTGGCTTAGAAAACTGAAAAGCCAGTGGGAAACTTTATTCTCAGTTTCATGCCAAAAAACAAACTGGTTAAGCAAGTGGCTAAAGACAATTTCACCTGAGACCTCAAGGTGGAGCCTCAGCCAGACCCTTCCCTCGGCGGGGCCCTCCCCCGCCAGCACTCCAGGTCTCAGGGGCAACGGTGGCAGCGCATGGGGCTCTGGGCAATGCCCGCAGGCTGTCTTAGGGCAGGAAGCCGTAGGGAGCGTTCTCTTCCCTCTTCTATCTGCTATATAGTTCTGTAATTTGGCCCTGATAACTTTATAACAAAGGAAATAAGCAACCTATCAAATGAAACGAAACCAGTGGCTGTGAGCGCGGCCGGGGAATCCCGCTGCCCCTTCCTGACGGCACTCAGCGCGGAGGCCTGTGCAGTCGGGCGGCCCGGAGCCCGCGTTCTGGCCTGGCACGGCCTCGGGCCCAGGAGACCCCTCACCCCTTGGCGAAGGTCTCCACAGCCGCCACGTGCAGCTGCTCCCGGGGCGTCAGCGACTGGGTCTGGGCAAGCTGCACCATGGTCCTCACGGCCTGCGCCAGCTCCTTGTCCAGCCTCACGGAGCTTCCGGTGCCGACCAGCACCAGGCCGTTGGCGATGGCGTGGCCCATGGCTGGGGAGGCAGGAGACAGCCCGTGACTGGGCTGGTCTGGGCGGCCAAGTCACAAAACCCCTGCCCCGAGGGCCAGCCTGGCGGCCAGGCTGTGTGCCCTGCCCCCGCCCACCGTCCAAAGCAGCCGAGAGCCCAGGCCAGTCCCAGCAGGGGCGTGGGGGGTGGCAACTCCGAAAGCAGCCGTGTCTCTGCGGACACTTGCGTGAGGAGGCCTTCAGGGGCCTGTGGCTGAGCCCCTACCCCTTCACCTGGTGACCGGCCAGGGGCTGCTGGGGCTCCCCACACCCCCTCCCTCACTGGCGACAGCGTCGCTACCACCAGCTCAGGGCCTCCCGGGGCCAATCGCAGATGCCACTGCCGGGACCCTGTCTCGGTCCCTCTCTGACACTGAGAGCTGGGGCGGGAGGCGAAGGGAGGGTGGGCTTGTGGCCCTGGCGGCAGCCGTGCTGCTGCCGCCAGGGCCAGAGGAGCGGGGTCACCGACCCCCGTCACTCACCAAAGGTCGGGTCTGCGGCTTTGAGCTTCGACAGGCAGCCCTCGATGCCCCCGAGACCCCTGTCGTTGGTCCACTTCACATACTGAAATCACAGGGCGGAGCAGAGCGGACCCAGGCTCCCGTTAGAGGCCCGTGCCTCAGCCCGCTCTCATCCTAGAACATTTTCTCTGTTTAGAACGTTTCTACCAACTGTTTCCTGGGCTCTAACTTTTATAAAACTAAACTTTTATAGAGACTGAACACCGGGCACACTTAGGGCCCGCGAGCCGGTCTTTGGCAAAAAGAATCCTTTATGGCAAGGTGCCCGGCGGGTGCCCTGCCCACACACCAGCTTCCTCCGCCCAGAGTGGGCCCGGACCCCGGCCTTTCCACCTCCTCACCAACCTTTTAAAAAAGAACAGCAAACACCGCTACGGGGAGCGGGCGAGGCCTCCCTTAATCTCCTCACATCGGCGTTTCGATGTGGCGCATTTACTTCTAATCCTTTTTTTGCCTATTTTTCAAAGCCTGCGACTGTCCTAACACGTGAGATTTCAGAATCCGCCCTGCAGATGTCTGCGCGACGTCCACCCTCTTCTAGCACGTGCGTCTCGGAGGCCCCGGGGCGTGGACACCCCGGGAAGGCTCCGGCAGGAAGGCTCAGCCCCCCAAGCCCCGACAGGGTGTGCGTGGGGGTTAGGGCCGCTGTGTGGTGGGGCAGGAGCGGCCTCCCCCTCGTGGGAAGCTGCTCTCCTCTTCCCCGGCGAGTGCAGACGGCAGCACCTGCTCCTCCCTTAACCAGCCCACGGCAAGGTCAGTTCCCTCCTGTGCCTCAGTCTCCCCAGCAGTCAAAGGGGCTGGGCCTCACTGTGGACCGTCACTGAAGGGGCCTCCGTCCCTCTGGGTCAGCCGACCTGGGTGAGGGTGGCGTCGAACAGCTTGCAGGCCTCGTTGCTGGTGGTGGAGAGCGGGAGCCCGGCGTCCTTCCACGCCTGCACAGCAAGAGGGACTTGGGGCGCCGTCCACGTGCCTTCCCGGCACACACCTGCGCCCCCCTGCCAGCGCCCCAGGCCTCCGAGGGCCGAGGCCATGGGTCTCCGAAGACGCAGCCTTGAGGGGAGGGCCGGGCGCTCGGCTGCCCCAGGGGGTTGGGAGCAGAGCTGAGCCCTGAGGCCGGTCCTCGTGCAATTCCCAGACGGCCCAAATCACCCCTGAGGTCCTGGCTGCACCCCGAAGTGGGACTCTGGGTCCCGTGGGCGGTGAGGGAGCCGACATTCAGTAAACGGGAGCCCTGACCGCAATGCGGGGGGACTGGGGGCAGAGAGGGTCCGGCCTGGAGTGCCCGGCGAGGTCTCGCCCAGGGCGCTTGCCAGGTGGACTCTGCCCACCGCGGGCACCTTCCCCGGCCCCTCGCCTGACGTCGGGGCACGTGGGTCTGACCGCGGGGACGGCTGGGGTGGTCGGAGCGCCCAGAGGCCGCGCTCCCGGGCCCGACCCCCGCCGAGTGGGGAGCGGTCCCGCCCCCGCCCCCCTTCCTCCTCCGCAGACGGGCTCAGCCTCTCCCTGGCGGCCCGCGGCGCCGGCCTCGGCGTCGGGCCCGGGAGGCCCGGGGTCTGCGGGTCCCGCAGGCGCGGGGGCGCCCGGGGGTGGGGCCCCCGAGGGTCCCTGGTCCCGACCGCGCGCGATCGCAAGGGCCGAGCGCGCCCGGGTCGCCCCCTCGCGGGACCCCGGGGCGCGGGCCGGGGGGCGCGGCCGGGCGGGGCGCGGGGGTACCTGGCAGTCGCGCAGCGGCGCGGACGCGGCCATGGCCCGGGTCGGGGCGGTCGCGGCTCCGGCGGCGGCTTCCGGGGCGGGGCGGGGCGGGGCGGGCGGGGGCGCGGCGGGGGCGCGGCGGGGCGGGGCGCGGCGGGGCGCGGCGGGGTGCGGGGGGGGCGCCCTCCCCGCAAGCGCACTGGCCGCCCCGACACACCCCCGGCGGGGCGGGGCGGGGCGGGGCGGGGCGGGGCGGGCCCGGGTCAGGGAGCGCGGGGCGGCGCCTGGCCGCGGCCTCCGCCTGTGGGGGTGCGGGGGGGGGCGACGGCGCGGGGCTCCCGGCCCCCCGGCAGAGCGACGCGCCCCGCCCGCCGGCCCCTCCAGCGCCTCCCCCCCGCCGGGGACCCCGGCCTCGGGGACTCGCTCCCACCGCCGGCAGTTCCCGCCCGCGGCCGCGCTGCAGGCCCCCCACGGCCGTCGGGGCGGCTGCTCCGTGCCCGGCTCTCCCGGGCCCCCCGCCGGGGACCGGCCCCGCCCGGCCTTTCCGGAGCCCCCGGGCGGCAAATCCCGCCCTCGCGGGGAGCAGCTCCCCCTCCTGCGCGCAGGCAGCGCCCCGGCCCGGCCTCCGGCTCCCCCGGGGTTCACCCCCCCCACCCCGCCCCCCGACGCCGCGCAGGGCCCAGGCCAGACGGCAGCTCGAGGGCGGGCTCAGGGTCTGTGTCATTTATCAATAAATCCTGTGTCTTGTTCATCGCGGGCCTCTGGCTTTGATTTGGCTCCAGAAGCACCTGCACGGAATCAGCTTCCCTTACGCTGAGACTCAGAAGCCGGCTCAGGAGTCGGCCCGGCCGGGCGCGGCCTGGTCTCTCGGCTCCAAAAGAACAGGGACGGGCCACCGGGCCGGATCGGATTTCATGGAAATGAAGAGCTCCTCCACTCCGGGGATAATACCGCGCAGGTGAAGGACACCGCAGCCCCGGCGAGCGTTCTGGGCGCAGGCCCCGTGGCAGGCCCGCAGCGCGGCGTCGCGGGAAAGCCCGCTCTGAGAATGAGCAAAGGAAGGGAAGGGAGGGTCCCCCGACGCGCAGACGGCCACTGGCGCACAGGAGGGTCCGCGCCGCCCACGGGGGCATCACCAGGTGCCGCGTCCCCCCTCGTCAGATGGCTGGAGCTTTGGCCAAAAAGAGGGAGCCACGGGCACCGGCGAGGATGTGGGTAAGTCCGGGCCTGCCGCGCTGCTGCCGGGATGAGGACGGTGCCGGGGCTGTGGAAGAGCGAGGGACCCCCGAGGGACAGACAGAACCCGCCCGCGATTCACGCACAGCAGGGGTGGACCGCAGAGCTCCCAGCAGCGCCCCGCGCAGTGCTCAGAGCCGGGGGCCCAGGGGTCCGTCAGCCGAGGCCGGGGTCGCGGAAACGCGTTCCGTGCGCAGAGGGGAGATGACTCAGCCACCCACAGGACGCCCGACGCAGGCTCCCGGCAGGCGGGTGAAAGAAGCCGGGAGCGGCCCCGGCTGAGGGGGCCGCCGCCCTCGGGGGCCCAGCCAGGCAGAGCCGCGGACTCGACAAGATGAGCGGGCACTGCAGCCGGGGGCCGCCGGGCTGGGGGTGCTGCTGTCGGGTGCTGGTTTCCTTTGGAGCGATGTGGCTGCTCTGGACAGGAAGGAGACGGGCCGGGACGACGCCGCGCGGGCACGTGCCGCCAAACCGCGCTCTCAGCTGGTCCCTCGTGCGGACCCGCGCTCAGGAGAAGACAGCGCTCGCCCCATCCCTGGCGTTCCCGCGCCCTGCCCTTCAGTTTTACACAGAAGACAAGCACCTCCTTGTGCCCCAAATCCAGTGCAAACTGGAGCCACCGCTGTGGAGAAGGGCCTGGTGGGATCTGGCTGGTTCACATGAAGATCACCCAACCCTGAAGCTCAGACACTGCACCCCGGCAAGACCAGGAGGCCCCCAAAGGCCAAGAACAACAGCGAGGGCGGCAGGGAAGGGGTGGACCGGTCTCCGCTGCGGTGGGGGAGCCTGTGTGGAGCCTTGTCCTGCACTCCCCGGCCCCCTCCCCCGGAGCCTGCTGGGCGGTGTCCCTGGAGGGCCCAGTGGCGGCTGGTGGATGGGGCTGGGGCACTGGCAGGCTTGGGGTCTGCAGCAGGGAAGGCCATACTCCCTGATGTCCAGGGCAGGGGGGCTGCATCCCCAGCCCAGGGGCATCCCCGAGGGGGAAGAGCGGCTGGGAGCAGGTCTCGAACCAGGACGGTTGCCCGGAAGAGCGGGGTCCGGGAGACTGGACCCGGGTGGCTCAAAAATCCACAAACCCACACATTCGGGAAGGTGTCAAGGGGGAGCCTGCGGTGCGAGGGACGAGGGCAGGCCCGCAGGGAGGACCGGCAGGCGTCCGGCCTTCCCCTGGCCCGGCCCCTGGCATGAGGGTCATGTGGCTGGGGGGACCGGAGGGGGTGCAGTGCGGGGAGCAGTGACGCTGGAGGGTGCTGCACCCACACAAAGCCGGACAAATTACCAAAATAAAAAAGGTTTTTTATTTTTTCAACAAAAGGTAAATGGAGACGCTTCACCCCAGGCAGTCGCGGGCGGGGGGTGGGGGGGTGGGGGGGGTGGGAGGAGCAATTTGTTTTCTTAACTGTGAGATCTGCTTATCCCAAGGGGCGGGTGCGGGGCGCCGCGGGGCGCCCTGCACGTCATCTGTGATAGAAAAACCCGAAGCGCCTCCCGGGCGGGAAGCTGGTCTCCTCGCCAGCAGGTTATCCTGGGGGGCGGGCCAGGAATGGAGGCCGGGCAGCCCTGCGGACCCAGAGAACGCGGGTGGGGGTCAGGGGTCAGGGGTCCGCGGCCCGCCCAGCAGGCTGTGGCTGAGGGGGCCGCTCCCGCGGGGCAGGGAGAAGAGCAGGAGAGTAAAAGCCCCGCCCAGGTGAGGCTCTTAGGGAAGCTGGGGCTGGGGGTGTCTCTGAGTAAAGATAAGCTGCTGGACATTAAAAAAAGGCAGAGGAAACCCCATGCCCCTGGCTACACCCCAGGTCTTGTGTGCGCACATAAATAAATCTTTTTTAAAAATTAAAAAAAAAGGAAGAGAGAATCAGGACGAGAGGCCTCACCCTAAGGGAGCAGGAAAAGCTCAGGAGGATCCCCGCGGTGCTGACCAGGGGTCTGGGGCTCAGGGTCCCCTGGACAGTCACAGGTAGTTTCCCAAGCTCAGGGCCCTTCTCAGTGGGGCTGCAAAGTGCACCCCAGATCAGCCCCTGATGCAGAGACCTGCGCAGGGGCTGGGCTGATCCAGGAACCCCGCAGCCCCCCCACCTCAGCAGCCCTGGGCCCCAGCAGCGCGCCCCCTCCCAACGGCTGCCCCGTGACCCCCCAGCCCCGCCCGTGACCTCCGCCGTCCGTGGGGCCCTGCGGCCCCCCGCGCCCCCGCGCGCCCCCGCGGCGGTTGGACACGCCCCGCCCCGCCCCGCTTCCTCGGCGCTGAGCGCCATGTGGCCGGGAGGGCCCGAGCTCCGCCCGCTGCTGCTGCTCCTCCTGGGCGCGGCCCTCGGCCGCCTCCACCGGCCGCCGGCTCCGCCAGGGGCCCGGCCCGCCCTCCCCGCGGCGCCCGGCCCGGCGCGCCGCCTCCAGCCCGGGGTCCGCGGCCCGGCGCCGGAAGCGGAGGGCGCGCTGCGACGCCCCCGAGGGGGCTCTTGGGGGGTCCCCCCGCTCCCCGGCCCCGCGCCCCCGCGCCCCGGCCTTTGCGCGCACGTGCCGCTCTGCGCCCCGGCGCCCGGACCCCCCGACCCGCGCCTGCGGGCCCGCCGCGGCCTCCGCCGGCCCCGGCGCCCGCGATGGACCCGCCACGACAGCGCCGCCCGCCGGGCGCCCGGCCCGCCCCCCGACGCGGGCGCCGCCCCAGCCAGGTGCCCCCCGGAAGGGTCCCCGACCCTGGTCCTCGACGCGGACGGCCGCGCCCTGGAGAACCCCGCGGCTTGCCAGGGCATCTGTGCCATCTACCAGGTGAGGATCCACGGCAGCGGCTCGCCCGTGCGCATGAGCAGGAGGACGGACGAGCTCCTCGAGGTCACCCGGGACTTCGTGTGCTCCCGGCCCCACAGCCTCCGGCAGCAGTGGCAGGTGTTCCGCGTGCCCGCGGTGGGGGCCACCCCCGACTGGAAGCGGCCCATGCCGCTCTCGGGGTTCATCATCGATCGGTCCACCCTGGCCATACGCATCCCCAGAAATACGCTAGACTGGGGGGTGTACCTGTTTAACTTCTCCCTCACCATCGTGGAAACAGGCGGTTCCCGCGACTCGGCGGGCACCAGCATCCCGCGGCACATGTCCGACGCCGTCTACTCCATCGTGGGCAGAAGCCCCCTCCAGGCAGTTCTTCAAGGGAATTCCAACACGACGATCAGCTTTGTGGACAGGCTGGTGCTGGACGGCTCCCTGTCTTCCGACCCGGATGCGCACCGCCCTAACGAGGGCCTCCACTTTTTCTGGTACTGCACCACCAACCTCGGGAACTACCAGGGGGACAAGATCGCGGTGAAGAGCAAGGAGGTCTGCCTGGCCAAGCAGGCCGGCTCCCTGCAGTGGCGGACGCCGCCCACCTCGGTGCTGACCTTGCAGCCGAAGACGCTGAAAGGGAACCTGGTGTACTTCTTCAGGGTGGTGGTGGAGAAGGGCGACCGGACGGCGTTCGCGGACAAGCAGGTCAACGTGCTGCGCGGGGTGCCGCCCCAGGCCTGCATCTCCTGCATCGAGAACTGCAACACGGTGCTGGTCACGTCGGAGAGGTTCTCCCTGTTCGTGAACTGCACGAGCTGCACGCCCGAAGACACGTACTACTGGTCCATCCGGACGCAGACCGGGCAGGAGGTGCAGTTCAACTGGGGGGGGCAGACCACCACGGGACGGGAGACCGAGTACATGTACTTCAAGGCCCTGGCCTTCAAGGACTTCACGGAAGCCACCTTTTGGGTCGCCGCCCACGTCAGAGCCTGGAGCGGGTGGGACCTGGTCTTCAGACACTCCTTCATCGTCAACCACATCCCCCGCGTCGGGGACTGCAGCGTGAAGCCGCCCAAGGGGATCTCGCTGGTGACCAAATTCGTGGTCCGGTGTGATAACTTCCGCGACCTCAACACCCCCCTCACCTACAAGATCGTCATCGCCGACCTGTACGGCTTCGCCGAGATCAGCTCCTTGAAGGAGAACAACTTGGGCATCATCCTGCACTTGGGGATGAAGCCGTACTCCCCGCCCTCCTTCTTCCCCGTGGGGCCCAAGCCCACCCACTTCGCCATGAGGCTGTACGCCCAGGTCTTCGACGTGCTGGGGGCCTTTGCTCGAGTGACCTTCTCTGTCGTGGTGCTGCCGCCCACTGACAGCTTCTCCTCGGAGACCCTGATGCAGCAGCTGGTCAACTACACCGTGGGCCGCGACTCCACGCTGTCCCTCTACTTTCAGAGGAGGGCCCACCTGCCCGCGGGCTACTTCGCTTATGTCATTGCTTCTGTTTTGAACAGCATGAAAGACGAGCCCGCGCTGCTGGCCGACAGAGTCCAGCTCCGGGAGCACCTGGTCAACCAGACGTACCTCATGCCCCTGGGCACTATGGTGGAGATCAGCCAGGTCGTCATGGTCCTCGCGAAGCTGACCCAGAAGGGGTCTGAGTTCAGCACCCTGGCCCGGAAGCTTGCCACGCTGAGGACCTGGCAGACCAATGAGGCCCTGCGCCAGTTCCAGCACAACACCACGAGTGTCCACTCGGAGCAGATAGAGACCGTGTGCACCGGGGTGCTGACCAGCCTGTCCAACATCCTTCAGCTGAGGTCCAGAAGGGACCTCATCGAGCGGCCGCTGCACCTGGTCCAGTCTCTCGCAGAGGTCGTCCTGGCCGGCAAGGTGCCGGGGAACGAGACTACCGAGCTGCGCAGCGCCAGCCTGAAGATGTACGTCAAGAAGTCAGAGCCGTGGCAGGTGAGCGAGCTCTGCACCCGCGGCGGGGACCTGGGCAGCTGCTTCCGCCCCACGATCAACGTGAGCGGCGTCCCCCTCCTGCCGACAAACTCCCCGATCTCCACCATGTTCTGCGAGTTTGCGAAGGACCCCTTCCCCTGGCTGAATGACTGGCTGAATGGCACGGCGCAGGTGGTAGGGATGCGGGTGACCGGCCTCAATGCCAGCGGGGGCTTGATCGACATCATGCCCGACGTCACAGAGGTGTTCTTGGTCCTGAAGACCCTGAACAGGACGACGTTCAACCTCACCATGAGCCCCGACAAGGAGACCAAGCTGTCCGACAAGTCCCCGGGGAAGACGACGGGCGCCTTCAAGGTCGAGGTGGACTGCAGGGTCCCCAAGGAGCTGCTGGTCCAGATCGTGACGGAGGTCACGGTACCGTTCACTGTGTCGGTGTTTGCCGGCGACCAGGTGGACGCCAATGCCCTGGTGGCCACCTTCCTCGTGCCCCACGACATCCCCCCGGTGGCCAACTGGAGCGAGCTGTTTGACCCGAGCTGTGTGGTGAAGAAGGTGCACGTGCTGTGCTTCCCGCCGTCCCTGCTGGACGTGATCGCGCAGAGAAGCCTCTCGGCGCAGTGCACCATGCTGGTGATGCTGGAGGCCCCGCGCTTCATCCTGACACCCAGCGACAAGCTGGTGCGGATCTCCGTCTTCAGGGTCTACTGCGTCGACATGCTGGGCCTCCAGAACGAGTGGAGAGACTACGCCTGCGTGCTGGGCGAGAAGACGACTCTGGACCGGGTGCACTGCGTGTGCAGGGGCAGAGGCCCTACCCGGCGGCAGCGCAGCCTGAGCCAGCTCATCCTGCACACCCGCTACTTGACGGCCAAGATGCTCGTGGCCCCCAACCCCGTGGACCTGCGGCTCGTGGCCATCAAGAAAGTCCCCCAAAACCCCGTGGCCCTCTTCACCGTCCTCACCCTGCTGGTCATGTACATAATCCTAGCTTTCTGGGCCTTGCACAGAGATGAGACGGACCAGTTTCTTCGGGAATACGTGATCGTCCTGCCCGACAACGACCCCTACGACCACGTGTGCTACCTGGTGACCATTTTCACGGGCAGCCGCTGCGGGGCGGGGACCAGGTCCAACGTGTTCATTCAGCTCCAGGGGACGGAGGCCAACAGCAGTGTGCACTGCCTGACCCACCCGCACTTCATCACTCTCTACCGTGGCAGCATCAACACCTTCCTCCTGGCCACCAAGAGCGACCTGGGGGAAGTGCACTCGGTCCGCGTGTGGCACAACAACGAGGGCGACGAGCCCAGCTGGTACCTGAGCAGGATGAAGGTGGAGAATCTGTTCAGCCGGCACATCTGGCTGTTCATGTGCCGGGAGTGGCTGTCTGTGGAGTCCAAAGTGGACAGGACCTTCCATGCCATCCCCCCAGACCAGCCGCTGCGGAAGGAGGACTACTTCCTGATCGACGCGTCCTACAGCCTGGGCAAGAACCACCTGTGGTTCTCCATCTTCCTGGGCGTCATCTCCAAGCCCTTCAACCGGCTGCAGCGGCTGTCCTGCTGCCTGGCCATGCTCATGGCCTCGCTGCTGTGCAACATCATGTTCTTCAACCTCAGCAATGAGGAGGAGAGTGAGTACGAGGGCGGGCAGTATGTGCGCGCCATGATGATTGGGCTGGAGAGCGCCATCATCACGCTGCCCGTGCAGGTGGCCATCACTTTTCTGTTCACCTACTCCCAGAAGAGGCCGCAGGTGACCCTGGAGGCCGTGAGTCCCCAGCCATACCCTTGGCTGCTAGACGAAGGCGGGCACTGGGAGGAGCACCTGGAAAAGTGGCACAACAGGCAGGTGACCGAGGAGCAACCCAAGGAGGCCAAGGGGCCCAAGGAGGCCAAGGGGACCAAGGAGGCCAAGGGGCCCAAGGGGCCCAAGGAGGCCAAGGGGCCCAAGGAGGCCAAGGAGGCCAGGGGGCCCAAGGGGCCCAAGGGAGCCAAGGGGCCCAAGGGGGCCAAAGAGGCCAAGGAGGCCAAGATGACCCCGAAGTCTTCGCAGAAGAAAATGTCCCGGTCGAGCACGGCTTCCATCAAGCGGGAGCCCAAGGAGGCCGGAGTCCCGGCCCGCCCCTCGCAGACCGCAAACATCAACGCCAGCAACAGGAACCTCAACAACAACCAGAAGGCCCCGCCCCCGGGCCCCAAGCAGCCGCTGGACCTCTCCAAGGCCCTCCAGAAGAAGCCCCGGCTCACGCTGCCTCACTGCTGGGTCTACGTGGCCTGGTTCCTGGTCTTCGCCAGCACCAGCATCTCCTCCTTCTTCATCGTCTTCTACGGGCTGACCTACGGCTACGAGAAGTCGCTGGACTGGCTCTTTGCGTCCTTCTGCTCCTTCTGCCAGTCGGTCCTCCTGATCCAGGTCTTGAAAGTCATCCTCATGACGGGCTTCCGGGCGAATCAGCCCAAGTACAGCAAGAACATCTCGTGGGTCGGGAACCACCGCTACAGCGAGATCAAGCTGGAGGGCAAGGCGCTGACCCCCACGGAGATGGAGCGGCTCCACCAGCAGGTCATCTGGATCCGGGGCACCCGGATGTACCAGCCCCTCACCGCGGACGAGATCAGGATATTCAGGCACAAGAAGAGGATGAGGCGGCGGGCGTACCTGTTCCTCAGTTACATCGTCACCCACTTCATCTTCCTGGGCCTGCTGCTGAGCCTGCTCCCCGTGCTGCGCCACACGGACAGCTTCTACTACAGCCAGCTCCTCCGCGAGCACGTCTCCGCCGAGCTGGTCCAGGTGAGCAAGCTGCCGGACGTGTACGGGTGGCTGACCCGCGTGGCGCTGCCCCTGTTCCACAACGACCTGAACCCCACCTTCCTCCCCGACACCACCTCGAAAATCCTGGGCCTGCCGCTGATGAGGCAGCTGAGGGCCACGCCGGCGGAGAAGGCGTGCCCGCCTTCCAAAAACTTCGTGCAAAACAGAATCGGACGCGAAATCCACTGCCACTCCCAGTACGGCACCGACCCGGAAGACACCCAGAACTACATGGACAGCTGGAAGGTGGTGGACAAGGGGAGCGCGGCCAGGGTCTTCAATGGCTTCACGTACAAGCCCCCGGAGAAGAGGTGGCTGTACCAGGCGTCCGGGGACTTGCACACCTACGGGTCCGGCGGGTACGCCTTCTCCTTCTTCACAGAACAGCAGCAGTTCAACTCCAGCCTGAGACTCAAGAAACTCCAGAAGAACAACTGGCTCGATGAAAAGACGTGGGCTGTGATCGTGGACCTGACCACGTTCAACGCGGACGTCAGCCTGTTCTGCAGCATCTCGGTCATCTTCGAGGTCTCCGAGCTGGGCACGGTCAACAGCAGCGTGGACCTGCACGCCTTCTCACTGGCCGACTTCAACAGGAAGACCTCGGCCGAGATCTACCTGTACGTGGCCATCCTCATCTTTTTTGTGGCCTACACCTTGGACGAGGGCTACGTCATCTTGCAGGAGCGGACCTCCTACCTGCGCAGCGTGTACAACCAGCTCAACCTCACGCTCAAGTGCCTCTTCGCCGTGCTGATCGTGCTCTTCCTGGCCAAGCACTTCCTGGCCTCGGAACTGGTCGCTTTCTACCTGGCCCACCCCAGGGAGTTCGTGCCCTTTCACACCGTGGCTCAACTGGACCGCCTCCTGAGGGTCACCCTGGGCTTCCTGCTGTTTCTGACCACGCTGAAGACGCTCCGCTACGCCAGGTTCTTCTACGATGTGCGCCTGGCGCAGAGGGCCATCCAGACCGCCCTGCCCTGCATCTGCCACATGGCGCTCGTGGTGGCCGTCTACTTCTTCGTCTACATGGCCTTCGGCTACCTGGTGTTCGGGCAGCACGAGTGGAACTACTGCAACCTGGTCCACGCCATGCAGACCATCTTCTCCTACTGCGTCTCGGCGTTCCAGGACACCGCCTTCTCCCACAGCAGGGTCCTCGGCGTCCTGTTCCTCTTCTCCTTCCTGCTGGTGATGATCTGCATACTGATCAACCTGTTCCAGGCGGTGATCCTGTCCGCCTACGAGGAGATGAAGCAGCCGGTGTACGAGGAGCCATCCGAGGAGGCGGACGCTGTGACCTTCCTGTGCCGCCGGCTGCGCACGGCCCTTGGCTTTCAGCCGCCTACCCGCCCTCACGACGAGCCGGAGTTCATCGAGGACATGCTATACGGGCAGCCCAGGATGAACAGCCGCCGGTACCTGGGGCTGAAGACCCGGAACATCAACGGCAAGAAGATGGTCTACCTGGTCGTCTGAGTGGGGCAGTGGCCAGAGCTGCAGACGCCCCAAGTGCCCGCCTGTGGGACGACAGCATGCTCATGGCCCGGGGGTGCCTCGACCCGGCCCGTACCCCTCGCAGTACACAGCCCCTACGTTTGGAAGGACCCCCACACTCGGCAGCCACGCCCGGGAGGGTGAAGGAGGGCATCCCTCTGCAGCAGTGCGCCCAGGAGAGGAAGCCTGCCAGCCAGGACTGCTCCCCTACAGCGGGAGTGTCTTTGGAGCCAGCAGCAATTTAGAGGGTTGGAGATGCAGGATTGGGGGAGGGAGCCCCCCCACCCCACGCACACACCTGGCCAGGACAGAGTGTTCTCTCGCTGCTTCTGTGCCCACCGTACCCACCCCTTCCCAGGGCTGGCAGCCTAGTGCCTTCCCAGCGCAGTCTGGGACCCTCAGTCCTGCTGGGATCCCCTGGCAGCCAGGTGATGCCGCCTCCCACACCCTCCTCAACTCCCCGACCCCCCCCTTACCAGATTCCAGCCGAGCCAGGACTGGAGGGCCCTTGAGGGGAGTTCCAGGATTTGCTCTCGTGCTTGGGAATACAGGGAGGGGCCAGACCCCCGAAGCCCCCCACCTGTTCCCCGAAGCTGCTGCAGTGAGTGAAGATGAAAAGCTGGCACTCTGGCCGTGATGCGTGAATTTCGTTGAGCAACAGGAAAGGCGTGAGCGCGTGGGTTCCTGCAGAGAGGTAGTGCGTCTTGTCTCCTGACCACAGCGCTCCGTACCCCCGGGTTTCAGACTCTGGGCTATTCGTGGTGTGGCGGGTCATCTAGGGTTAGTAAAGTGAATGTGTTTAGTTGTTAGGGGGGCCAGCTGCTACGGTTTCACCCAGAAGCATGCTCGTTGTGCACAGGCCACCTGAAGTTTTATCTGAATTAAACGTGAGAGTTCTTCTGTGGGGGATGCAATGATTCTGTGTGAGGGGACTCCCTGTCCCGTGGGGGGTGCCTGGTGTCCTGCATGGCACCCTGGGCCCTGGCAGGGGGGCCACTTGGGTGTCTGCCGCTACCCCCAAGGGATGCCTGAGAACCTGGGGGGGAGGGGGGAGAAACTGAAGCGGTTTAGTGGCTCACCCAGGGTGGTAGGGGTGTTGTAGAGCAACCCCGATACAAAACGGGGTGCCTGACTGGGGGTCCTCACCCGCGCGCTTAAAAGGACTTATCAATGCTCTACTGCAGGCACACGTGAGAGGTTCATAAAAAAGGTTTATTTACAAGGGAAGGGGAAATGAGGAAATGGACAGCTCTGGGAGAAAAGTGGGAGACAAAGTTTTAAATGAGTCCTACCCAGTCCGCCGATCAGGAATCCCAAAATGGCGCTCTCAGAGTTCGCCGCCAGCCAGGAGCGGTGAAGCCAGGAGGCGAGCGATCGCGAGCCAGAGAGAGAACAAGGCCCACGTGTTTGGTTTTTATATCCAACCTGGCTGCCCAACTCCACCCTCAGGTCCCAGCCACCCTCCCTTGGTGGTGACGGGACGTGTCTTTCCCAATGTCCTGATGGCCTTAGTCTGGAGTGGGGGTGGGGTCCACAAAGCCTGCATGGGATTAGCTCAGGACATCATTTCCCCCTAACTGGGGGACAGACTGAGGGCTACCCGAACCCCCAAACTTGCCCACTCCAAAATGGGTTCTGCGATCTGCTGCATCAAGATGGAACACGCCTCCGGCAGCCCGCTTCTTGGATGCTGTCACACTAGCTGTGACTCCGCTGGGTTTCCTCAAAAACTGTGGTCCAGGGTGCCCCCGCGGCCCGGCCAGAGCCCCCCACGGGCCCAGGCGAGGCTGTGCCGCCCGGCTGTCCTGCCAAGGCCGTGCCCCGCCGGGCCAGCGCCCGGGCCGGCGCCTCCGGGTTTGTGATCTCGTCGCTGCGGCCGCGTGGGCCGCGTGCTCGGGCGGAGTCGCTCGTCGCCCGCACCCCCGCAGGCGCGGCCCGCGCTCGGGCTTCTCCTCCCGCTCTTCGGCGCGAGTCACACCCGCTTCTTGCGGGAAACCGGCTTTTAAATTTCCTCGGGGCAGCCGGACTCTGGGACTTGGTGGACTCCACGCGCGCGGCCATTCAACCCGAGGCCGCCGCTCCCGCCGCCGCCGGTGCCGCGACCCGCCCTCCGCGGGCCCCCGCCGCCCCGCCCGCCCCGGCCCGCCCCGGCCCGCCCCGGCCCGCCGAGCCCCCGAGCCCCCGAGCCCCCGGCCCGCCCGGGCAGGAGCCTCCGCGCGGCCCACCCGGGGCCTGAGGCGCGGCCGGGGCGGGGCTGGGCGAGCCCAGGGGTCCCGTCTGCCGGCGCCCCGACGCGCCCGGATCGCCCTCTTCTCTCTGCTCCCCGAAGAAAGGCCCCCCGCCCCCGGCGCCCCCCCCCCGCGCCCCCCGGCGCCCCCCCGCGCGCCCCCGCCCCGGCCCGCGCTCAGCAGGGTCAGCCCGCGGCGCGCCGGAAGTCCGCGCGAGGCCCCGCCCCCGCCCCGCGCACGCGCCGGAGCGCAGGGGGCGGGGCCGCGCATGCGCGGGGCGCAGGGCCGGGCGCGGAGGTGAGCGGCCCGGCGGGTCCGAGGGGCCGCGGTCGGGCGGGCCCGGGAGGGGCGCGAGGCGGGCGGGAGCTGGGAGAGCCGCCCCGGGGCCGCCCGGCCGGCGGGTGCTGGGCCGTGCCCGGGCGTGGGCGGGGGGCGGGACGGCCCCGCGGGGAGCGCCGGGCCTCGGGCCGGGGAGGGCGGGCCCGGGAGGGGCGGGGCCCGCGGCTGGGCCGGCCCCGCGGTGCCAGGGCCTCCCGGGGGGGCAGCCGCGGCCGGAGGGGGCGGGAGGGCTGCCCGGGGCGGAGGCGGGGGTCCTTGGCGGCCCCTGCAGCCGGGGCTCCTGGGGGACGCGGGGCTCCTGGGGGACGCGGGGGGTCCTGGGGGACAGGGGGTCCTGGGGGACGCGGGGGTCCTGGGGGACGCGGGGGTCCTGGGGGACGCGGGGGTCCTGGGGGACGCGGGGCTCCTGGGGGACGCGGGGGTCCTGGGGGACAGGGGGTCCTGGGGGACGCGGGGGCTCCTGGGGGGCGCGGGGGTCCTGGGGGATGCGGGGCGTCCTGGGGGACGCGGGGCTCCTGGGGGACGCGGGGGTCCTGGGGGACGGGGGTCCTGGGGGGCGCGGGGGTCCTGGGGGACAGGGGTCCTGGGGGGCGCGGGGGTCCTGGGGGATCCGGCGCATCGGCCGACCCTCACCCGCCAGCCGGGTCTCCTCAGCAGCCCCGGGGACGCGCAGGGAGCGGGGCGAGCTGTTTGCCGACGCCGGCCTGTCCGCCCCCAGGACACCCGAAAGCGAGGAGAGAAAAGAAACATCCCAGTTCAGGGTCCAGACAAGGACCAGCCAGAATCAGCCACGCGGACACGTCGGGCTCTCCCGCGGGGAGCTTGAGATAAACGTGGTCAGTGCGCTGAGCGCAGGCGGGAGAGTTCGGGAAGCAGAGAAGGGTCAGGGGGAAACGCCGGGGAGGGTGCGCTGACCTGGCGAGGGGGCAACACAGACCCCCGGCGAGCCCCGAGTGCCTGGGGCCTGCTGGACACAGCGCCTCACCAGAAGGGGCGGCGGGTCTCGAGGGGGAGCCCCTGGCGCTGCCGGGCCGTGTTACTTGGATGGGGGCAGCAGTGACCCTGCCGCCTGTGGGTGGGAAGCTGGGGTAGCTGGTGCTGACGGTGCCGTCCTGTGTCCGGACCTCGCAGATGGCGTGGGACGCAGCGAGCCGTCCCCTGGGTGTGTTTGAGTGCCAGCTCTGTGCCCTGACGGCCCCCTACAGCTACATGGGGCAGAAGCCCCCCAACACCCAGTGTGTGCTGTGAGTATGTGGCTGGCGGGGCCGCCCCCAGGCCTGCGGTGCTTAGACCCGGCCTGCCGGGCTCTGGGCGCTCCGAGTCGGGCCGGGCTGTCGGCTCTTCAGACCCTCCAAGCCCCGTCCTCCTGGCTCCGCTGAGTCCGGCCCCGCGCCCGACTTGAGCAGAGGCGCCTCACTCAGGCCGAGCAGCTCCCCCTGGGCAGTGCCGCCCGCGTACCTGCTGCTCCCTCCAAGACCCTCGGCGGTGGAGCCCGGCTGCGGAGCAGCTCCGGCTCTGGTGGAGCCCCAAGGGCCAGCCTCTGGGACTCTCCTTGTCCTTCAAGGCGCCCCACGTGGGGGCTGACCTGTGCATGCCTGTGTGGGGCCAGAGGCTGGGCAGAGGCCTGTCTCGTGTCCGAGGCCAGCACCAGTGGGAGTGTGGGCACCTGCTCGTCCCAGGGTGGAAGCGGGCACCTTGCAATGGGAGGGGCCCCGGGGATGGCGCAGCAGCCAAGCAGGGGGCTCCCCACTGTAGCTGTCACTGAGCCGAGAGCAGGCCTGACTTCAGTGCCAGCGGCCTCTGTCGCCAGTCCTCTGTCCCCACTCAGTGGCCGCCCCCACGAGCACAGGGTGTGAGGCCCGGGACGTCCATGCTGCTGCCCAGCGAGGCCTGGGCCGTGCTGACCTGGGGCCTCCCTCCCTGCCCAGCCTCCTGGAAGAGAGCTACGTCACGAAGGACCCCTTCACCCCCGACAAGGACAGGTTCCTGGTGCTCGGCTCCAGGTGCAGCGTGTGCGGCCGGCTGGTGTGTGTGGGCCCGGTGGGTAAGGTGCCCCCCCCCACCCCACTGTGGGCACGGGACATGCGGGCCCTCTCAGACCTGTGTGCCTCCGCCTGCCTGTGCCGCCTGGCCTAGGAGCCGCCCTGGGCAGGGGCTGGGGCCCAGGCCCCTTCCTTCACAGGGCGAGCCACACTGCAGCGGGTGCTCACCCCCGGGCCCTGCGCAGGGTCAGTCAGGCGCTTGGTGTTAGGCCCCGGGCATGGGGGACGGGGCTGGGCAGTTCTGGCCTCCGCCCAGGCCAGCCGCTGGCCCACAGTCCATGGGGAGGGAGGACTCTGGGATTGCTGACCTCCTGCTGCTCCCCCTCCTGGCGACCCGGCCCCCACCTCCTGGCGGGTCTCACCTGTGATTCTGGGCCGGCCCACAGCGCCTCCCGGCTGCCGCCCCTCCCCCAGCCCCGCCCCTCCTTTGCTCTCAGGCGAAGCCCCTTCCCACCGGCTCCGGCTGCCTGCGCCCCCAGCGCGCTGCCCAGCGCCCGAGCCTGGCCCTCACTCCTTCCCTCCCGCCCTCAGGAGTGCAGCTTGTTCTACGCCAAGAGATTCTGTCTCCCTTGTGTGCGGGAGAACATCGGGGCTTTCCCCTGGGAAATTCGGCAAGACTTGGAGAAACGGAAGTTCCCATCAAAGAGACCTGCCAGCCAGCCCGGCTCCCGGACGTGACACAGGGTGCCAGTCCCGGAGGCCCTCGGCCTGGGCTCCCGGGCCCGTCGCCTGTCTGCTTCAGTTTGGAGCTGGGGTCAGGCCTGCAGCAGCGCAGAGGCGGAGCCCACGGGACAGTGTCCTTCGGAGCCCCCCGGGACCTGCTGGGCTCAGGAGCTCTTCCCTGCAGCGCGGGAGGGGCCGGGCTGAGGGCAGCCACCGGGGCGAAGCCAGGCCCTGCCGGCCTGTCCTGTCTCCTCCCCGGGTGCAAGGCCTTCAACGATTCTTGGCATCTGGGGGTAGCTTCTGCGAACCTCGCTGCCCAGCTGGACCCATGGACACGGCGGCAAAGGGACTGTGGGGGAGACTGTGTGGGGAGGCTGCGCGGTTACCTCGGGGGCTGTGTTGCCCGTATGCCAGCCGGGGTCTCCCTCCTCCCAGATGCTGGACGCTTGCTTTCCCGGCTTGGCCATGGCACCCCCGGAGGCGTCTGTGCGGGGCGGCAGGTGTGTGATGGGTGGACTGGGTCTCCCGGGCCTGGATGTGCTTTCTCTGGACCACGCCTCGCACTCGCAATTAAAATCCAAAGAGCCACATGGCGTGCTGAAGAGGCGTCCTTGGAAGAGCGGAGACTCGTGCTCAGTGGGCGGGCGCCAGGCCCTTTCCTTTCCCAGCCCCGGGCGTGGGCTCGCCCCTGCCCTCATGGCCCTCACAGGGGCCTCTGCTCCCAGTGCCCACAGCTGCCCGGCTCTGCCCCGGCCCCCCGCGGCGGTCACGGCGTCCCTGGCCGGGGTGCGTGCTTGGGTGGAGAGTGTGAGCGCGAGGGGACCCATCCGGGCTGGATTTTCGGATGCCCGCGGATGGGGAGCTGCCGCTGCTGGTGTGCCGGGGAGGGCCGGGGAGGGCCAGGGAGGGCCGGGCCGGGCCGGGCCGGGTCGCGCTCGGCGCAGGCACCGCGCAGGGGCTGGGTCTCCTCAGACACCAGCTCACGGCTGCCTCGCGACATGGCGCCAACTCACCGAGCAATTTTAAAAAATAGTTTATTTTTTTTAAAACCATTAAGGCAAAACTGTACCCTGAAATTAACTCTTTACATTCATCAGTCTTACAGTAGGACATTCCAGAAGGTAAGTTCCCATAAACTCAGGACAAATCAATACATAGGGTCATTCACTCTCCTAACAGGAAAATGAGTCAGACCCGAGATTTAAAAAAAATTAAAGTTACTTGACAGCCTTTTCCTAACTGCCTGGAACCCCATCAGCTACCGTGACTAGAAGCGACGCCCGCCGCCTGGCCCCGAAGCCCCCGCGCCCGGAGGCGGCGGCTGGAGGGGAGAGGTCGGCTTTGGGACCTGGTACGTGCGAAAGACTCGGTCTGTCAACCCCTGGACACAGCATGAGGCCCCGGGAGGTGACCCTGAAACTCGCCCGGCGCCGGCCCAGGCCTTGCGTGGGCTCTGCCCCCCGCCTGGCGGCCCGGCCGGAGCGAATGCCACAGGCCCCTGCCGAGATGGGCTCGGGTTCTGCTCGCACTGCGCGTGGCCCTCGGAGGCCGCCGCCCACTTCCGTGGGGTGGCTGGGACCCCACGCTTCTTTGGTAATAACCCACGAGGTCAGGGCTCCGAAGCGCTGGCCACAAGGGCCGCCGCTGGTCAGCAGGCGCTGCTGGGCAGCACGGACATCTGCCCGGGTGGCAGGGCGTCCGGTGGAGAACAGCTTGGCCTGTGCTTTGTGTGGAGTATGTTGGACCGGCCGGGCTTAGGCAGTGGACACGAGCCCCAGGCGGCTCGGGAGAGGCAGCATTTCGGGGCACGCGTGTGCACGCCCAGACGTGCTGCATCTCACTTGCGACCGTGCAGCCTCCTGGTGTCCCCAGGCCGGGTCCACCTTTTGCGGGCACATCAATTAACACTGATTTCGGAAGACTCCAGAGGCGGGCGCTGGTGCGCAGCTGTGGCAGTAAAACATTGGTAACGGGATTAAAACACAAATTCAAACCACAGCATTGGAGATGCCGCTGCTCGGCCTTGGCCCCCGGCGTCGAGAAGCGCGGGCCCGCGGGAGCAGCGCCGAGGGGTCGCCTGCGCGAGGTACCTTGTTGGAGGCCTAGAAAGGGTCCAGGCCTCTAGAAGAGAAGGCATTTCCCAGAGTGAGTGATTTTATTTTGAAAAGTCTTCAGGGCCTGAGGCTTGACTCCCTGCCTTGAGGAGGCCCCTCCCTCTGGGCTCACCCCTGTCCAGGGCTCGTGGGGGGCCCTCAGCGGGGGAGCCCTCTGCACAGGGCTGGGGGGCTGGGTCAGGGGAGGAGGCAGGAGAGGACCCGGCTGGTCTGTTCCCTTCTCTGGAGGAAAACGTGGAAGTTCTTCACATTGACCCAAACTAGCAAACATTTTGAATACAAAAGTCTGATCCAGGTCTTAATTTGCTATGCATGATGTAAAAAAAGGGTTTTTTGGGGGGGCAGATAGCTGCTCCCGCCGGAAGTGACGCTGCCGCGGACTCAACCTGCCCGCCTGGGAAGGGCTCCAGGGTCACGCCGTGTGGGCGCCGGCTGGGCCCTCACACGCACCCCCTCCGGGCGGGCAGACGTTCCAGTCCCGTGTCAGGCTGGAAGCTGGAGACTGGGCCGGTGGAGGCGGTGGGGGGTGGCCCGGGAGCCTGACGCGCGGCTTAGAAAGCGGGGCCATGTGCTCACGGCTGAGGAGAGCCTGCCGCGGCCCGTCAGGCCTGCGCGCAGGCGGCGGGAAGCAGCCGTCGTCATTTCAGCCGAGCAGGGAGGCCAGTGTCCTTTTGTCCTCAAAACTCCCAACATCACATTTCAATGGATTTGGTAGTTTGCGGAGAAGTCAGATGAACCCCGTTCGTATGGAGCACCGGCAAATCCAACCTTGACCTTGGGCCTCGTCTCAGCTCTCTGGGCAGAAAGTCCCCCGAGGCTCGCCCTGGGAGGAGCCCGGGGCTCAGGACGGCGCTGTGGGCGGTGCTGAACGGCCCCCATCGCTGCCGGTCAGGAGGCAGGGCCCCAGCTCCCTGCCCGGACCTGGTGGTCAGGGGCGAATCTGGGGAGGCCCCACGTCTGCTTGGACAGAGACGAGAAGCCCGGCCTCTTTTAAAAGGACAGATGAGAGCGTGGGCCCAGGCCGCGGGGATGTCCCCAAAGCCTCTGTGGCCCCCAAGGCAGCGTGCGTGCAGCTGGGGCTCTGTGGCAGTGTCGCCTCCCTGAGCCCCCTGCTGTGACGGGCCAAGGCTTTGTGCAAACGGTCTGCCTGGATCGCCTGCCCAGGGGACAGCTGGCGGGGAGCTGGCGAGAGGGGCGGCCTGGGTGGCCCTCCGTGGGCCCCACCTCTTGATATTCCAAGGGGCAGTTAGTGGCTCTGATTTAAAATGATTGGGACGTGGGGTTCTTCTGCTGACCGAGGCGAGCGCTGGCCTCTCTGGCTCCCAGGCCAGCTGCTGTCTGGCCGAGGCCCCAGGACCGATGCTGCGAGCGCGACAGGAGGGCGTGTAAGTGGGTCTTCAGGAAAATCTACAGAGTGGGTCTGAAATCCTGGTCTGGGGCTCACGTTTGGAGGCCGCACCTGCCTGATGGCATCTGTCGGAAGGAGGGGCGCCCCCTGGGACTGCACAGGCCTGGCCCTGGCACTGGCCTCTGAGCCCCACCAGGCTGGGAGCTGCGCCCTCGGGGACGACTTGCTTGGAGAGTGGCTGCAACATCTCCTGGTGGGCGTCTCTCTCATGGGGAGAGGCTCCTGGGCTCCCCCAGGCTGGCCGCTGACCGTCATTCTGGCAAAGGTTGTCCCAGCTGGGACTTGTGCTGCTTCTGCTTGAAGTGCGACCGCCTTGCTGTCCTGTCATCATACGCCGACCCTGGGGACTTTGTCACTGCCCGTCCTCATCCTTCGCTCACAGCAAACCGTAACGACTTTGTGAAAGAGCCCGCTTCTCTGCGCACCGCCGGGACAGCCAGGCGGTGAAGGCCGGTCTCCAGGGACCCCGGGACCCCGTGGGGGCAGGCTGAGCCCGGCCGTGGGAGGGAGACCCTGGGGAGACTTCCGAAACCCGTAACCGACATGGCCTTCCCCACCAGACCAAGGTCGCGACGTTGACCTTGAAGACCGAAACCGAGCTTGGATGCTGGAAACACTGCTTTGCACATAAGTGGGAGTCGCCTGCTCTGAAGCCTGAGCTGCACCCCCTAGAAGGCGTGACCCCCACCCCAGTCCTTGCTAGAAAGTCACAGTTGTCTTCTGGGCTCCAGGGGGCACCTACTACCACCAAGAGTTAAAAAAAAATAGTAATAAAGCCGCATATTTTAAAAAGCACACAGGAAAAGAGCAAGGAGCTGCCTTACACGTGGGCCCCGAGAAACGGCTGCAGGCCACGTGCAGTTTGCCCCAAACGGGCCCGCCCTGGCCGGCCTGGGCCTGCGGTTGGGGTGTGCGGGAAGGTGGACGGGAAGGGCGGGCAGCTGACAGGCAGCGTGGCCTGCTCACCAGGACGCTGCGGGGATGGCCCGGCCCCCCACCCCCTCTTCTCCACACATGTCCCGGGAAGAGCGCGGGAACGAGCAGCCCCTGCCGGAGCCCATCGGCCGCCTGAGGCTGGACCCTGCGCTCGGAGACCAGCACGCTGTTGCTCTCCCAATTCAGAAAACGGAATCTAAGTTTCCCAAATAAATATGTTGCTGCTTCTTAAATACCTAACCTTTGGATACCTCTAGACTCACGGATTATAAAAGTTAAAAAGTGCTGATTAGTTTTCAGGATTACAAGGAGCACAGCGGTGCCGGCGGGAGGGCCGACGGATGCGGGCAGCTCCAAGACCAGCAGATGGCCGGCTGCGGCCAGGCCGCGGGGCCGCCAGCCTCTCCTGCGTCCCAGGTCCTGCCCCTCGTGGCCCCCTAGCTCCCCCGGCCCTGCGGGGCCCAGACAGCAGCGGGCGGGCGGGGGTGTGGCGGGGGGCTCCACCCTCCCGGGTCCCGCGGCCTGGCAGGCTCCGGTCGGCCCCCGGGGCGTCAGTACATGTCCCTGTAGATCTCCTGCAGCAGCGGGTGCAGCGCCGCGTCCGACTCGGTCTTCTTGATGACCTGCACCAGCTGCGCGTGCTCCGTGACCAGCTGCCGCAGGTCCGCCATCTTCTGCAGCAGCTTCGGGAAGAGGAAGGCGTCGTCGGGGTGGTGGCTCTGCAGGTGCAGCTGCAGCACGTGCACGATGGCCTCCTGCATCTTCTCAATGTGCCCCACGTTGAGGAGGCCCGGCCGATCTGCTCTCAAAGGAAACAGAGACCACGAGTGACCGCGCTGGTGGAGGCCGGACCACGCGCGGAAGCCCGGGCGCCAGCAGGTGGCGCCAGCGAGGCAGGAGTGCAGGGCCGCCCGCCGAGGGCCCGGGGAGCCTGACACCGGAGACGGCGGAACGGCTTTCTTTTCCTTGAGTCAAAACTAGGTCCTCGGGTGTGAGTTTTCCAGCCATATTAAAGGATGCAATTGCGTCGGACCTGGGCTTTGTGCATGCAGCTCTGACACGCGCCCCTGGTGTGAACCAGCTGAAAAGCCAGAGAGAAATGGAAGGCGGGGGGAGCTGGTGGGAAGGGACCCTGGAGACCCCATGGGGAGCTCTGGGACTCCGCAGGGGCCCGTTCACTGGGGTGACGTCCTGGGGCCGGGCACTCCTGGGCACCAGACTTCTGGGGCACCGAGCACGTGTCCTGCCTGGTCCAGAAAACACAGCCCCTTCCACATTCAAAGGCTTCCTCTCCTGAAGCCCCGTTCATGGCGAGGTCTTTCTAAAGTGGAGCTAATGATGTGCATTCTCATCACTTCTTTGGGGGGAATTGTAAAATAAATATAATTCTGTTTTTAACCAGCAAAATTAAAAACCAGAAATTTAAGCCGTATACAGATTGACTGTATCTCTCACCAGGTAACTGTATCCGTCCGTTCCTTTGTAGAAGGAGCCCCCGGCCACACCCACAGCACACAAGGGACGACCACACGGCATGAGGCTGCCCCCCAGCCTGCATGCTTTGCCAGCGCTTCCTCAAGACCAGCCCCCAGGTGGATGGTGACTGGGACATGCCTCACCCCCAGGCCTGCCCAGCCCCTGCCGAGCCCAGCCCAAACCCTGCTCAGCTCCAGCCTCTGCTCAGCTCCTGCCCAGCCCCAGCCTCTGCTCAGCTCCTGCCCAGCCCCAGTGCCACCCATGCAGCCACCTCAGGCTGCCAGCAAGTCGGTCAGGCAAGAGCAGCCCAGGCAGTGTGTGGGGGTGGAGACCCCATCGGTCCACCCCCAGGCTGGGTAGGGTCAGCTGAGTGTACAGTAGAGGAATGACCTTCCAGATTCGGGACGGGGCTATTTAAAGGACCAAGACACTAAGCCAAAAATCTGGGGGTTCAGAGCCAACCTCGGGAGAGGCTCCACTTCCCTGGCGAGGCCACTCAGACAGCACAGCAGCTGGCAGCCGCCGCGCGGCTGGGGAGGTGCCTTCTGGGCTGCACAGAGACTGTGTGATCCGACAGCCACACGCGCTGCCCCGCGCGCTCACCCAGAGCACGGACGCTACCGCCAGGAGCTGCGCCCACCGGGTTACCCGACGGGATGCTGTTATGTCGGGGTGTCTGAACACCATGAGGCATTTTGGCAACAAAAACACAGAAAAATACATCGTGGCTTTCCCAACAACCCGACAGAACACTCACGCCCACGTCCCCGGAGTGTGTTCCCGGGGCTCACGCGCCCGCCTGTGGCCCCCGCACGGCAGCCCCGCGCCCCCGCCCCGCCCCGCGGCCCCGCGCCCGACGCACCTCCGCAGCAGATGATGGCGGCCACGAAGAGCGAGATGTCACTGTCGTCCAGCTCCAGCGCGTTGAACTTCATGGCGAAGTCAAACTTGGGCTCCATGATGTCGCAGAAGGGCTTCCGCAGGCCCTTGAGGAACTCGCGCGTGATGAAGCCGCTGCCATAGGCGACCAGCATCCCGTCCTTGTTCATCACGGAGGACAGCATGGCGAAGATGGCCTCGTACACGCCGTACTTGAGCAGCGTGACCTGGTCGTTGAGGTCCAGGCTGGCGAAGCCCGGGATGGACTTGGCGAACTCCGTGAGCTCCGTGACGGTCTCCACGGACATGCACTGGCAGCAGTGGAAGATGCGCACCTCCGCCTCCTTGTTCCGGATGCCATCGGCCACCAGCTGCGCCACCAGCGTCTTCTCGGCCATGCACAGCGTCTCCATGTCGTGGATGACGAAGGGCTGTGAAGACAGCGGGGTCGGTGAGGGACAGCGGCCTCCGGCTGCCACCTGGCCCTGGCCCCGCCACCTCACAATGAGCTGGGTCCCCGCGCGGGGCTTCCGGCCACACCTCAGCACAAGCCAAGCCGTTCACACACCCCTAGGCAAGAGGCGAGGGTCCGGCTGGTCATCCGTGGCCGTCTCCCTCTGCAAGGGCAACGCTGAGCCTCGTGCCCTAGTGGACGCGAGGCCTGAGTGGTGGAGGGGCCCAGGCGAGGAGGTGAGGCGGGCCGGTGCGCTGGAAAGGTCCAGAGCAGTCCGAGGGGCAGCAAGACGCGGGAGGCACCGGCATATTAGACCCGCGCGCCCGCAGCGGGGCACCTACTGGGTTGTTGCTGGCCTTTCCTGCCAGGATGACCCGGGCCTTGACCTTGTTCATGCTGAAGTTCTTCAGGTAGGCCTCGTAGAGCCGCTTGGCGAGGGACTTGAGGTCTGCGGTCTCGGCGTCCTCAACGTCGTGCTCACAGGTAAGGATCTCAGCCTTCAGCTTTGCTTTTTCAGATCTCGGCATCCGTCCAAAACGGATTGCTGGGGACAGACCAAGGGAAGCCAGCAGAGGTGAGCGGCTCAGAGGACGAGGGCGTCAGGCCCACTAGCCGCCTCTCCACGCGTGCCGCTCCCTGCTGGGGAGACAGAGTCAAACACAAAGGCCCTCAATCCCAGACTTTCAAAGGGTGGCGCTACCAGGCAGCACCAGGCGGAGGGGCCCAAGGCCGCCACTGGGCATGGGGCGGCTCCTCTAGGTCCAGAGGGGGACAGCGAGCTAGGAAGAGCTGACACGCGGCCTCTGCTTCTGCCGGAAGGTGCACGTGCAGCCTTCGCGAAGCCCTTGCTCCAAACCCGCCTCCGCGCGAGCACGACTGACCACGATTCAGCCCTCACGGGGCGGCAGCCTGGACGGCAACCCTCCTCTGGGCAGCCCGCGCCCTGCACCCCGTGCTTCCGAGCTGGGTTTGCCCCCGTGCAGCGGCGCACTGGCTGGCGTTTCTGAGGACGACCCCAAGCGCCCCGCTGACCGCTGACCCAGGCTGCTTCTGCTGGCCCAGGCTGCTGTGGGCATGAAGTGCTGCAGCGCAGTCAGCGGACACCCAACAAAGGGGGTACATCGGGGCGCGCTGGGAGGCGCGGGGGCGGCCTTACCTACCGTTATGGGACATCCCCGCGGAGAGGCACCTGTGGAAGCGGCAGTACTGGCACTTGTTCCGGTTCTTCTTCTGGATCTTGCAGCTGCGGTCGCATTTGTCGTAGACGAGCTTCAGTCGGATGGTTCGCCGGAAGAAACCCTGTGAGGCGAAGGGGCGGTGCAGGGAGGACTCCGGGCCGCGCGAGCCCCGCCCTGCCGCACCCGTGTCCCCCCGTGTTCCTTCCCTGCCTCTCGCGGGGAGGGAGTCCGCGGGAGCCTGGCGGGAAGCCTGACTTCGCTGGGGCCCGCTGAGATCTGAACTCCGACACACAGGCCGTGAAAAGCAATGACACGAGGCTACATTAAAAAGGACTCCAGGGCCTCCCCTGGTGGCGCAGCGGTGGAGCGCTGGGCTGCGAGGCTGCCCGCAGCCTCTGCAGCGTCGGTTTGATCCCCGGCCGCCAGCGAGGGTCCCACAAAAAAAAAAAAAAAAAAAAAGACTCCAAAGCGTCCTCATCCGACTTGGGAGGACACACTTAGAGCTTCCCAAAGAGTCACTCTGTCTGGGGAGAGTCTGCAAAGGCAGCGCTTCCTCGCCCCAGGCCACACTTTCTGGGAATTTTTGTCCAAAGAATATTAAGTCTAAAAACAAAAATGGTAATAAAAAAACGGAAGTGACTTCATCCCGGCCCGGCAGGAAAGGCCACGCTACGAGGCGCTTTTCACCGCGATGTGGTCAGGACGCTCGAGGGAGTCTGTCTGCCTTGGCCTTCTCTTCCCTCCGCTCCCTGCCCTGCCTCTGTGCTTCCTGGCGGCAGGGGGCTCGGCCCCAGGGGGGTGGCAATGTGGGAGGACGTGGGTATTTTCACGTGATCGAGCTAACTAGGTGTGCAAAGTAGAAGGGCCAGACGTGTCTGGACTGATGAGGAGGGGTGAGGGGCGAGTCTAAACCTCAGGGTGCAGAGGCCTGCTGGCCACGGGGCCCATGCTGCCTGCAGCCAGGCCTGCAGAGCCAGAGCGCAAGCTGTGCTCACAATGGAATACTACTCAGCTGTGAAAAAGATGGACTCTCGCCACGTCGCAGGGATGGAGTGGAGGGGGTTAAGTAAGTAAGTAGAGAAGAACAAACGGGATGATTTCATCACATGCGGAATAAGAGAAACCAATCAGAGGAACAGACCGAGCCAAACGAAAACCGCAGGAATCCGTCTGTGGAACTGATGCCACGAGAGGGGGTGACTGGGGTGGGAGTGGGGGGCGGGGGCTGGCAGGCGTGTTGGTGGTGGGTGTGTGTGAGTCGCACACAGTGTCACCCCCACGTAAACAAGGAGAGTAAGCAAGCAGGACTGCGGCGCCGGCCCCCGTCGGACACTGTAGCCGTGACGTGTGTGGACGGGTGGCCTGGGGGCTTCTGCAGCTGCAGGGCAGGAGGACAGCGCACCCCAGGCTTCTGCCCCGGGCACTGTGCTCAGAGGTGCGGCCCAGCCGGAGAATGAGGTTTAGGTGGAGGGAGCCCCACGGTGCAGGGAGGAGCTGGGGGGACCAGGGAGGACCGAATGCTGGGCCTGGGCCTCGGCTGGTGGGTGTGGGGTCCTGATGTGCCCAGCGGCCAGGACCCCCCACCTGACCTGGCTTGGACAGGGCGGATGTGGACCGAGCAGCCTGGCCCCCGCCCGACCCTGCAGAGACGCCCGTGACCGCAGCCAGGTCCCCTTGGGGGGTGGTGCGCAGACCATTCAGCAACGACAGATGTTTATGTCTAAGCGAAAGTAGCCGCGCGTAGCCACTGGAGTCCCCTCTTGTCCTCTGGGGCCTCATACCTTGCAGCCTTCACACGCGTGGACCCCGTAATGGTAGCCCGAGGCTTTGTCCCCACAGATCCTGCATTCGATGTTTAGAGTTATGCTGGATGATTCATCGGCAGCCCCAGGAGCCACAGGGTAGGTGACGGACGAGGGACTTGAGGCTGGCGAAAGGGTGTCTGGACAGAAAGAGAGATGACTGAGCGTCTGGGCGCAGGGGGCTCGGCACGGGGTAGGCGCCCTCCCCTTCACCAAGGCTGTGCAGCCCCCAAACAATCTTCCTGGGATAGGGCGGGAGCTGGCTGGGGAGAAGGTGCCTGGAGGGTAGTGAGATGCCCAGGCTTCTGCGCCGCTGCCTCCGTGGCCGTCACCCGTGGCCCTGATGGTGCGGGCATGGGCGGGCGCAGGGCTGAGGGTGACACCTCGGGCAGAAGTGGGCATGCCGAGTGGGCACACCTAGGGCTGAGGGTAAAGGGCGGCAGCGGAGGACAGCCGCGAGGGGAAGAGACCGTGAGAGCCCAGAGAGAGTGGACGTCCGCCGGGGCTGGGGGGCCTTCCCGCCCCCGCCCTGCTCCAGGCTGCTGCATGGCCAGTGGCACAGGGACATCATCAGAGCCTGAGAGAGCCACCGAGGGCTTGGACCCCCCTCTGCCACCTGGATCCTCACAGCACCCACCGGGCCTGCAGCACCCGCGCGCTTCGCACCAGGAGCTCCCACCCGCGTGCCAGGGAGACGCTCTCTCAACGCACAGAGCACCCTGATGTGCTGGGCTCAGGGGTCCCCGAGGCTCCTCAGTCAGCCCGACTCCTCCAGACATGCCCCAGTCCTGAAGCCGAGGCCCGTGTCCACCGAAGCTGAAGGGGCCAAGTGCCCAGATGGCGTGGCCTCAAGTGTGCCCCCCACGTCACCCGGACGCCCCACATCACCTGGGTGCCCCATGTCACCTGGGCGCCCCCACATCACCCAGACACCCCACGTCACCTGGGCACCCCCACGTCACCCGGATACTCTCAGGGAACTGCACCCCTACCTGTGATCACGGAGCCGTCCGACCCCGGGCCGCTCCCGAAGCACTGGTACTCTGCGAAGCCGAAGCTCCCGGAGCTGTCCTCCCCGATGGACTGCGCGAGCTCCTGGACAGCGCCCATCTCCTGCAGGAACTCCTCGGACAGCGGGCTCTCCAGGCCGTCCGCCTCCAGCGGGGACAGCGGGCAGATCGGGCTTTCTGTGTCCACCATTGTGGTTCCGGGGTGCCGCTCCCGCATGGGCGCCCCGATCTCCTGGGGAGAGAGCGCGGGTGAGAAGGGCCGAGCGGGCGCGGGCACACCCAGCTCACCCTGCAGCAGCACGGCGCCCTGCGCTGGAGCTGGATGCACACTCGGGGGCGTCTTCACGGCTGTCCCCGGGGCTCGACCGGCCGCTCACGCGTCCCCGAGCTTGTCCTTCGTGTCTGGGGCAGATGAAACCGGGAGGGTGTGAGTCCACGCTCTCTGGGACACCCCCGGCTGCGGGGTCACAGGCGGGCGGGTGGGGTGGCGGCTGGCGCATGCAGGAAGAGGAGATGGGGCTGGACAGCACCAGGCAGAGCGGAGCCCCAGGGAGCGAGGGGGGCTGAGCAGGAGTCCCGGAGTGGACAGCGCAGTGGCCCGTGCCACCTGCCAGCTGGGCCCTCACCATGGGAGCTGCCTGGGTGAGCTGCACCCCCATGCTGCTCTGACCCCCAGAACCGCACCTCAGAACCTGGCTACAGCATTTGGAGACGAGATCTTCACAGAGACGGCCCCATCGCAAAGGGGATGTCACTGGGCCCTAACCAGGCTGACCCGCGTCCGTGCAAGAGGAGGCAGCACAGACCACCGAGACCCCGAGCCAGTCAGGCCGGGCAGCCCTGCCGAGGCCCAGCCACCTGCGCACCTGGGTGGGCCGCACGGTGATTCCCGCCGTGTGGAGGCTGCTGTGTGCTTTCCCTGGCGTGTTCACGCTCGCACTCAGGCCCCCAAAACCCTCCTGTGGCCTCCAGACCCACACTCAGTCACCCCTGGGCCCAGGTGGCTTCCTCCCCAACGCCGCCCTCCTCCCTGTCCGGGCCCCATGGTTACGGCGGCACTGGGCCCTGCCTCAGCCAGCCCTCCCGTCCTGTCCACCTGCCTAGATGCGCTCCTCGGCCCCTGGAGGCAGCCACCCCGAGCGCGGCCAAGCTGCTCGAGGTCCCATGAGCCCCACAAGATGACCCTGAGCTTTCGGAGCTGTTTCCCCACCTGAAGATGGTCCAGGGAGGCCAGCGCCATCCCTCAGGGCCAGCTCTGCCCAGCAAAGCAAGTCCAGGCAGCGCCGTGCCCCTGCATTCTCGGCTCAGAGCAGCTGAGGCCCCGGTGCACAGAGGAAGACCCCCGAGATGGGGAAGGGGACAGCCTCACATTCTGGGGGTGCACGTCTCATGCCAGAGCCCAGCAAGTCCAGCTGACACAAACGCAGGCAGGGCCAGGGCCACCGGCCCCAGCTCAGGCCCGCCCCCGCCCGCGCCGGCACACCTCCTGCCGCGTCTCGCTGGGCGTCCCCCGGAGCGCGCGTCTTCCGAGGGCAAGACTGTCGGCTCGTCAGGTGCGGGACGAGGCAGGCGGGACAGGGCCGTGTCCACGGCGCACAGAGATCCGCAAGCTGCGGCCCCACAGGCCCGCTGGGCTTCGAAACGCCCCTCCCCGCCGACTGGACCGTCAGAGCCGCGTCCCGTACAGCAGAGACTCGCGTTTCGCCACAGAATTGCCTTTTTAGGGCTTAGTAGCCGAACATTTACCAGTCTAAATGTTTCTGGAGAAGACGAAAGAGTTCCTGAGGGTACAGCACGGGAATACAAAGAAAGGAACACAAAGCGGACATGACATGAAGGTGGGGGAGGCCGAGACGCCCGGCGCTGTGCAGTGTCATCGGCCCGCGGGGCGGGCACGCCTGGGAGGCGCTAACGCAGGCCAGGCGGAGGGCGGCGGGCGGCCCGCGGCGCGGCAGGCTCTCTGGGTCGGCAGCGGCTGGGACCCGGCTCCCACGGGGCCCCCACTGTCCTCAGAGATGGAACTCTGCTGGCCGGGCCCCCGCCGGGCTGGCGCGCCTCGCGGGGGAAGAGCCTTGCTAATCTTGGGGCCCACGTTTCCAGCACCACCTCTACTGCGCCGCGGAAGCGCACGGACGATTCCCAAGGCGTGGTGACCCCGGCGCGGCGCTGGGCGGGAAGGCGCCGCCGCTGCCAGGGGAGGTCCGAGAGCTCCTGCTCGGTGTCAGCCCGGAGGCCAGACGGCGCAGCCTCTGTCCACAGACGAGGCTGGCTGTGGAGGAGGGGCCGGCGCTCTGGGAGGCACAGCTGTGCAGGCGGAGCTGTCCTCCCCGGGTGGGGCCTCACAGCCGCTGGCAAGCGGGACAAGCGCCCGGCACAGCAGCGCGCGAGACCCCGGGGGCAGGCGGGACGGATGAGCCTCTGCCACCGCGGGGGCGGCGTGGGCAGGGGCTGGCGCACAGTAGGCGCGCGTGGAGCGACGGGACCGTGCGACTCGGCCCCAGAGGCGACGGCAGGGATGAGGCGCCCTGAGAGCAAACACACGAGGCGCTCTGAGGCTTTGCCGCCGCCTTTGGGATCCCGGAGGACCAGGGCGCCTGCGGGCCGCGCTGGCCTCACCATTAACGGCTTCTTGGACCAGAAGGCATTTGTAAATATTTTCTGAAACGAAACATCAAGTAGTGGTAAACTTGCAGCGCATTTCCACGATAGGGCGTTGGCGATGAACGTGGAGCCTGCCTGGACCGGCCCTGAGGGCCCACGAACTCCCGGAAGGCCCCGAGCAAGTCCCAGACCTCCCGCTTCACTCTGCCGCTCACACCCCGCCTCCGAGCCAGGCTGGCGACCGAGAGCCTCTCGGGTGCGTGTCACGGCAGGACGGCCACCTGACGCCTTCTCTTTTGCTGCATCAAGTCTGACGAGGCTCCACCGCATGGTTTGGAAGTCAAAGATGGAATTTTTGGCACAGGGACCCATTCATGCGACAGACGGGAGCTCAGACGACACATTTTTCTATCTTCCACTGATTCCAACTCACTACCCTGTCAGAGCCCGTGTTTCTCTGTATGCAGTTGAAACGCCATCACCCACAGTTAGAAACCTATTAGCTTCGAAATGTCTTGGGCTTGGCTGTGGAATAACCTCACAAAATCAACAACGATCTCTGACGAGCCCTCTGCACCTTCACCCAGCACCGGGAGTTCAGGAAATCGATTAATCATTACTCCCTGCATAATGATTAACACGCTAACAAGCTGCAGGCAAGGCGAGCAGAGCACTGCGCGGCACGCACGGCGGTGGAGCGAGACACTCCGTCCTGCCACGAACAGAACCAAACGCACACAAACCGCCTGCACATCACCAGGTTAACCGGCAATATCCAGATCTTGCCCAACCCGGCCCGGCGCCGAGGTGTTGCAATCAGAAGAATCTGATGTGCGAAATGGAGAGCGTGAGCACCCACCTTTATCTCTCAAGGTGTCAAAAGAATGTTCTCGGCCATTTCCAAGAAAAACTCCCTCCAGGTTTTACACAAAGTTCACGCTGCCCGCCAGCGCCTCCCGGGCACTCAGTCACGCTGCCCCCCACGCTCCTGAGAAAGGAGTTATTGTTTCTAACACAATCTTATCTCCAGTGGAAGGTGCTGTCGGACACGCCAAGGGAAGCTGCAGGTTGGGGCCCATGTAGCCTCGGCTGCACCAGGTCGGGGAAGGAGCCAGCCGGTGGCCGCGGCAGACCCGGCCAGGATGGGAGGCCGCACGCGCCAGGGAGGGCGCGTTTCTCACGCGGACGAAGCAGCACAGGGGTCCCTGGAACGGTCACCAGCCAGTGCCGGACACCAGCAGGGGCCCCAGAGCCCAGCCTGTCCAGGCCCAGGAAGGCTCTGGCGGGATGGGGGCCGGCACACGACAGGCCGAGCCTCCCTGTCCAGGGTTAGGCTGCCGGCGGGCACGGGAGGCCGTGTCTACACCGTCACGGAACAACAGGCGCCTGGACAGACACGCGGCAGGAGGGAGGCTCCCGTATTACTGCCTAAAACTCACGGACCAAAGATGAGCCGAGGTGGGGGACCCCGGAAAGGCCACCTCTGCACCCCGTCCCTGCACCACGCGTGGCCCCAGCACACGGCAGCTGCACCACAAGCGCTTGGTCTGCTCGCAGTTCCAGGGCCGGGCGCACGGGGGGCTGGGGGCGGCTGGGGGCGCCGGAGCAGGCTCACAGCCATCCTCCCAGGGAGCGGGAGGGGGCCAGGCAGGCCCTTCTTCACCCCCAGGGCTGCTTCTCATGGGGCCAGCCCCGACTCCTCAGGGCGCGGTGTCCCCGAGAGGGGCGCAGGAGGTGGAAGCCCCCACCTGAGGATCCCGCGGCGCCCCTCGGCGGGTCTGTGCAAAGCTGGCATCAGGCAAGCTGGACCCAGGGTGGGGCAGAGGCGCCACCTGGGGTGGGGCCGGGCGGCGGGGATGAGCCGGACTTTGCCCGGCAGCGGGGCGCGGGCAGGCGGGAGCGCGAGGTCAGCTCTGCAGCGTGTTCCGCGCAGGGGTCTGGACTCCGCCTAGACGAGACGAGAGCAGAGTGGCGGGACGAGGGTTGCCCCGCTAGGGGGGGCTGTGCCCCGAGCCCGTCTGGGCAGTGGGAGGCGGGTGGGACATGAGACCGGGGACTGGCCGGGGGTTCTGGAGGCCCCACGCACGCTCGGCTCCCACAGCCGAGACCTCCCGCAAGGACCCCCCGGAGAGGGGCTCCACCTCATAAGGGGGCGCTGACTGATTCTGGGGGTGTGGACTGGGCTCGGGGCTCTTTGTGCACCTCTAACGTGCACGGGGCTGCGCGGGCGGCTGGCAGTGGCCTGCACCCATTATTAGAGTTTTCTGGGCCTCTGCGGCCCAACCTTGTGGCCCTGCCGACGTCAGTCACGTCGTCAGTCAGTGACCTCCTAGAAACAGGGGGTCTTGAGGCGCCCACGATGGTGACTGCTTCTCGAATCTCACCTCGTGGCAAGGCCCACTGACTCGCGCTCCGCGGGAAAGCCGGAGACGGCTGGGCCGTGTGCACCCCGCGGGCGAGGAGCACAGCGCCGAGAGGCCACAGCAGCGGGCCCAGGGCCGCCGGACTGTGGGGCTGGGGTCTGAGCTGCGCTGTGACCCCCGTATAATTTTCTGCGAGCCCAGTGCCGCCCAAAGAGGCCTGGCGTGGCGCTGCAGAGGCCGCAGCCGTCTCCCCTCCCCAGTTTCCCGG